AACGAATTTAAAAAGTAAAAAATCTTGAGGTTGAAAAAATATCTTATTTCAGGTCAATTACATTTGGATTCGATTTATTTTAGTTTCTTATTTAAAGCTTCTTTGTTTTTTTGTATTCGTGGTGTTTTAGCATTAGCAATTAATTCAATTAGAGTTCGTGGTCCGATTGTCCAAATAACTGTTTTCATTTAATTAATCTTTATGTAAAGTATTGCTTGAGATTAAAAAAGTCAGTGTAAGTGTGCTTAGATACTTTTAATCTAAGGTCTTCATTGGGACAAAAAGCAAGTCACAAACGGGATTCGAACCCACGTCCTTCGGCTAAATACGCCGCTGCTCTACCACTTGAGCTGGCGTGACTTCGATCCACTCGGGCACCAACTTCCCATCTCAACCCACGTTTCGAATTTTCGAAATAGCAAAAAGGAGGGAAATTTATGAATTTTCGAAAGGTGGGTTGAGATGGGAAGTTGGTGTCCGAGTAGGTTGAAGTCACGATTGCTCGAGTGGTAGAGCAGCGGCGTATTTACCCTAACGTCGTGTGTTCGAATCCCGCTCGTGACACTGACTTTTTATCTCAACCAATACCTTACATAAAAATTAACTGATTATCAATTAAGTAAGACAATTGTTATTGGAAGTAACATCTAGATTTTCAAGTGACTCAATAAAAATTAGCTATTCTTTTTTTATTATAAATAGGTTTTACGTAAAAAAATAAATTTGTGCGGAAATCAAATTAAAACTATACATGGTTCGAATGTTTTCTCCAGTATCATTCTGCAAGTACCAGATCTGCCCCATGCCATGAGACATCTGCTGACATTCTTGAATCCTTTATTTGCATTATTCTGCTGGCCCAATTTTTAACACTTTAAGTCACCAGTTAATTGTTCGATAGTTGTAATATATTTAATGATTTAAACTCAATAGCCGATGGCTTAAAGGCGATACACTAATTCCTTGTAAGTGCAATTGGATTCTTGTGATTTCATATAAAACTATCGGGAAATTTATATCTGTTAAATTTTTTGTAGCTATTTATTGAATTTTTTGTCGTAAAAAAAACGATGTGATTATTTATGTTTCAACAGAATTAGAATATAAAACATTCAATAACTTGAGACAGGCTAAATGTTAAAGGAAATTGTCCCTTCATATTAAAATAGGGCCAGTAATATTTAAACACCCTAAAACTTTACTAAATACATATATTTTTTTAACTAGTAAACTGATTTTGGTTTTTGCTAGGTTCAAAATGAAAATTTCTTTAATCTGATATTCTTTACTTCGTTATTTTTGTCCTTCTTTTTTCTTATTATAGATGAAAATTTCTTTTTTGTAAGCCTTATATTTTGAGGGTTTCTGTTAAAAATAAATATCACGATTTTGCAACGTTTTGATGATCCTGTATCGAGTCATATTTTATTTAGTAATATAAAAACTTTTTTTTTATTCAACAAAAAGTTGAAAAACTTAAATGAAAAACAACGAATTCAAAAATAGAAGAGTCGCTGGTTATTTCAACAACAAGCTATATTTCTTTAAAATGGCACAGAATCGCCAAAAGTTGCAAAGTTGTGATTTTTATTTTTATTTATTTTATTTTTTAACTTCCACTAATAAGACTTACAAAAAAGAAAATTCATATATTTAAAAAAAACACTATTTCCTCTGCTTTAGAGGAGAGAGGAGTACTGTTGGGGTTCAGTCCTAGACCCTAGGTCCCAAGCTTTTGGCTGAGTCTGGCACCTTTACTCCTTCAAACTAAAGCAGCCTTATACTGTCCCTCGGACATAGGCAATCGAAGGAGTTTGTGAAGGAGATCAAACCAAAAGAAACGAAATGGCTATTCTCTAACTCAAGGAAGGGAATTAGGAGGCTGGTAGGTATCCTGACGGGCCATTGCCCTTTGAGAAGACACCTCTTCGTAATGGGTATTTTACCAGACCCCTTCTGCCGTTTTTGTGGAATAAAAAAAGAAACGGCACGGCACTACCTCGCAGAGTGTTATAGGTATACCAGGCATAGATTCGAAACTTTTGAAGGAGAGGGCATCACCAAATCACTCCCCGTGGTCCATAAAATGGTCCAAAATCTTGGGGTTTGTGAACAAGTCCAAGTGGTTTATGCAGGACACGAGAACCGACCAAGTCCCTTGGTCGCCCGCCCTGCGTAATATATATATATATAAAGCAACCTTATAACCAAAACCTAAAATCTTTTCTAACCGACCGCTGCTTAGGTTGGAAACGACGAGTTTTCGGAGATTAGACCACCAATCTAGGCCGACGTCCCACAAGGTGCATTCTCGGTCCCATCCTACAATTTATACTGATGAGTTGCTGATATAACATCTATGCGATGTAATTGCGCTATCTATGTAGCGCAATTTTATCTCCTGACTCAAATCCTACCAAGGCCATCTCCAATATCCAGGGGCGTCTTGAGCTAAAGTAAGCTCTAAGCTAGTAATAACTTGAACAAAATCACATCAACTCTTAACATATTTTCCTCTTCATAATTCGAATTGTTTTTGTGGTCCCTTGGGTTTCGAATTATCAAGAGTCGACTCTATTTAAGACTGTTTTTTCCTGATGAGGACCTTAAAATAGGCCGAAAGCTAATAATTTAAGCACGATAGGTGAACAGTATTTGGAAAAAAATATTTTTTTTATAAGTTGAAGTTTCAGGCTATTGGCCAATGTTCCGCAGCCCAAATTGGCTAATTCCTATCTCATTTCAAAACCCACTCCTGCTTCGTTGGAAGATGCCTTATAGGCAGGAATGTCGTTGGTCTTGTGTGGTACTTCACAGAAATTAGCCCATTTCTCTCGATAATTCGGAACCCCAGGGACCACAAAAATAATTCTAATTATCAAGAGGAAAAAAATTGTCAAGAGTCGATATGAATTTTTCCACATTAATACCAAAAAATTGTACATATACAAAACTTAGTAAAAATAATAAAAAAGCGGAAAAGATCAACCATAAAATTGAACATTGTTTACATTTAAAAAAAATCGTGAAGTGGTTTTTGTTTGATTTAGCCTGGCGTCCTTTCTTTAAATGATTTTCCGAAGCGGCCAGTGATGAGAACACATTGACAAAACACTGCCGCAGAACATAACCTAGAAAAAATTCGAAGAAACTTTTTGCTCTAAGGAAGTAACCAATACGTGGAAATTTAGAGGCATACAACAAAGAAAACTTCCAAATTGTAAAGATTGGAAGTGGCACCTTTTCGATTAATAGCATGCTTCTTCTAATTATTCTTTTTATGTAAGGTTTTTGGTTGAAATGAAAACGTTAGCGTCACGAGCGGGATTCGAACCCACGACCATCGGTTCAAAACGCCACTGCTCTAACCACTTGTTCTATCGTGTCATTCAAGACTTGATTAAGCTGTTGTGTCATTCAAGTCACGATAGCTCAAGTGGTTCCAGCAACGGCGTATTGAACCGAAGGTCGTGGGTTAGAATCCAGTTCGTGACGCTTACTTTTTTCATTTCAACCAAAAACCCTGCATAAAAAGATTAATTAATTGAAAGAAGTAAGTCAATAGACCACTAAATATAATGGATTTAACATTTTCAATGTACAGAATTTTTTCGATTTACCCAAGTGACCTGGTGAGGAGTTCGTATTAACAAGAGTCGACCGTTTTAATAAATGGTTTCAAATTTTTTTGACGATAGACTCAGTCCCAACATTGCCTAGGGCTGTGATCTATATTGTGAACATGACAAAGACAACAAAATTTATTATTTTATTTTTTAAAAGATTTTCTAGTATTTTTTATTATTTCAATTTACAATATTTGTAGGTATTATAAGTAATAAGCTAACAAGTTACATTAAAAATGATAAACAATTGATATTTTTAATGAAATAGTACTGGACACAAAACAATTTATTTTAGACAACTTTTACACTTTCAGGCAATTTAAACTTAAATTTTAAAATTTGATTTTGTTTCCCTTGAATATTGCCAAAAAGAGTAAAAATAAATAGTGTATCATTAAAAAAAAGTTGTCTAAACGTTTTCAAAAGTTGTTAAGCAATAAGTAAAAAAGTTGTCTCCAATAGAAAAACCATTGGTTTTTCAGTATATTGAGAATTAACCCATTTGGGCTGCTGAAGATCCAATAGCCCGAAACATAAAAATAACGGGCGGGTATTTTTTTTCAAAAACCCTTCAATTATACAAAATTTTGTGTTTTTGCAAAAATTATTCGTAGTATGGTTTTGTCGGACCCGCTCTTTCAATCGTCGCACGTGTTTTTTTTTGTCTCTTTCTCGTGTCACCACTTTCAAACGGCGTTTCTTTAGTACGTAACGAAGATAAACCTAAGATAAAAAATTTATTTTGTCCACCATTTATCGGAAAAGCGGGCTTTTACTTTTTGATTTTTAACTATATTGGAAGATTTTGACTAATTTGGTATTTCAGCAGTTTTGATTACTATTGCTGCAGATAGTTTTGACCAATATGATTTCAACGTGTCGTACACGAATGCGGGAAATTAACAAAACCTGGAGATTTTTTTTTCTTGGAGCAGTGGGGCGCCTCGTGGTGGGGCGTTGTCGATATAAAGGGTTTTTCCCCACTCGCAGTTCTCATTCTCTTTATACTGGTTGTTGGTGTCAAATGGTGGTTTTGAGACGGAGTCACAAGGCTCATATTTTGTTCACTCTCTACTCTCACAACTGGATATTCGTTGTATTTTGAGTGTCTGTGCTAGTGGGTTAGCTCCGCGCGCCTTGACGTGCAGTGTAGAGAGTGAAAACAATCTGTGATAGAATACCAAAGAACGTTTCGTTTTAGACTCTTGTAAATTGTATTTCGAACATGCCTCAAAAGAGTGTGAGCTTCGGTGGGGTCGTAACGTACCCGAACAACGTCAACGCTAAAAAAGAGGAAAAGAGCTTCTTGAGGGGTGTCTTGAGGAGCTCGCTGAAAATTAACGGCTCTCTCATATCTGTGAAATTGGTTTCCAGCAAGCTGAGGAAACGGGAGGACAGCTCGGTCGTGGCCAACAACAACAACATCAACAATAACAACAACACGGTCATCCAAGAGACGGAGGTCCGGACTACGATAATACAGCAGACGACCGTACCCGTCGAGCCTCCTCCGTTCCTCTGGAGGTACTCGAACTCTTCGCAGTTCAGCCTGTCAAACAACGATCAGGTGAGGAAAAAGTCATTTTCGAAAACTCGTCTCGTTCAAACAGGACAAGGTCGCACAATGCCTCGAAAGTCCTTTGTTTAACACATTTTGTCCAAACAATCTATCATCCTGCCAAGGAAATTCTCCTTTGTCACGTAATTAAAATTATATCTGAACAAAACCTATTTGAACATGACGAGCAATCTGTCTTTTTACAAACTTATAAAAAAAAATTTATGTTCCCCCTAGCAATACTAGTAATATTTTTCCTTGGGGCTTTCCAACATAATAACTTACAAACATAAAAAAAGTAAAAAAGATACATTACACTATGGTTTGACTCCTTCCCAACTTGTCATTGACTCGTGAATCATTAGTTTTTTTACATTTTATAGATCATTTCCCTCTCGTTAGGCGATATAATTGAGCCGAGTGGATAAAACTAGTGGTAAAACAATATATACTATAATATAGTAGTCGATTTACTAGTTCATAAACACAAACACTTATAAAAATGTAATAACCGATATCGAGGAAATGTAAATTCTTTGTCATGTTGACATAACAAAAATGAACTAACGGAATATTTTTTATCTGGATGGTTGTTCCCCAGCGTAAGATTGCGAACCTGGCATTGAATCATAAGATGAATCAACCTAACAACGAAATACCTAAGATTTATCGTTTTGATTGCTAAAATTTGCAATAAACATTTCAACAAACGTGGAACGTAACGTTCACTATCGAGGGTTCTTTTGTTCCATCGCAGGCCATTCGCAAAAAAAAAATTAAGATCGGATTTATTGGCTTTAATTTAGATGTTTGTAAATCCCAAGCCCAGAAGATGATCTCAATAAAGATCGAACGTTGCCACGATAAAGAAAATGTTTTTCTGAAACCTACATCACACCAGACCGCATCTCACGATTTCTGAATAATTATCGATTAACGGTCACTAACCATCACACACTAATTTACTTTAATACCCTTTATAATTCTCATAAACAATAACATTTCAAAGTTTTCATTTCAATGTACAGTGCTCTCTCAGTAATCCGAACAAATTGCTTCAGGGGAGAATTAGAAAAAATTCTGATTAAAGAGGGTCTTAAATACATATGTACCAGAAAAAAATACAATTTCAACACAACACTTTATTGCAAACACAAAATTTTAAACTTATTAAAATACATATACACAGTCAATTTTTTTAAATTCATTTAATATTTTCTCCATTGCTCCTTCCTTTTTTCACTAATTTTTAAGCAGCAGGTATATTATACTTAACACAAGAAGAATTTAGCTCGATTTAATTTTTTAGTAAAGAAGGAAGGCGAGTTTCACTGAACGCAAGAAATTTTTGAAAATTTGTTTAGTTAAGTTGGTTTTGGAATTTTGTATGACATCTCACTGCCTCTCTCCCTTTCCTTCCCTCTCTCTTTTTTCTCTCTCTCTCTCAATTTTTTACTTTTTAATTCTCATTTCTTGAACTTTTTGCCTATTCAGATTACTAGAATTACTAGAACGAAGTTCTCGGATTAGGGAGAGAAAGCATTGTAGGAAAGGGTGGGTCCCTCTCTCTCGCGGTTCTCCAACGTTCAATAACAATCGGCTGCTCTCAAAATTCAACTTGATTCTACTTATTACATTAGTTATTCTTGTTGTTGAAGCACTTATCTCATTTGATTAAAAAACTGTCTTATCCAGTTTTGCCCCGGGGGAGCAGATTTGTTTGTATTTTTAATCAGCCAAAATAGTTCTTGTTAGGGAGGGTACAAATTTATCCACTTGTTTCCTCCTTCGAAAATTGACTATACTCGAAAGGTAGAGCTCTTGAGTTTTTTGAAATTTGCATAATTAAGATGCAATTTTTCAAGTACCGTTCCGTCATGGTTGGTGTAATGCAACACAGAACACGTTTTCTGCCAGTGTAAGACAAAGCCCTATTCATGCCGATGTGTAAAATATCACAATTCATAGAAAGTAAACGATGTTCGTTGTATTTGTTAGTGAGTGTTTCATCACTCGCTGTTACAGGAAAGACGATGAATCAACTGACATATGTCATTGTAAACCGGGTCAAATCTCAAATGGGCTTTCGAAGTGGCAACACGGTTGTAAAACCAATTTACAGTTTTGCAACCCCTTTTTGCATGAGTCAATCTTCTTTGTGAGGGATTGCCGATACTATAGATTGTCGTCGCATCTGCTTCAATAAATCTTGGATTTTTCTGTAGACTTTTGTCAATTCAAGGAAGAATAAAACTGTAAATAGGACGAAAGCGTTTTTCAGTAGAGGGTGGACAGTATGGGTGTAACGTATTTTGTACTATCCGCGGTTTTTCTTCTGACGACCCCTGTGCCGACCTGGGTGCAGACGAGCGGCAACGCTGCGAGGAAGTCCGCAGGGAGGACAAAGAGGCAGGCATGTGCAAGGTCTGCCCGACCCAAGGCCAGTCGGCTTATACACTTCCCCATTTAATAATTTTCTCTTAACCGTTTGAAACCCCAGCCTCGTCAAACGAGAGAGAGCTAAAAAAAAAAAAATAAATAAATAAAATTGCTTGCGAATCACTGCACGTGCCGTCGAGTTTTGCGATCCGCCTTGTAAAGCAAAGGCTAAACAATGAGTCTAAAAACGCTGACATCGCAATCTTCAGTCTAACCCATTCTGGCCTTTACCTCTGATTGTGTACACTGTTTTGTATGTGGTAATCGAAATAGAATCCCGGCCAATTGTGCTTTCTTATTGAGCAAAGCAGTTCTTGCCCATGGCCTGTTTATTGCGTTGAAATCAAATACAGTAGCTGTGGGTTGGTCTATGATGACCGGTTACTGCATCGTAAAACGTTTTTATAACTTGAGTTATTTTATCCATCTACTCCTCATCTTTTGAGGTGCACTTACTAAATACTCGTTCTATCAAGTCCACGTCCCCTTCATTTTTCAGTAACATTAGACCTTCGGGATCACATGCCCATGTAGGTTTTGTTTGCTCCTCACAGCACAATCATACGCAGATCTTTAGGTCATCATTGCGGTATACCGAAGAGGGCTGATTGAGTCTTTTGAAATGATGATTTTCTATTGAATTGATTCTTCTTATTATGTACATTGTACGGTAATATTTCAGTATGGATATCGTCCAATATCTGTACAATAAACAATCTAAGCTTGGTCTCAAGTATTCCAAATGTTTTTCCGAGTCGACATAATGGACAATTTCTTTTATTGCTTGCCTTTTTTATTTATTAATAGAGCGTGATAACAATGAAGTGTCCACTTTTATTTTATCGGGCAAAATATAGATCCATAGCGATGTGAAGATTATTTCGGGTCAGCGGTTTGATTATAATTATGTACTGTCGTGTTATCTACATTGCCAGGCCTATGACATGCGTGTCGGTTTCACTCTGTGTCACACGATGCCTTACTGTTCTAGTTTGACAGTTATCTTTTCCATTGCTGTAAATCTCGCTCTGAAGGGGAAAACCCTTTCATGTTTAATTGCAGTTATCGAGTTTTGCCGATACGCTCAACAGTTCAAAAACATTCTTGTTTGATAGTTACCTATCATCCTGGTCCGCCCCGCTGGTTGGTTCATACGCAGACTAGGATGATAGGTAATTAATTATCAAACAATAGGTTCATCATGCCGTAGACCACTGGAGGAAATCTCACAAAAACATTCTTTTCGCCCTTCACACGATATGGTGGTTAAACCAAACGTTACACTTTGAACTCGTGTACTTTTCATTTTTCATCTTGTCATGTCTCTACCCCGTGTAGTTATGTGGTTGTATTCTACGGTCCGACTGCTCTGTTCGTGACAGCATTTCGTTTGAAATTCGAGTCACGTCTCGTCTAATTTGGGCAATAAATCGTTGGCCGTTAACGGCTTCGGCCATGGACGAGTTGATGCGGAAATCGGCTGCGCGGACCCAAGTTCACCGGGTGCTGGAAGCCGGCCAGATACGCCGTTCATCGTTCCGGGTCGTTACCCTCATTATCGCCTCGTCTCGTTTAAATTGATCCCACTCCTTGGAATCTGCCACAATTCAAGGTTTTCCGATATATTTTCGAATGAAAAAAAAACCCTAACCCTCCCGGATCGGAAGAACACTTCGCCAATTCATGCCAAAGAAGAGGATAATACAGTATTTAGTGACTGGGAGTTTTGGTGGCCCTATAAGGGCCGGTGTTGTTTTGAAATGTAGAGACGATGGATGAGGCCGGGACGGACCGTGTAGTGCCGTTGGTAGTGGTCCGTGACCGAGAGAGCCGTTGGCTGAGGTCTGGGGCCGTGGATACAGTCAGTTGACTCAGCAGCGGTTGAAGGGCCTCTGGTGCAGCAGATAGCCGAGTGAAGCAGTTGGCCAGTAGCTAATTTGGTTGTGTTGCGAGTTCGAGGCTAATGCTGCTTGTACCCTTGCTGTCGTTGTCGGTGCTCCATTAGTGATTATTGAGAACTTGTCGGGGAGTAGTCTTCAAGGTGCAAGGTAAGATCCCGTCGAGTAGACTAGTCTCAAGTCTCAAGGTGTTCACTGTGCTGTGAGATCTCGTCGGGGAGACGAGTGTGAACTCTGAAAGTATGAAGTCAATGAGGCAGTGCCCCTGCTTTTGTACGAAATGGCTCAACTACGATCGGCTGCAGAGTGAGGGCAAGACCATTCCAGAACTGGCGGAGACACCTAGCGGGTATCTACATAACTGCCGGCGGCCACCACACAGTAGTAATTGTTAAAATGACAAGCTTTAGTCTATAATTAGAAGAACCCCTGGATTAGATGTAGATTAAACGAGGTGTTTTATTCTGCGCCCTTAAAGAGCATCTCCCATTCTGTGCTTACCCCTGGGTACACCTGTGAGTACTAGATCATCAAGTATAACTTGATTAATAAGCACGGTCTCAGTGGTTGAATTTCTTCTACGGTTACATTGTACATCCCAAAAGACTTCCTGCAAATGTGGCACCCTTGCAGTAGGTGTGTTGGTGTTTTTTCTGCTTCTTTGCAGAATCTGCTTGCTCAGTTAGGTTATGCCAATTTTTTAGATGACCATTCAGTTTGCATTCCTGTCAAGAATGCTGCTTGGATTTGGGGTTATTTGCTGCTTCCTTTGATGCTGTATCCTTGTTCTGTGCTTATAGCACACTGTAGAGTCCTAGTTCGTCAAGGAATCCTGTTATTAGGACAGGTTTCAATGGTTGAATCTCTTCTAGGTTACGTTGTACGTTCCAAAACACTTTCTCTAGTGGGCAAGTTTATTAGTAAGCATGTTGGTGTTACCTCTGCTTCTTTGCAGAATCTAGATTATACAATTTTCTTCAAATGCCCATTTAGCCTGGTGTTAATCCTGTTAGGATTCGCAGTTTTTTCTGGCTTCCTTTAATACATTCTATTACATCATTCCTTCCAAAGCTTGCTAGAAGGTTCTTGGATTTTTGTATCCAATGAGTGAATTTCAATTCATTCATAATATCAATTTGTATACCACAGAAGTCCTCAGCTCTTATCAGCAGTATAGCAGCCACTTTCCTTGCAAGGGCATCTGCTCTCTTATCGCCCTCTCCTCCCACATGCCCTGGGACCCAACAAACGGTGACGTTGTTTTGCATACCTAATCTGTTAAATTTTGCAATTCAGCACCATCTTTGAGCTAATGGGATTTGAACATAGAGCTTTGATGGCTGCTTAGCTATCTGACTTAATAGCTATATTCTTGTTGTTGTACCCTCGAGTGCACGGTCACAGTCTTCAGCTTGGTAGGTACTGGTGTCATCATGTGGTGGAGGATATCCCAAAATTTTCTCAATACCAGCTGAGGGACTTGTACTCATTGCTCTCTAGGATTAAACAAAATGACTAAATACTAAATCATTACTGTTTCAAAAACTTCAACCCTGATAATAAATAATATTTAAAATGGCTACAATTATATGGTTTGTTTGTTACAGACGGCACTCGTGCACACCCTGCCATGCGAGGAAATCGGGGAGTGCAAGGGCTTTCGGAAGAACCTCCGTGGGAAATGGAGACGCCTGGTGAAGAAGAAGCCAGAGCCGGAGGTCTACACCATCCCACCGGAGTTCAGGGACCAACTGAAGCAAATCTACGTCTACTGACGAAGCCGACGATTTGTGACTTTTGAGTCATGATTTTCCCCGGAAGAAGCGCGTGATACAGTTCTCGAGGAAAATGAAATCGATGTATTTTAAATGTACATAGTTTTAACTTTAAGTGAACTTAATTTAAACTGTACTCTATCGTTTGTAAAATGAAAAAATACTACTACCAATGATTGGCCGCAATTTGAAGAACTGAGTGAAAGACTTTTAATGATTTGAAGAGAAACCTAAATAATACACGTCTTTTACCTTACTTTTTGATTTTTTCCCTCCCTCCATTTTGTCCAAGAACACTTTCATTTTTTCATAAGGCCATATATTTTTTTGTAATAAAGGTAAAAGTTCTTTTCAATACATAAAAATAAAAATATTTCATTAACTGTTAGTGCTAAATCCTGCACAAAATGTGTGAATTGTGGGGTTTCTCAACTTTGACTCACATTGAGTCCGAATTACTTTTAGTTGATGTACACTTATTATTTTAGTCTTAACTTTCCTTCACATAAAATTTAATAAAACCGATTTGAAATTTCGAACATTGAACATATTTATGATTTTGCGTCTTAGCTTAAAATTTAAATGATACATATTCAATGGTGAGTGAGAAAAACTTCCAAGGTCTTTCGAAGGCAGAAATCTCAGTTTTGGAATATTTCTGCATTGAAATATAACGATCTGTCAAGCTGAGCCACTTTTTTGAATGTCACAGTCATGCCTAGAAAAGAGTGATTTAAGATATAAAGGCTGAAAGCAAGTTAAGTTTTTGTGTTTGTATAACGACGATTTTGAAGAAAATATTAAATTTAGAGGCCGAAAAAAAGATAATTTTAAAGAAAATTGGATATCTCAGGGAAATGAGAGAAAGAATTTTTATGTTTTGTTTTGAATAATAAAAAAAATTGCATTTATTAAAAGTTATTATTGTGCTTCATCTTGACTAATCCTTCGTTTTTGCCATAGATTATATTGTTTTGACAATTTTGTAACAAGCGAGTAACTCTAATTTGTCTCTTATTCGTAAATAACACTAGTCATATGATTTGCCAACACATTGAAATTGAATTGTTAAAAAAAATCAAATTAGAAAGGAAGAAAACGTTTTGTGAGCAGTATTCTTTTTAATTGTAATATATTTTATGTATATTTATACTTTATGAATACTAGTGTCCGAAAAGAATTAAAGTCACCTGCTTAGAATGTTCTTGTAGTACGAAATAGAATGAAGTCTGTGTACATTCATCCTGTACTTTGTTATATATTTATTTATTGTGGACATAAATAAATATAGGGTTAAATCAATTTCTTGGATGAAAGAGTTGATCAATAAATGAGTATCATGATAAATATTTCATTTGTTCCCTTTCCAAACTTTGTTACGATAATTGGCCAATAGAATCAAACACAACAAAACGATTTTCTCCACTTTTCAGGAGGTTCTGGTGTAAAAGATGCCCAACAGGCCAAAGAAGATGATGGTGGGTTCAACGCGCCCACGAGTACTAAGGGATGATTGAGATAAAATAAAGGGATGGGAAACTAAAGCAATTTTTTAAGCTCAGCGTTATTTCCTTAAGGTAGGTTTAGTGAGAAGGAGGTGTTAGTGTGAAGAGTAGAGCTACGTACGAGTCCGTGTGACGTGACAACCTGTCCCATCTTCAGCACAATTGACAATTTATTTTATTCCTCATTATTTACTAATTAGGTCTTTTTATTTCTTTTCCTGTGGTTGTGGCACTTAGAGGGTTTCTATTTGGAGGAATATCAAATGACCTGGTTTCTCTTTTTGTGTATATATTTCAGGACAACCTGTCCCCTACTTAGCACAACTTATTTTATTCCTTATTATTTACTAATTAGGTCTTTTTATTTCTTTTTCCTGTGGTTGTGGCACTTGTAACGGATGAGGGTTTCTTTTTGGTGGAATATCAAACAACCTTGTTTCTCTTTTTGTGTATATATTCTGGGACAACCAGTCCCCTCTTCAGCTCATTTGAAAACTTATTTTATTTCTTATTATTTACTAGTTAACTGTTATTCTCTCTTTTTCCTGTGGTGGTCGCACTTTAACGGATGAGGGTTTCTATTTGGAGGAATATCGAACAACCTGGTTTCTCTTTTTGGGTATATATTTTAGGACAACCTGTCTCCTCTTCAGTACAATTGATGACTTATTTTATTCCTTATTATTTCGAAATATATATACAAAATGAGAAACAAGGTTGTTTGGTAGTCCACCAAAAAGAAGCCCACTTCCATCAAAATAAAATCTTATTGCACATTAGTCTAAAACAATTCAGATATTGTTAAATGAACAGAAATATTTTTTTTTACATTCCCTCATGTCATTGAAATATATAATTATTTATTAATTAGTTTTCTTGCATTGATAAAAAGTATTGTTATTACTTGTTGAAGGAAAATCTGTGTAGGCTAACCATCTCGGGCAGTTACGTCATGAGACTATCGAGACGACATAATGATAAAAGTACAAGAAGGAATGCTTAACCTTCCCACCATGTCTTATCGTCTAACTCGCTGGCATTTTACAGCATAATCCAAGAGAAAATCTGACAATTTAAATTGTTTTTATACAGTTTGTCCTTTGTCGGATTTCCGATGTATTCTGCAATTTAGCTCCGTCCACCCAGCAACTATGGAATCACTGTTGGACCACTACGAGCAGCAGTATGCCGTCTCGACTGCTGATTTCACTGCCAAACTCGCCAAGATATCCCACTTGGACCGAGGTGAATAATCAATTTTTTTCTTGATCGTACTTCCATTCAACTGGATCGACAAGGTTTGCACGGTTAAAAGTGCGTTTTATTATTTATCTGTTCCTTCCGACAGGTGGGCAGCTGCACCTTGCACAGGAACTAGAAAAACAGATTGACGAGCTGAAAGAACTTGTAAGTACTTATTGCACGTTTGTGTACATTTTCTGGCTAATTTTCCTTTCAAGTACAACACTAATTTAATGGATAACTTTTATGTGAGAAGTTATGTATGACCCTGTGATCATTATGGTGAAACCTCTTGCTAAGAATGACACTATTCTATTGTTAAACCCAACTGTAAATTTGTAGTGAAACCTCTTGCTAAGAATGACACTATTCTATTGTTAAACCCAACTGTAAATTTGTAAAACTATCTTCAATCGTAGTCCCTGACTGCAGGCAAGGTGTGTTATCTTGGACTACACTGACAAATGTCTGACATAAATTCCCCCCATACGACTAAGTCAAAAAGTTTTAATACAGGGCTCTTTCACAACTTCATAATAAAAGAGGCTCAATCCTTCGTACTAAGTGCCAGCATTGGTTGGTTTTTCATGGCGTATGTCCTCCGAGTGCAGCGCTTAGTATTATGTTAACTTACTGGAGTTTTTAGCCATTTCTTGAGTCCCTCAATGGCCACGCTTAGAATAGTTTATTTTAAAAATATACAGGTTGTTACATGGTTAAATGTCAATACTGAGATGGCGGATTCATTAAATAAAATGTAGTTCAGTGCCACCAGTATGAGGTTTCTATCTTGACTCTTTCCTTAAATATTAACATTTTTTTATTTTAATCTAAAATCAGAACTTTTCAATTTTTTTTTTTTAAATACCCAATTGTGGCCCATGCTATCTCAAGTGCAATGCAAATTCCATTAAAATTTTCGGGGATTACACTAAAGTTGCCTTATTTTATAATTCATCAACTAATAAATGTTTTTTTTAAATAAAAATATGACGTGTACGATGTAATTGGGTTGTTGCACTCTTTGGGTTCATACCAAATTTTCAACCTTGCAAAAGAGATTTCACTAAGTTCTAAAAAATGTTAAAGTGATTTATGTCCTTGGGATACTTACAAAAAATAATTCAACTTTGGTGAAATCCTCAAAAATTTTGATGGAAAAGTCATTGCATTGAACCGCAATTGAGTATTTTAAAAAGTCATGGGTTTTGCCATTGGTTATTCTTAGAGCAACTTCTGTGTATTCAGAAGCTCAAATTTTTCAATGGAAATGTTACCTTGTGGAAAATTTAATGTAGTCTACGAAATAAAGATCAGATTTGTATTTTAATGCCATTAAAGTTGAGTAATTACGATTTTATGTGAAAAAATCTCTGATTTTGGAGTAAAATCACAAAAATGTTTTAAACTCAGGAAAGAGTCAAGATAGAAACCTCTGGTGGCACTGAACTAACTTTTATTTAATCAATCCTCCATGGCAGTATAGACATTTAACCTTGTAACACCCTGTATATTAATATTTCTGATTCACTTTCATCTTTTATGATTTTACTCTGCAAATAATTTAAAACATACTTTAGTTTCTGGGTAAAGAGGACTGTGGTGGCCAAGCCGTAGAGTATTTGACTATAGATACTCTACATATAGCTAGCGGTTCTGGGTTCAAATCCATAATTTTAGTTGAGGCTAGTATGAAAAAAATATTGTTTGACCCCTTACCCCATGACACCCAACTGATAGTAAAAAGTTACACCTTGTATGACAACAGGAATTACTTTACCTCGGTTCCTGACTGCTTAAAAATAACAAATTTTGTGCAACTAATAATATACACTTAAATGCCACTTTAATTGATCTATGAATTGACCTTTTGATTGGTAAAACAAATCCAAAAATCTTTTTAGCTTGAACAAATGGATTTGGAGGTGCGCGAACTAGACCCTTTGCAGAGGGCTAAGCTCCGGACGAGGATAGACAGTTACAAAGCCGAGCTGACCCGTTTGCAACAGGAGTTCAGGATGAAAGCTACGATCAACTCTAGCAACAGTGACGGTATTCAAAATAATAGCAGAGTACTGCAAATAAATTTTATTACAATAAATGTAAAATGAACAAAAAGTATAAAATATTTCAATAAAGTTTCTATTACATATTTTAGGCAAATTAGTTTACTTATATTATTGAACTAAGGGTAGTATAAAGTAATAAGTAATTTAAGTATTTAGCTAATTTTTAAAGTAAGGTCAAAAGGTACTAAGGTAAAAAAAAATTTTGAAGTGATAATGGGGAATGGTATATTTTTTCTTTTCCTTGTTAACCAGTTGTGGAAAGAGAAATGATTTTTTTCAGTATCAGGTAAATGGTCATCGGTTGAAGAAAACTCCAAAATCATGTTTTATCTAATGACCATTTGCCTCACTTAATTTTACTGGTCATTTCACACACAAAAAAATCTACTATTTAGCTCATCAGTAAATTATTTACTTAGAAAACATCATCATTGAATTAATCACTTTTAATTCTATAAAGTGGTATTATTGTTTACAAATTATGTAGAGGATTTTATTTAAGAAATAGAACCGACGTCCTTTACAAAAATGCCCTAAGTTCTTTTGTTGTGTAAATTCTCCCAATATTTGTAGTAATTTAAATTTGTAAATACATAGGGTATACATCCCATAGCGAGTCATACGGTGAGTTGAGCCTGCGGGAGGAGCAGAAGCAAAGATTACTCGATTCCTCGGAAAGGATAGAAAGGTCAAGCAAAAAACTGGCCGCTTCGTACTCTGTCCTTTTGGAAACGGAGGAAATGGGTAACACTGTACTCAGGGACCTACACTCACAAAGAGAAACAATTTCAAAATCCAGATCAAGAGTAAGATGACCGTTTCAACATTAATAGGACGAAGATTCAAACGATTTTTTTCTTTTATAGCTGAGAGAGACGGAAGCCGACTTGAGCAGGAGCTCACGATTGCTGAGTGCCATGGTAGCACGTTCACGCCAACACAAATTTATCCTGTCAGTTATGGCATTTGTTTTTTTAATCATTGTAATCTTCAGCATTTATTATTCTGCAACACGGTCGAATTAAATTCAAATTCGGTTTGTTTTACAAATTTACAATATTTTTAATACGGCCTTAGTAGGTTTGCTAGTCGGTTTCAGAACTCACAACAGACTGAACTTGCATTATTTTAAATGTTAGGCTTTTTTGTTAAACAAAAGTAAATTTTTTATTATTGTGAATAAAAAATATCAATGTTATAATTGTCAGGAGGGCTGTTGTTATATATATAAAATATTCTTTTATAAATTTTTTAACACCTAAAATAATTGACCTTTCTAAACAGTGCTAGATTTATTAATTCTGGTATTTATCTGATCTAGTCATATATTTATTTTAATTAATTTTAGTGCACATATTTTTTTTTATTATACTGTACAGTGATAAATGTTAAACACTAAGGTCCGGTCTATAGTCAGTACAAATATTCATATAGTGAAAATGATAAAATAAAATCATTTTATATGAGAATTGTTATATGAATGAAATGAAAATGATACTGAATTGTTGAATAATGGTACAAATAAAATCACTTATAAACTTTATTTAAATATTTAATTACTTTTTTTTACAACAGTATTTGAACTACGAGGTTATATCAACCCTCGGGGTGCCGATGTTTTTGGAAAAAAAGCCCATTTGTAAGTTTGTTTTAATAATGTAAACATCAAATAAAATTCTATTGAAAGGTGTTCAAATGTTGATAAACCAAAAAAAATTTGAGGATTTGAAAACAATACAAAATGGCAAAAAGTATTGCAAACCTATTCGTTATGAATCTTTTTAAAAAATAAAAACCATGTAAATGAAGTGATTTCAATTAAATATTTTCAATAGTTGATGGTCAAGGACGGTAAAATAAGTTAAATTTTTTTTTGTTACGAGGGGAGAGTTTGCAACAGCAGAGGTTATATCAACCCTTGGGGTGCCGGTGTTTTTGAAAAAAAGCCCATTTGTAAGTATGTCGAGTTCGAATGCAGGGCCGCTGGATTCAAACCCGGGTCCTTTACCTTAGTGATGAGCGCAGTGTCAACGCCTAAACCGTTGTGGCCACCGACGCCCCATATTTAATTACTAAAATATATCAAGAAAAAAAAATTATTCACATGAAAGGTAGCCTCCAAATGTGTTCTCTTTATTTCTTTTATAAAAAAGAAATACAATAATGTAACTTCTTCAAAATTAACACACTGACTGTTAAGTATCATGCCTTTAACTTTACCGCTCACACATGAGATCTCAGTGTAAGGGTCACACGTATGAGTAGCAATTATTTCTACACATTGTTATGGCCAGGGCTATAACTACACATTAAAATATTGGGTTGACCCAATAAAAATTTCTGTTTTCAATGTCTTATTCATCTTTAAAATCCTTCCATCAGCATTGTTTTAATCCTTTGAATATCGTGAATTTAATTAGCAGTCAAAGCTGGCTGTGGTAACATATGTAATAATACAACTTCTGACGAGGATGTTTATTAAACGAAGGGAACACTTATTCAACAAATTATAACTTTATTTATATATAAAGATAAACTGAAGCGAGAATTATCATCTTGCCTCTTTTAAATGTTTTATTTAAAATTGTAATAAGTTGTTAGTAATTCATTTTACATTAATTCAAAATTTGTTACCCTTTTTTTTAACATAAAGTTGTACTTTTGCTAATTATTGGGCAAGCTAAATCTAGACGAATTTTTGTGATGCTTACAAAAGTAAAAGCATTGTTTGAAAAATTTCTGAACAGGGAAACTATTCCATTTTCTTAATTTGAAAAGCAATTTTACAAACAGATTTCAATGACAAATGCCTTTTTTTAACAATAAACACATTACAAAAAAAATGGTCTGGCTATAATTTATGTATTTAAGATATATACATTATTAAAATTAAGGAATTGAAAAAAAAATGTTCAATCAATCTACACAACCTAATTTTTTTATGCTCGTTTAAAATAAAAACAAGTGGTTTGAACATTTAAAGGTAAATTTTCAAAGGTTACAGAAACCTTTTTAGCACTCTACACAGTTGAACAAAAAACCTGGGAATACTACTCGGTGGTGAGTTCTTTCGGTTGTTCCCAAGGGAAAATGTCTCTGCCAAAATGACCGTAAGTACTGGTTCGTTGATAAATGGGATTCCGTAAGTTCAATTCCCTTGAAAAAAAATTACAATCATTAAAACTCAAGACACCTCTATAACATTAGCCAAATATTGAGAATAAGAGTTAAGAAGGCTCGGGATCACTTGAAAATTGGGGTGTGCTCGAAAAAAAAAAAAAAAAAAAGTTTTTAGGGTTGTCTCGATTTTCTTCTCTAGTTTTCTTTTCTAAAAGGAATTGTGTGCTCAGGATTAATGGTGTTTTTTTGTTGTGAGCGACCTCTGGGGGGGGGTCATTAGGGTAGGATCAATTTAAATTATTTAATCGTATTTTCTTTTATTTTTTCTTAATTACAATAAAAGATTTGATGACAATTTCACTTCATTGTTCACAACAAAAAACACCATTAATCCCGAGCACACAATCCTTTTACAAAAAGGAAACGAGGGGAAAAACGAGACAACCACCCTAAAAACTTTTTTTGGAGAACACCCCAATCTTCAAGCAAGCCCTAAGTGCAAAGGCTAACGTTACATAGCAAAATGATCCTTGCCAGAAGAATACATTTTAAGTACTCACTTTACTATTTTGCCAGGTCGCAGGTCGAAATTTTTCTTTACTATTTCTAGAAGTTCTTTATTTGGTAGTTTAGATGTTCCGTAATCGAACAGGGTGATAGAAATAGGCTCTGCAACGCCTATTGCATAAGAAACCTGGAATAATAAAATTAAATCTCAATCAAGAAAACCTTTTATTAACATTATTACTGATGTATTTATTAGTCATAAATGACTGTATTATTTTAATTAATTATACTTTCATCTAAGGTCTTGGGTGAGATGATAAAATTAAGTTTCACGAGTGGGATTCGAACACTCAACCTTCGGCGGCTGTGTTCATGAGTTTTAATCCTGCTTGTGACACGCTTAAAACCTTAAGATAAAAAATTTAATTAATTAAAATTATTACATAATTTGATTCAGCCAAACTAAATAAAGAATTTTCTTTTAAACTTGATTCCTAATGAAGTTTAAACATGGCTGATTTAGCACTTTTGTTAAATAAAACTTGAACGCATATTTCTAACGGGTTAAGGGTTGATGCAAAATCAATGTAGGTTTTGAAAATTTGTTTTATTTTCACAGGTGCTTGTCATGTAAACAAAGCTAAATGCTCAGATCTAATTTATGGATTATAATACTTTTAACTGTTACCTTTTATACAAAACATTTTAATTTATTTGTATTAATTATTCTTTTTATGTAAGGTCTTGGTTGAGATGAACAAGTTAGTGTCACGAGTGGGATTCGAACGACGACTTTCGGCTCAAAATGCCACTGCTCTAACCACTTGAGCTACAGTGACTTTGATCCACTCAGACACCAACTCCCTATATCTCAACCCACCTTTCTTTTTGCCATTTTTCAAAATTTTAATTTATATTGAATTTTATTAGAGTGAGGATCTATGAAATTAAATACGTACAAAATGATTTTCATCAAATTTATTTGTATGAATTTAAATGTGGATGAAGAGCGGCCTCCAAACCGTGCATAACATCAGTACAGTTTGAGAGAAAGGAAGCATTCAACGAATTTAGCGAACATCTTGAGATTTCGATCTCGAATACAGAGAAGGTAACACGGTAGCACAGGAAATTGTGGAAGAGCTTTAGTGTTGATCGCTCAACCGTCGTACACCATCTGGAGTAAATTGGTAAAGTAAATAGCTCAACAAGTGGGTACCGCAAGAACTAACCAAAACCCAAAGAAATCGAGAAAGAAATTTCTTTTCTGTTGCGCCACCATCACATCAAACAAATCATCATACGTGATGAGAAATTGATTCTGTACAGTAATAGGAGGCGTACAGGTCAGTGGTTGGACAACGATGAAGTGCCAAAAACTTCCTGAAATCTGCACCCAAAAAGGTTATAGCAACTAACTGTTTGGTGGTGACTGCTGGCATTTTTACCCAATTGACAAAATGCTCAGGAAACTGCAACGTTGGGCCGATTCTTCTTCACAATAACACCAGACCACAGTTGCAATGCCGACCCTGTGGAAACTTTACTTAAAATATGAAACCTTCCATATTCACCTGACTTTTTTCCTAGAGACTTACACCTTTTTAGGCATTTTGATCAATTCTTGAGGGATAAATTTTTTGGAGAATGCTGTGAAGATGAAAATGCCATCGAAGACTTTATTGCGAGTCGTAATAAAGATTTTTATGACGGTGGGATAAAACCACTTGGCACAACAAGTTGGCTTAATAGATTGTGATGAAAAATATTTCAAATACATTTTCTTTATTTTATAAAAATTAAAAATAGTTTTGACTGCTTTTTCGAAAACATGCATTATTTTTGCACCAGCCCAATAGAATCACCCCCAAATTGGGAAAGAAAAAATCAACATACCTGTACCAAACAGCGTTTACACAATCCGGCTTTAACAAGAGATTTTGCGACCCATCTTGCGGCGTACGCTCCCGATCTGTCGACTTTGGTGAAATCTTTGCCAGAAAATGCACCTCCACCGTGTGCTCCCCATCCACCATATGTATCGACGATTATTTTCCTTCCAGTCAGACCAGCATCACACTATAAAAATTTAACAAATAACCTCGCTATTTTGTTACGAATATGTTCGTATATACCTGGGGCCCGCCGAGTACAAATTCTCCGCAGGGATTAACATGGATGACGGTGTTTTCATCGATATACTTTGAAGGGATCACGTGATGGACTACTTTCTCTTTGACGTGCTCCCGTAAATCGGCGACTGAGATTTTTTCCGAGTGCTGTGTGGATACGACAACTGTGTGTACACGGATTGGAACACACGCCCCGCTGACAAATCGATATTCACAGGTTACCTAATCAAACGGGTGCAATATTCAGTACATACTAATTTAATATGAAAATATTTTTAATTTTTAAATTATTGGCTCAGTTTTTAAACATAGGTGGTAGAGAAGTTTTCATCATGTTAACTTCTGATAGCAAATACATCTCATCATTTTAACTAAAATTACCCTTGCTAATTATTGAAACTGTTTTGTTTATTTCAAATTAGTCATAGCAGACTTGAAAATGAAAGGTCATGTTTGTTATATGGATCGTTATATCTCCAGAAGACTAAATGAACCATGACTACATAAGCTTTCTGTAAATTTAATGTAAATTAAATTAAGTTTCAATAGTTAGCATGGGAAAAATGAACTAGCACATCTGGGAATACATACTTGTGTCTTTGTGTCTGGTCTGGCCCACCAGAATTCACCGCTTCTTCTTAGCTGTGCTAGCCTTTCATTTAACTTGTGAGCCAGGACAATAGTTAGAGGCATACATTCCTCCGTTTCATTTGTGGCATAACCAAACATAAGCCCCTATGAAATAAATAAATGTTTATTGACTAATTTACGACAAAAAAATGCATAAATCAAATCAGGCAGCCAGTTTTTTTAAGAAAACAATAAATAAATACAGTGCTCTCTCCCTAATCCGTATAGTGCAAATTTTACATGAAATGTTACTTGTGGGAGGGGAGTGTGGCAGGGAAAGAAAAGAGTGAACGAGAGATAGTAAACGAGGCAGAAAGAGTGAGTGGGGTCATACATAAGACCAATCGAACACTCCCCTGCAATTAATTTGGATTACTGAGAGAGCATTGTAAATTATAATAATTTATAAAAGGCAAGGATCCTGAAAACAATAAAGAAGGGCTTTGTGCTTTTTGCACTTCTTTACTGCTTACTGAGAGGGTACTTCACACGAGGAGCAAATTGTGCGAAACCAACCAGGTAAAATGTTATAAATGCTTCCATTTAATTTTTTATGCTTGCTAGTTCTATATGTCTGACCTAAACATAAAAATGCATACACAAACCTACCAAAACGAATTAGGTTTAATTAAAATTGTATTGGGCAATTATTTTTGTTGTTCTATTTTCTAAGACTTATACTAGGCATCATATTGCAATAATATCACTGTAAGCATTTTTTCTCCCTATTATGGTGTTGTTTTTTTAATTGAAAATTTAGTTTAATATCCTGGCCATTTCAAGAACGATTTTTTAAATTTTACTTCTCATTTTTTTTTTCATACTAATTGAATGTGTTAACATTTTATAAGAATAAATCATTTTATATATTAACTTATACAAGCTTTAATATTAATTTTACTTTTTCTCAAATAAATATAATAATAACAATAATTTTGTGGTGTCAGGACAGCTAAGATTTAATTTTATTGAAATAAATTTTCCTTATCAACTAAATGCCAATGCCCATGCGATAGCATCAAAGTGTCGATGACTTAAATATAGTATAATGTCAATAAAAAGTGCAGTTTTTCTAGTCCTAGTCCTTATTCTTTAGGACCTATTGGGTGATTTTTCACAAATTTATCTAGTTAATTATTATTCTTAGTACCGGTTTTGTGTTTATTGTAATTATTTGCAATAGGACATAACATAAAAAATAAAACAGTTAATCTTATGATTTATTAAAACATTTCCACCATACACAGTATAGAATATTTTCTCTAATTCTTTCGCGGATAATTTATACACATTAAAATTTTTTATATTAATTCCTTTAATTAGGATTCTTCTAATAAAAACAGCTAAAACCATGTATCTAAGACTACATTACTTTTTATAGATTAAGGTTTAAATTTCATTTTATTTATCAAAATCAATAATTATAATATAATGTAAGGACGTTTAGTGGCTGACAAATAGTTATTTTTCAAGCATTTTTAACTGTAGCCATTTGAGTCTCACTCTGGTGCTGTTTTCATTTTATAATAATAAAACATTCTCTCCCTTTGCTAAATATTTGATTAATACAAAATAATATGTCCAATGACTAACATACCAGCAAGCAATATATGTTTTTTTTGCAATTTTGATTAAACATAATCTCTTTTTTTTTTTTTTTTTTGAAAGTAAATTGCAGAGTATAAGTCACCTTTATGTACGTGGTTAAGATCCAAAATCAATACCAAATTAAATAAAATAAATAAAAACCTTCAAGTCTAATAAATTCTATAATCTACCTGATCTCCAGCCCCCACATCGTCCGCATTCCTGTTCTGATGCACTCCAGCTGCAATATTTGGTGACTGTTCATCCAACGCAAGTAACACAGAGCAAGTCCTGCAGTCGAAACCTGGTCACAATCAGCTCTATTCCACTAATTCCATTCCATCACCATAAATATTTTTTATCCATGACAATAAATAAGAGTTGCTATTGACTGACATACATGTGCGCATGTACGTACGCACATGCACACGCATGCACTCAAACAAATGTATTCTCCTTAATTTTATCACTGTTATTAAAGTACAATGCAATTGTGCTCAATAAATAGTACATTTTTATATAAATAAAACAGGAACCTAACATACACTTTTAAGAAGTTTTTTCTGCTATGTTTCATAATAGTCAAGCTCCCAGAAAAATAATGGCAACACTTCTATGTGTAACACTTTAACTTCATACCATTGCTGTACAAAACCAAGTATGGAATTTTCCAAAATAGTAGTTGGTCTCTATCAGAACAGAACAAAGAGATCAAGAATCTAAACAAATTGGATAGAGTAATCAAAAGATAATTCTGAACAGCAGAATAAAGTAAGCGTATGAATATCTTGTATTTCCAAAGTTTAATAGGAATACCCAATCCCTAAAAATGGGTGGATTAGGGGGGAGAGGTTCAATAAATTCTTCCATTATTTTTCCTAACCCTTTCAGTCTTCCTTTAAATTTTGCAAACCAATGGTCCCATCACTACAATTGGTCTCATTTTACTGTACGCTTTCTTGCAAAACATTTTGATTTTCCTGACTGAATTGTATTTCCTAAAAAGCATTGCTCCATAAAACCTTTAGTTTCTATCCATATTTAAAAAAAAAAAAAAAAAAAAAAAAAAAAAAAAAAAAAAAAGCAATTTCAATATATTGAAGAAAAGGGAACATGAAAACCAAAAAAAGAGGCTTTTCACCAGGTTTTTTTATATTTAGGTTGATTTTAGGTTTTTTGTTACATGTTTCATTGAAGCCACATTGTACAGCCGGAGGTGGAAAATTTCTACAAGATAACAGGGTTCCCGTTATATTGAGATTTACTTACTGACAAGCAGTCTGATCTTAGACCTATAAATTTTTAAATCTAGCACTGCAAATCCCTCTTATTTTTAAATAATGCACATAAAAATCTAGTTTAATAATTTAAAAAAAAATTATGTGAATTTACACCCACCATCATCATCAATTCCCAAAACGTCCAAATAAATGAAAATAAGTAATGTATTTACTTTTTATTTATAATTAAACAAAAATAAAGGAAATGTTTTTTAACATAAACCAAATAGAAATTTAAATAAGAAAATTAATCTTAAAAATTCCGTTTCAGATTTAAAAAAGCATAAAAATTTTCAGTCAAAATTTTAAAAATTTCCTTTTGAGTATTTCTGATGCTCAAAATTGCAAATCTTTTACATCAAATGACGAAGAAAAAATCTAGTTGATAAAAATAAAAAATTAATTTTTAAAAAATAGGTTAAAATGTTCAAACAAATTTTTGAGTACTTCTGGTGGTGTTCCAAACTGCAAATCTTTACACTAAACGATGCAGAAAAAAATTCTAGTTCAAGAATTTTTAATGCCAAAATTGATTGACCCCCCTCCTCCTTAAGAAAGCTCATTTTCATTATAAACCAATTTATTCCTCAAAGCACAAATTTACAAGTCACAGACACAAATATACAACAAACATTGGCCAATTTTTGTAAGAAATCACCCTACTAGTACACACAATCGCGAGTTGTTATTTTTTTTAAGCAGGGATTGTTTAGAAATACAATTAAATAAATAAAAGCAATAAATGTCCCCATTGTAGGTGTAGTACAAGTAATAAATTGCTTGAAACTTTAACCTATTTTTGGAGGTATATTACTTTTGCACACCTATGACTCATTCAACAGCAATCACCACCCGTAAAAGGCAGCAGACAAAAAGTCTTACTGATGGATCTAAGGAATGTGCTAAAGCCTTATATATTTCTTTTAGAAAACAACAAATATGTTTCATGTAATCACCTTTCAAATTAATAATTACAAAATTTAATGGTAGTTTCAATAATTAGCTGGTTCACTGTATACGACCTTATATATGCAGATTCAATACTATCCAAGTGAGGGTGAAAAAAGAATCAAGTGGCTGAAGCCTAACTAGCAGGGATCTTCTTTCTGGAACTATTATGCCCTCAGAGTGCAATTAAAAAAAGGTGATTTTAAATTATAACGACTTGGATCATTAGGGTATCGATTATCTTTTACTAATTTGATTTCATTAATCCCTAATACAAAAATTATAAAAATTAATTTTCAAAGTTATAACAGTGATAATACTAAATTATCACAAAAGTACTAGTCCTTATTGTAGCAGTTTGCGTAACTTAAACCTCTCTTATTAAATTGTTCATTTCCAAAATAATTCATTTAATACAAATTAAATTAAATTAACCATGAAAAGCACAATTTATTATTTACCTTTGGATGAATCATCATAGCCTATATGTTTTATGGTTTCTCTCACAACATTCTGATAATCAACAACCGCCTTTGATGTAATCTCTCCACATAGCAGAATGAGGCCAGTTTTTGCTACAGTTTCTGAAATTCACAATTATATTAATATATTTATTTTCCAATTTATTTATTTTCTTTTTTTTGTAACTGATTAACCAATAATTGGTGAAAAGCTTTCAGGATGTCACATTATAATTCTTTTGGAGGTCAAGAATAGTCTGAATTGAGTTACGCAAGAGCGCTGTAGCAATTTAACTCAAATATCTGATCACAGAGCATTTCCACGAGCCGCCTGTTTAAGCCCTCAAATTTCCCAGGACAGAAAAACACACGAACTCACCTTTTCTATTTCTCTGCATCCCTTTTAAGGGTATTCTTCTGCTAGAAAATGATATCGATCATTCCTCAGACCTTCCCGGGAATAAATTGAGTAAAAAATACTCCGTTTGTAATTCCCAAGGCTACAATTTGACCTCCAATAGAAAATCACTGAGAATAAATACATTAAGTGAATCATCATTAAGCTTAGTGTTTAACTGGTCAATTTTTAAAAAATACTGAATATAAATTATTACCAAAACTTACCACAGGCAACCTTAGCATCAGGGTCTTGACTTAAATGGGCATCCAAGATGGCATCACTTATCTGGTCACACATTTTGTCTGTAAATTATAATGACTGTTGAAGGGGGTCAAATTTTCATCACCAATTTATAAGTTAGCAATTACGTTCAAATCTGATCTTAACTTATTAACAAGATTTAAATTATTATTTTTATCTAAGGTTTGGGTTTAGATAAAAAAAGCTGATGTCACGAGTGGGATTCTAACACAACCTTCAGTGTTCTTGGGTTTTAATCCAGCTCATGACACTACCTTTTCATCTAAATCAAGACCTTACATAAAAAGTATAATTAATAGACAATTATGTCTACTAAAAATATACATGGATTTTTTTAAATATTACCCTAATAAAAACAATATATGAACACCCTAATGACCTTGGTAATGAATCAACGTTTTAATGAACTTAACCAGAATGTTTTCACACAATTCCCATTTCTTTTGAAATGATGAACAACTCTTAAAAAATTTTATAACTCTCCTTTCAGGATATATAACTTGAAACAAAGAAATAGAACCTTGTGCTCACTCTAGAAAAAAAAATGTAGAAAAATCGCATTTTTAAATGTAAGTGAGATGGCGTTCAAAAATATATTCAGACATAGAGTGGGGAAAAAAGGAACAAACCGGAATATACTCAGGCCTAGGCACTGAAATACTGGAGGGTTAAATTCCAATCAGTCATAAGCTGCAAAAAGTCATATAAGACTAAAAGTCAATTCATATAAACCATCATGTAGCATGTCCAGCACGTATCTGTGGTGTGACTATTTCAGAATATTTAAAAAAGCTTTCTTCATAGACTACTAGCTATTTGTAGAATTCTACTTTTTTTAAATTCAATGGATGCACAGTAAATCTTTTCCTTTTTTTTACTTCCTTACAATGCCATTTCTTTACCATCTAATCTTCTTTCTTCAACTGAAAACTTTTTAAACATGTTTAAGTTTCAATAAAACAAGTGTTGTATTCAACTCTAGTTTTTCTGCTCGCGCCTGTAGTGAGTTGTGCAGTGAAAACTTGTCTGTGCTATGCCTGCCACATTATGTGTTGAACACACTGCATGTTGGTATATATATGAATCGACCTTTATCAGTAAACCAGCAGCATCATGTATGAATGGGAAAGTGAAGACCAAAGAGACAGATCCTGAAGATTTAGAAAATGTCTTTGGCCCAGTAAGCATGCAAATTGGAGGATCTGGAAAAATCCTCCAATTTGGCAAAGCTGATAAATGGTGGCCACCTTACAATAAGGTGATTCATCTCTCCAATACATAATGGACACAACGGCACACTATAGTACTCGAAAAGATGGCTTATAACGCTAGTGGCCTGGGTTATCTTAGGCTGAATTCGCCACATACTGGTTGACGATGGGCCGTTGTGTTGTAGCAATTCGGGGGTAGGAAATTATGCCTCATTTGGCTGTGATGCAAGAGGAAAAACCGGTCCTAAAGCTCAATAACATCACGCCATCGGCCACTACAGACTAACAACTACCCTCTACACAATGGCCCATTATCAGCCACCACAAGTGTGGAGGGACTTTTAGGCCTAGTACACATGAAGCGTTTTCTAACACCCATGAAATACATAAGTTCAAAGTAGAGTATATGCATGGTAACTCGTGATTAAAGATTCCCCTCACTGCCAGAGTTAAGAGCTTTTTAAAAATTGATTCACTCTTGTTCTGCAGTGTCAACATTATTAATTATTTTATGATGAGTTTTTCTTCTGGCAGGATGGAATCGCTCAAACACTGAGTGCTTGGTGAAATATCGCCTTTGATCAAGTGCAAAAATCCATCAAGAGTTAATTGACATTCTAAAATAAATGAAAAAATTGGTACATAGTCGTGTAATTTTGGGTAGTGTAACGAACATACTTTTTGTGAATCTATCTCTTAAAATAGTTTATCGCGGGCTTCTTAGTTTATAGTGGTGATAGAGAAAATAATACCACACGACTTCATCTTACATCGGGATCAAAGTCATGATAGCTCAAGTGGTAGAGTAGCGGTGTATAAAGCCGAAGGTCGTGGGTTCGAATCCCGCTCGTGACATTGACTTTTTTATCTCAACTTAAAACCTTAATTAATTGAATGTTATTAATTGGTCAAGCAGACCTCGAAAAATAGTGAATTTACATCGTAAAATTGCTCTTGTCTAAGTGAATCCATGTGTTTATCATAAGCGCTTGTTTATGTGCGATTCAATGACCCATGCGTCCCAAGCCTTAGAGGAGAAACAGCTGAAAAAGAATAAATGCCAGTAGGAGGGGGGGACAAAGGAAGAAGACAGAAATTGGGCAAGAATGGCATCCTAAGTAGACGCACTAAGAAATCTTAGCCAATAAAAAAACAACCAATAAATCAGCCGAACATTTGTCTCCAACAAATTGGCTATCCATAGTTCATCCTCATCAATCAAAAGGCTGGACCCAACATGACACCACCGGGCCCACACCAAGGGACATCCGACAATCGGCAGACTTGCTGTGATGGCGACCCCATTTGTCCATACCGTGTTGGACCACACACTCAGTAGTTCATTAGCTTCAAAGTTACATCATTCAAAGCATACTCATTGAGAAAAAAGTTAAGAAGTTTTAAAAATAATGAATTGGGGATGATAGCACTTGCTTTAGAGGAAGATGTTAATTGGCAAGGAAATCATCACAGAAGGAGAAGAATGTGGATTAACAAAGCGTGGAAAAAAGATGTGTTGAAGGACAATTTTACTCGCTGCTTCCACATCTAAGGTACGATGAGACAAAGTTTTATATAAAATTATAATTTTTTTGTATATAAAATTGTAGTAAGATTATAAAAAGACAATAGAGAATAGATAGATAAATGGAATATTAAAAAAATAAATAACAAATAAACTCTCCACTGGAGATCACACGATCTGCGTACATCAAAAACTAAACCAAACTAGTCGGGCAGGTGCGCGCTCGGTGCAGAGGTGAGGACTAACCGACTCACTTCCATTATCCTAGTCACAATCCGTATGACGCAAACGGTCGTCACACGGTGCGATGATATGGAGTCTAGTCTTAAGTGGTTGGGACCAAGGGATTCAGCCATGTAGAACTCAGTCAACATCAATCCTGTTGATATTATCGCCAGTTTACCACTCGGTTCTGATCCGACTCCTGTACACATCAAGCAAATCATGGCCAACTAAGCCGTTGGTTGTCTTTCTTTGGCCATGATTTGCTTAGAATGAACGCGCCTTAAGACAAAGCCCTACTAAAACTAAGTTACTTAAAAATTTAAAATGTTTAGGTTATGAATTTGAACAAATAAAACAATGTAAATCGACTAATAGTAAACTAACGGAATATTAATATGCATACCTAAAAAGATCAATATATTATTTATTCAAGCGCTAATTGAGTCATAACATAAATTAAATAATATTTGGGTGAATTTATTTAATTTAATTTCAACATTATTTGAAACAAGTGACTTTTTCCCCCACCATTTTGTAGTACAGTAGACAACCAAACACGTGCAGTTTTTGTTTGTAAGATTCGCGCTACCGGTTTTGAAAGAAGGTATAACAATTAACGGCCGGTCATAAAATTTTAAACTGTTTATGATATTTTGTTCAAGTAATCTAATATAAAAAGGATTGTTAAATATATTGGGCTAACGTTCTAGGGACAACATGGCTGATTAACACCAGGAATACGGCTTACGCCTCGTGGTCGTCCCCCACTATTTTATATTAAAAGTTTTAATATTAAGATAAAATATTAGATTCGACCGTCCCGGAAAAAGTCAAAAACTAAAAATAGGTACAGAACAGGAGAAACTATCTCACCTGGATGACCCTCGCCGACAGACTCCGAGGTAAAAAGAAAACACTCCCCGTCAGGAAATTCCGCTGCCATGTGTCCATTTGTGTATCCGTTGAGATAAGTTTTGTTTTCTGGCATTCTAGTCGATTAAAAAAAGAAAACTAATTTCAACACAAAACTGGAGTTTGTTAAATAATTAAAAAGCTAACGTCCGACGAGGTGATCGATCGAGTACCACCAGCGGAAAGAGGCCTGCGTTGTAGAGATCACGACTTTTATAAGGCCGGATGTCACGTGATCTCGTACGCGATGAGGCACTGACCGGTACATATATCGATTATAAAACAAATCAGGAAATTGAATTAAAAACCAGGATTTTAACATTTTTATTTATTTATTACGATTCGCCGGATATTTATTATATTTTTCTCATTTAATACAACTGAATCAAATCTAATCCTACTACTTACTACTTCATCGTTGTTAACCGGTTCGATAATCGATAATCGTTTGTCGTTGGTCGTTAGTCGTTAGGGCAATTGTAAAAGTATTCTACCAGTACCAATTATCTCTTACTTTTGGCGATTTCTGTACATACCAAAGTTCCACGACTTATAAACAAAGGAATTTTATAATTTGGTAGGATTTTGTTAAATTTTTTTTTTATCAAATGGTAAAAGCAAAAAATTATTTATCTTTAATCGTTTTGAAAAATTTACAAGGGGGGAAGAATTAGTCCTTAGTATTTTAACGGTTTTATTTGATTTACAATTATCTTTCTAGCAAACCATATAATAACACGGCTTCTCCATTATTACAATATCAATATTATTATGTACACTACTTTGTATGACATATTCTACACAATCAGTGTACAAGATGAATCAATGTAGAATACATAGGAACTATTTGTAATATTTATATAAAATGTGCATTTAAAAAAAAATGGTTCAGACAAAATCATGGGTATAAATTGTCTCTAGTGGGTACTGCAAATTGCTATAATGCTATTGCTGCTTGTTTGCAGTTGTATATTTACGTATAGTGCTCTCTCCCTAATCCGAACTTCGGTGCACTGAACATTCCAGAAAACCGAACTGGGGAAAAAAAATTCAAGAGAATTTTAAAAGAAACAAATAAAACTTATTGGGAGGGGGGAGAAAATAGGGAGCGAGAGATAGTGAATGAGGGAGAGTAAAAAAAAAGAGATAATATATAAGATATGTATATTCCCGTCAAAGATGAGTGAGAGATAGTGAATTAGGGAGAGTGTGAAAGAAAAAGAAAATAGAAAGTGAGAAGTAGAGTCAAACAAAAGAACAACAGCTTAGACCATACAAATTTTGGAGAGATTTTTTTTTTCAGTGAATTTCTGAATCAGAGGAGAGAAAGTGAAGGAGGGAGGGCGTGAAAGAGAAAAAGAAGAGACAGAGATACAAAGAGTGAGTGATTGAAAAAGAGAGAGTGAGGAGGGTCATACGAAAGACCAAGACTAGCTTACGAATTTTCGAGAATTTCTTTTTTTCAATGAATCCCTGATTCAGAGAAGGGGAGATAATGAATGAGAAAGAGTTAAAAAAAAAGTATGTGTGAGACTAAAATATATATATAAGATACATATTCATACCTGATTTTTCGCATCAAATATATTTTATTGGAACTTGAATTGGTGATGGAGAGTGTGAAAGAGAAAAAAAAGAAAGTGAGAGGTTGAGTCAAACAAAAGAACAACACCAGCTTAGACCATACAAATTTTCGAGATTTTTTTTTTCAGTGAATTTCTAAATCAGAGGAGAGAAAGTGAAGGAGGGAGGGTGTGAAAGAGAAAAAGAAGAGAGAGAGAGATACAAAGAGTGAGTGAGGAGGGTCATACTAAAGACTAAGACTAGCTTACGAATTTTCGAGAATTTCTTTTTTTTAATGAATCCCTGATTCAGAGAAGGGGAGATAATGAATGAGGAAGAGTAAAAAAAAAGTATGTGTGAGAGTAAAATATATATATAAGATACATATTCGTACCTGATTTTTCGCGTCAAAGATATTTTATTGGAACTTGAATTGGTAAGGGAGAGTGTGAAAGAGAAAAAAAAAGAGTGAGAGGTAGAGTCAAACAAAAGAACACCAGCTTTGACCGTACAAATTTTCGAGATTTTTTTTTCAGCGAAGGAGGGAGAGTATGAAAGAGAAAAAGAAGATAGAGATAGAGAGAGTGAGAGGGGTCATACGAAAGACCAAGACCAGCTTAGACTATAAGAATTTTCAAAATATCTTGTGTTTCTATCCTCATCTCCCTTCACTATTAAAAAATGAAATCTTAGATCAGTCAAAAATTTTCTTGTGTGAAGTATAATAGACCGACTGCTTAAATATGAGTGAAAAAGAAGTAGAAGCAACAAAGAAAAGTGCATAAAATTTTAAAAACTCATTTTTTAAATAAAATTTGATGGTATATATGTATTCTAATAAGATTAACGTCTGTCTATGCATTAATAATTAAGTGTTGTGTTGAAATTATTTTATTTTTACATATCTGTATTTTTTAACATCAACTATACCTTTTTAACAACCTGTGTAATTCAAATATTTCAATAATCAGAATACTCCCCACGCAGCAATTAGTTCAGATTACTGACAGAGCAATAATATCGTACACATTGTGTAATTACCACGATATTTGCAATTCAGGAGATCTGAAAAACTTCCTTAGATGAAAAGGAAAATTTGTAACATCTATCATTTTCTTTTGTACTTTTTCATTTCTAAATCGTTTTAACTATTTTATATTATTAAATTGCATGATTACTCCGTCAGGAATGAGTAAAATTGAATCAGTCAATGATAACCTAATGGCAACAATAGATAGGCAGGCCCATCATCTATGATAAGATTGTAAAAGATAAAATATCCATTTTATTCTGCTAGTGTACAAAAATTTTTTTATTACTGTCAATATAAAGCAGTGTGTACTAGTTTTCTAAAATGTGTGTACTAGTTCTAAATTATTGAAACAATGTTGAAGCGGTGAGGAGCGGTCAAGAACGAAGTAGTTTAAAAAAAAAACTTTTTCATTTTTTTTTTCCAATACTTTGACCTTTACTCAGGGTATCTTCAAAGCATAAAATGAAATTGTTGTGGACATAAAACCAACATAACACCACTAGAATAGCACTACACTTTATACTCTGAAGATGACTTGAATAAAGGACAAAACATCTGCATAAAAAATGAAAACGGCTTTTTTCTAAAATATTTAATTTTTGAACAATCTTCCGACTTGAACAAATTATTGAACAAATGATCACAAAAAAACATTATTGAAACAATTTATTTCAATTGAAATTGAGTTTTGAATTTGTCTGCATTATAGGATAAAATTCTGGATGTATTTTAAACTGTATTATTTATTTATTAATAATTAGTATTTATGCATTATTTTTAGGCAGTTTTTAAAGGTGGGTAAAATAAGTAATATTCCTATTTTACCCACTTCAAAGATGGCTTAAAATTAATAGTAGGTAAAACTATCCATGAAGGAAAAAAAGAAGCATCTGAACCAAAAAAGTTAGGAGAAATTCAAGGAATTTGAATAAATGGCCCAAAATTCTATTAGAGCAGCTTAACCACACTGACTAAGACTATCTGGGCCAAATTAAAATAAATAAGAAACCCAGAAAGTTCTCCCTCCCATCAGGGATCCGTGACTTATTAATACTTATGCCTCCCAGGCCTCTCCTATTCTAGATGTGGCTAATAAGTCTGATACAGAGACAGAATCATTTAGACACTAACATCAAAAGAATTGTAAAATACACTTATAAAATTTAATAGCAGTACTCCAAGATTAGACTGAATTAATTACAAGATGATGTGCTTAGAATTTGCAAAGTAATGGTACTAACTTTTTTGGAATATGATCTGGGAAAGTCCAGAAATTTCTAGAAATTATAAAAATGCATAATGTCTATGAGCTGTAATATTTTTTCATATATAATTAATAATATACACTGAAAGTATTTAAACACACAATGAAAAAGCAGAGAAATACAGGATAGGATAGTAAGGATGAAAAGATTGTTAGAGAGAATAATAAAAAAACAAAAACATTGTGCTATGTTACATATTTATCATCCGTTCTGTATAAATGATATATTATGTACAAAAGGATGAACATCTGACTTCTATAGTGGATGGACCAAGAATTCAGTATTTTTCCTGCAGAGAATAATAAAAAATAAAAACATTGTGCTATGTTACATATTTATCATCCGTTTCTGTATAAATGATATATTATGTACAAAAGGGTGAACATCTGACTTCTATAGTGGATGGACCAAGCATTTAGTATTTTTCCTGCAAATCATTCTGTATCTGTCTCTCAACTCCAGGTACTTACCTAGTTTTTTTGTCTATTCTGGTCCTTTTTTTATATATAAAGAGAGCTTCTGCTATCATCAATTTATAAAAACTATGGTCCAATCTTCTTGGGATTGATTTATCTCATTTATTGGTATCTAATATCTGCGCTTAATTACTTGTAAAGAGTATATTTTGACATGTATAGCTTGATTGAAGGACCCAAAATTACTTACAAAGCCTTTCAATTTTCTCTCAAAACGTATCAGCTAGTATGGCAGTGACATCTGTCTTTAAGTAATTGCTAAAACATTGAGCAGCATGAGCAAATTTGTGGGGGAAAAAGTTTAAATCGTCTGCAGTGGCATTAGGAGAATGGTGATTTTAGAAGAATGGTCTACATATACCAAAAACAAAATCCATCTTAGTCCTTTCTCCAGGACATGATTATATTGTAAATATCACGATTATTGGTGGTCTTTGAATTTCAGTCATCTTGAAGATTAAATAACTTAGTCTGATTTTGACAAGAAAGCTCTCATGAAACAAGCACGTGGGTTTTAATAAAGAGGTGAACAACTATATATTTTAAGGAGCTTCTTTGGTAACAAATGGTACATGGATCCTGAAGTATGAACACTTCTTTACAGGTCTACAATTCAGGTAACAATTGATTATGATTATTTTCTCCCAATTCTTCCTGCCATGCCTAAACCATGAGGCAAATGGAACACCCAGGCATGAAAACGCTTGAAGTACTGATTAATTAAATTATGCACTAAATCAGCCTATTTTTCACGAAAGTAAATAGTTGAGCCCATTTGTTGTCCTTATAGATAGATATTAACTAAAAGAAATACCTTTAAAAACTGACTCTGTCCTTTCTCTCGTTTTCACAGCCCATAAAAATGCTAAATTCCAATTTTGCAACCTTGGACAAACTCATAATAAAAGAAGTACATCGCTATGAACTGATGGACTATGCAGCATCCACCTTGTGTAGCTGATGAGCAATTCAAAATGGATATCTATGAAAAGTTTCTGATTCATTGTTTGATTTTTACAGATGGGTCTAAACTTTATGTTTTTGCATATTGTGCTTTCTACAGTATTCAAAATGTATATGATGAACAGTACTGTCTACGACACATTGCCATTGTTTTACGACTGAAGGTATCAATATTTTAAAACGATAGAATATGTATTTCAGAAATTTTTTACAAAAATTTGAATTTTTCCTAACAGTCCCAGTACTATATTTCAGTGCAAATACTTTGCAATTTTAATATAAACAATAAAAATAAATATGGATTTGTTTTAAATTATAAAAACGTGCGAATTTATCTAAATAATGTCAAATCCAATTTATTCATGTACATCTTCAAATAGTATATATACAATAAAAGAAATGTGTACATAAATAGATGAAATGGTAATAAAATTTCTATACAGTGCTTACTCAGTAATCCGAACCATTCTAGTCTATATTCTGCAGGGGGGTGTCTCGGATTATAGAAAAATTTGAATTACAGAGGGTGTTACAAATACATATGAAGTTAGGTCTTTCAAAGTTTTGAGACCTTCAAAACAGCCATGGAAGAAATACAACAATTGCAATTAAGCCCAGTGGTCAAATCCCTTGAAAAATGGGTACTCATTAGCATACAGTAAGTACCCAACAGGGGTACAATATTTCTTAGCACTATATAACAATTTCCCTGAATTTACAATGAATCAAAGGCTTGCGTGTTGTACATTGAAAATTCGTTAATTAAATATATATTACAATTATGTTTTCTACTTGGGCATTAGACCGTGACTTTGTTTGCATATTTTTTACATCACTTGTTGAGTTTGTTGTAAAGCAAAAAAAAATGTTTTAAAATTTATGATTTTCTATTAAAAAAGTACATGTCTTTAAACAATTCACTATGCTTATCGTGACAAAATTTAGGCAGACAATAGTTCAATATAACAAAAAGATGTCTTGACCCTTCATATCTCCTATCCTATTTGAGAAAGAATAGGATGTGGGCATTTCAAATTCAAATGAGTTATGTCCTTGGAGAATAGAGGGGTTTTTTTTATTCCTACTTTCTTTTATTTTATAATTGTTACATTTATTTCTCAATTTGTGGAAATAAATAAAAGAAATAAGGAATATTTGACTGCATTACACATATTTTTTTCTACTTTTGATAAATAATCGGACTAAATGTTAAAACACTTTTTACACAAAAAATATTCCCAAAAGAGGACCATAACATAGGACAGGCCTAATTGATGTGTGTGTGTGTGTGTTTGCGCGCACGCATGTTTGTGTGTGTGTGTGTGTTTGCGCGCACGCATGTTTGTGTGTGTGTGTGTGTTTGCGCGCATGCGTGTGTGTGTGTGTGTGTGTGTGTTTGCGCACACGCATGTGTGTGTGTGTGTTTGCGCACACGCATGTGTGTGTGTGTGTTTGCGCGCACGCATGTGTGTGTTTGCGCACACGCATGTGTGTGTGTGTGTGTGTGTGTTTGCGCGCACGCATGTGTGTGTTGTGTGTAAGGTGTGAAAGATAACAAGAAAAGAGAGTGAGTGAGTGAGTGCAAGGTGTCATACAAAAGACCAAGGCCAGCTTTGATTATGTAAATTTTTAAGAATTTATTTTGTTCAGAGTATACCTCACCTTTCACTACGAAAAAATGAAATGCTGATCAGTCTACATTTTTTTAGAATTAAGTATGATATACCTACTTAAAAATGGCTTAAAATTTATGAAAGAAAAGTTGACGGTATATATGTATTAAAATAGGTATAACATTCTGTATGTGCGACGATAATATTTTTTTAATGCAATTTTTTTAACACTTGCTGTAACCCAAAATTTTCAGTAACCTGATCTCTCCCCGCAGCAATTAGTTCGGATTACAGTGAGCAAACACTGTATGTTCCCAGATTCATTGGTCAAATTATTAGAGTTCATTCCATGGTGATTAAGATTTTAGCAGATCCCAGATATTAACATACGCATTGCCAATTTTTTATCATTACTATTATTTTTTTAAACATCTTTAATTTATAGGTATGTTTTCACTGATCATCTGGTCTGCCAAGCCTTGTCAGTTTGGTCTGTCACATGCTTTATGGCAGTCGGTGATCTTCATCAATGGGTTGTGGACCTGGACCAAGCCATTGTGAACAAGGAGACCAGGATGGTCTTTCATGACCAAACCACAAGTTCATTACCTAAACAAAATATCTCCCTTTAACGTCTAATGTAACTTTATTTTTAGCTGTAACAATGTACGAATCGCGTATAATCTTTTTTGGCAAGGGATCAGCGGGTTAACTTCTACAATTCATGTCGGGAAACTTGGTCGTAAATGCTTCAATTTGACGATGAGCTTTAAGCTTAAAATCCGGTTCATTGAAAAGAACAAACTGTGAGTAAGACCCAACTTAAAAAATTAATAAATTAATCCATATTTGCTTACTGACAATTGACCACATTAATTTTTTTTTTTTAAGTAAGGTTTTTGATTAATCCAATTAATTATTCTTTTTATCTAAGGTTTTTTGGTTGAGATGAAAAAAATTAATGTCATGAGCGGGATTCGAACCCACAACCTTCGGCTCAATACGCTGCTGTTGTAACCACTCGTCACGATAGATCAAGTGATTAGAACAGTGGCGTATTGAATCAAAGGTCGTCGTATTTTTTTTTAATCTCAATCAAAAAACCTTAGATAAAAAGAAAAATTAATTGGATTAAAATATTAAATAACATACTCATCCCTACCTTTATCATTTCTATGAATCACGTTTTATCTTACTACCAAACTGGTTTATAATTATCCCAGTTGAGCAATTAACTTTTATTTTTTCTCTCTCCCCCATATTTGGATAGTTGCATCAGTAAATATAACACAAGACACAATTCATTGTCTAAGTCAAATTTGTACAATATAAAGTACTATGCAGTATTATAATTTGTCGTTAAATGTCACTTTTTGTCAAGAGGATCATTATCCAAAATTTCAAAAACTACAAAGGCAAAAAATTTATAATTTCAAAAATTTTAATTTGTAGTTGATTTTTTAAAGCCAAATATTTGTTTGATTTTTTTTTTTTTTTCATATTACATGTTTATTCTGTTTTTGTTTCTTTTTCATTAGGATCTCTAAAAAAAATCCTGCTGTTGTTTTGCTTTGGTTTTTGACAGCAGGCAGGGTTGTACAAAAATATTTTTTGTTTTAAAGTTTTGTGTAATGTACATTCTTGCAAATAAAGATTTATTATTATTATTATATGCAAGATATAATAGTTCAACTTGTATTTACCACACTAGCGGTTCAAAGTGACACAGATAGTCGGGCATTAAGCCCTTTAGGAATTATTTTTCTCTGGCTAGTAATGTAATAATTGTTAAGTAAAGTAGTATGTAAAAAATTGTGAATAAATATATATCATGTATTTGTTTGTTAGGAGAAGGATATTGTAAAAAATGGGCCAAGGGTGACAGTGGAAATTAAACCAGGGGATCTATGAGCCTAGAGTCTATCGTGCTGACCAGACTTAATAGGGTGTTTAAATAAATAAAAAACAGATAAATTATATACTTTATTGAAAAAGACAAAAAATACATTTGTTATTAACTGATTTATAATGTTAAAATATGCATGAATGGAAGAATATCCACTCAATGATACATTTGGCATTAGTAGAAAACATTAATGGAAAGAAAGTAAATTATATTTTTAGCATTGATTTGGAAAATATATACAATTAATTAACATAAACATCCCGGTAACAAATCTAATATGTTGTTACAAACATCTCACGATAATTTTATATTAGGGTATGTTAATGATCTTTTTTGGATTCTTGACTTGTCGCATTTAGTTTTTCTTCCAGTTTGTTGTGTTGATCCAACAGTTTGTCGAATTCTTGTCCAACGTTTTTGGCCTGGGTGAGGGCAGCTTCTTTGTCTTTGGTCATTTTTGCAAGTTCTTCCGTAAGTTCATTGATTTTTTCATTCAGCTTGTTGACCTCTTCTTGGTGCGCTTCGTTGGAACTGTTTTGCGCCGCTTCACCGGCCCCCTGGCTCATAAGATTCCTCGCAGCCTTCGAAGCGGACACCGCCTGCTTCAGAACAGCTTCTTTTTCTACCATCAAAGTCGCCTGGCTGGATAAAAGAGACACGAATCGTCGAATCACAATGGAGAGGAACAGAGAAAAACCGGATATGTAAAAATTCCTCTGAGCCCTGAACAGCCTCATGCTAATTTGCAACTCACTTTCCAAGTGGTGAGACGCATCCAAATGTTCTTTGTTCGAGTACTTTCTCATCTCCCTGATAGCGTCGAGCAGAAAAAGTACTAGAATCAATAGGACAAAGCCAAAATACCAGTTTGCTTGGTTTCTCAAGACTTGGACGAATCTTGATTTGAAAAACTGATGCCACCTTTTCGCCGAAATAAAAGGCAAAACAAAAAGTCCGACCACGGCTATTTCCACGTAGAGGAAACCGGCAACTAAAGTCCACTGCAAACTCATCTCGGATGTTTTCTGTCAAACTACAAATCAACGAATTTCTCTAATGCCGGACAATGGTATTCACGAGTTTTCTTCACAAGTTAACTATTACACCACCTCATGTTCACACAAGTCCACGAGATCGATAGTTCCAATCCTTCGATAAAGATAATCAATGAAAAATTCACAATAGAAAATACAGCACTGACTAGAAATTATCTATTGCCAAACTTTCCTAATCAGAGAGATGATTTTGTTATATTTTGTTAACATTACTTATATTTTGGTCGCTAATATACAACGTGAAGGTCGTTTATCATCATTTACAATTGGATCCCTCTCTTTTATGAAAATGTATATCCTCGGTTTGGGTGGATTTGGGTTTTGGTACTAAAAAAAAATCACAAACGTTAAGTACTGGTATGTACGAATTTTTCTTTAAAATTGTATAATCCGTTGAAATAAAATGAATTATGCATCACCTGAATACTGATTACATTAAAACATACCTCTTAGGGAAAAAAAGAATATAATTTTATTATTTATGTTTTCTTATATTTCAATCTCAACAGTTTAACTTATGATTTTTCCTTCTTGAAGGTGGGATAATAGGTCATCTTATTATTTATTTATTTTAAAGGTACAAATAGGGCTTTAAACCCCTTACATGCACATAAATTAGAAATAAATGAAGTTTTATAAACATAATTAAATAATAATAATAATAAAAACCACGTGTGGACGGGTAAATATGAGTAGAAAATAAAATCTAGAAGTTCCATCAGAAAGATCACTATGCCTCCTATCACTCCTGCAAGGAAGAGCCAATTCTTTATGTCTGCGGGGGGAAAACGAGGTACTGGCAAAATTACGAAAGAAAATCAGAAAGAAGAAAAAAAGGAAACAGGAAAAAGAAAAGGCAATTCATGTCGTTTTTAAAATCTCAGATGCCATGGGCCTCAAACAAGCCAGCGAGGAAGCAGAACGTACTTCCTAGGGAAGCAAATTCTATAGGCATGATCCTGCAATTCTGAAAGATAAGGCCGAAGGTTTAGAGGAGGAGCATTGAAGCGTAGGATTGGTGCATTTGGATAAGGAATGAGGGAAAATAGTTGATAGATATTGAGGACATTACATATTTTAGAAATAAGTTAAGTTTTATAAACTTAGTAAAATAATAATAACAGCAATAATAATAATAAAGAATAAAAGGATAAGGATGAGCCTATATTCATGCTGAGACTGTTGCTAGTCTGACTCCATTATTGTTATTATTATTAGGCATACAAGCCTATGGGAAATGTTTAAATTATGGAACAAAAATTCAGAATTCTAATTTAAAAAAAAAAAAAAAAAAAAAACAAGTAAATTTTATATGTAATTTAAAATGGGTTTTGTGCATACATTCGGCCTTCCAAATTAAGAATTTTAAAAGGATAAATTAAAGATTGGATGGCAATAGGATAAATTAGTTTACGAGTGAATGTTTGGAGTCAGAGCTTTATAGCACTCAGAAGGGATATAGCTAAACTAAGATAGAAGGTTTGGGATGTTAGGGCATGAAATGACCTTAGCTGTTAAAACGCCTTTAAAAATTAATAATAATAATAAAACCATATGTGGAGGGGTAAATACGAGTAGAAATCAGGTCCCAGAAGTTCCTCAGAAAGATCACTTCCTCCTATGGAAGAGCCAATTCTTTACGACTGCAAAAAAATTAGATAAAAAATGCATGGTGATGAAAACACTAGGTCTTGGCAATAACTCTGGTAGCTAGCTGGCAAAAAAAAAGTTATAACAAAACAATAATTATAGTAATATATTCTTTAAAATATTAATTATTTATAATCAAATGATTTAACCACATTACAAAAGAAAAGCAGAAAGAGAAAGCAAATTCCATAGTCTTGACCCTGTAATTCTGAAGAATAAGGCTGAAGGATTAGAGGAGTGTTGAAGGCATGGGATTGGTGCATTGGATAAGGAATGAGGGAAAATAGTGATAAGGAAACAAAATTGTAGTCTTGGTTTTTGTCAACAAAATTATATTTGCTTACATCATCATAGAATAGAGTTTATTTTAACACAATTTTCATTTGCTATTTACAGGGGAAGTGGCAGGGCACTATTAAACCCCGTTTCATATGTATTTCTATTTAAACCCTAGACTTAATTTCATTGACTTTTTTTTAACGTGCGAACAGCTAGATCATAAGCATACCACACTTTTCCTCTCTGCATTTTTAATATTTCTGCATTTTCCGCCTGAAATTAGTTTATGTATTCAACCTTATCGTATGCTTGCAATGGCCTGGGACACATCTGTACCTTTCACATACAAACAATCAATATTCATTCAGTTATTTCCAATAACTACTTACAACATGCTAATAAATACACTCTTTTATCTGCTCAAATGCCTTACTATGTATAATTAAGAATAAATAGACGGTAAGATATTCTGATGATGACCACTCCACTCATTCATACTATAAGATAAAGCTAGAAACAGGCTGTCGACGCACTGAAATATTCCTGTGAATGGCCTGCTCTCATTCACACGAATTCCAGGATCTATTTAAAGTACCTTTGTATCACTAATATATACACTCATTCGTTTGCACACTTGCTATTCTATGTAATTTTTTTTTTTAAACCTTGCGGCCACTGACGCCCCCTGTAATTTTTATTAAGACCAACCTTGTTTAAATTACTCCAACTGTCACTTGTATGCTGATGATACCAACTCTATTCACAATGTCCCCCTTATTTCATCCCTGATTCCTTTTCAACTCATTAACAAAGACTTTTCTAGCTTGGTTAATTGGGCTTCAAACAATTGTCTCAAACTTAACCCACTCAAATCTCAATCGAGAATTATTTACTACACTCATCTGCCAACTGAGGCTTTTCCTTGCATTACCCTCGGTGGCTATTTAATACCTTCTCTAGTTGGTATGACTTTTAATACTAGATTATCTTGGGATGATTATTTAGGCTTGCTGCTACAAGGGTGAATGGGACTTTAAATTCACTTTGGAAATATAAATTTATTTCTCCAACATGAAAACTTGTCAACGACTAGTCAAAACTCTTATTTTACCAGTTTTTACTTATTTCGGTACTATTCTTTTTGTCTTAATCACGCTTCTACTAAAAAAATTAGAATACTTTTTAATAATAGCACAAGCATTGTATTAAGTTTATGAAGAAGAGAGCACATCACAACACATGACACGTGCATTCTTGGCATTAATTTATTTAATACCTTAAACTTCGATCTCATATTTAATTTATTAATCTTATTTAAAATTAAAAATAAGCTCTGCCCATCATACTTAATCATTATATATGATTTTAATTTTTCCTGTAATTTAAGTATTACAAAAAGCTTGCATCATAGATCAAAATCATCTCAAAAATTATTCATTTAGAGTTGCTGGGGTGTGTTGATGGAATTTCCTTCTGCGTCATAGTACATTGGCCCACCTCCTTCAGGCTTTCACACATGAAGCTTTCAGTTTTTGTTTTTGCAAACAATCTGGGTTTCTTTTTGGAGGAATATCAAACAACCTGGTTTCTCTTTTCTTGTATATATTTCAGGGCAACCTGTCCCCTCTTCGGCACATTTGACCATTTATTTTATTCCTTATTATCTACTAATTAGGTCTTTTTCCCGTGGTTGTGGCATGTGTAATGGATGTGGGTTTCTATTTGGAGGAATATCAAACGTTCTGTTTTCTCTTTTTGTGTATATATTTCAGGACAACCTGTCCCCCTCTCCATTACTTTTAGCAACTTATTTTATTCCTTATTATTTACTAATTAAGTGATTTTCTTTCTTTTTCCTGTGGTTGTGGCACTTGTAACGGATGTGAATTTCTTTTTTGTGGAATATCAAACAACCTGGTTTCTCTTTTTGTGTATATATTTCAGGGCAACCTGCCCCCTCTTTGGCACATTTGACAATTTATTTTATTCCTTATTATTTATTAATTAGATATTTTTCTCTCTTTTCCCTTTGGTTGTGAAACTTGTAGCAGATGTGAGTTTCTTTTTTGTGAAATATCAAACTCAAACAACCTGGTTTCTTTTTTTGTGTATACATTTCAGACCAACCTGTCTCCTCTTTAGCACAATTGACAATTTATTTTATAGAAATGATGAATGGTGGAGTGAGTGTGGTGGTCATTCCTTTTCAAAAAGATAGTTCATACTCACAGTAAATTGTTTTCCAATGATCCCGATTTCGAGCTTTTAGTTCATCTTCAGGTTATAGAACTCCTTCAACCTGATGATGAGCTAAAAGCTCGAAATCCGGATTGTTGGAAAACAACTTACTGTGAGTAGAAACTAGCATTTTAAAACTGATTTTATTCCTTATTATTTACTAATTAGATGTTTTTGTATATATATGTTTGTGTATGTGTACATGTGTCGTGGACTTGTAACAGATGAGGGTTTCTTTTTGGTGTAATATCAAATAACCGATTTCTCTTTTTGTGTATACATTTCAGGACAACCTGTCCCCTACTCAGCACATTTGTCAACTTATTTTATTCCTTATTATTTCCTAATTAGGTCTTTTTCTTTCTTTTTCCTGTGGTTGTGGCATTTGTTAGGAATTTGGGTTTCTTTTTGGTGGAATATCAAACAACTTGGTTTCTTTTTTTTTGTGTATACATTTCAGGACAACCTTTCCCCTACTCAGCACATTTGTCAACTTACTTTATTCCTTATTATTTACTAATTAGGTCTTTTTCTATCTTTTTCCTATGGATGTAGCATATGCTATGGATGTGGTTTTCTATTTGGAGGAATATTAAACAATCAGGCCAACCTGTCCCCTCTTTAGCACAATTGACAACTTATTTTATTCCTTATTATTTACCAATTAGGTGTTTTTGTATGCATCTGTATGTGTGTGTGTTTGTGTATTTTGTATGTGTATGTGTATGTGTGTTTGTGGCATTTTGTATCATCACTTTTTCGACTGAAGCACATCCTAGCGGCGTCTCGTTCAACGATGAACGGGTTGAATTTCGATTCTACCCCTTCGCGTTGTTCTCCTACTCCTATTCCATTAGGTTGGCTTTGACTTTTAGCACTTTACTCACTTGGCAATTACCTTCTAAAATGGTGGACATTTCGTGTTCTCATTTTCCTACGGGCAATTATTAGACATTGCATTTTTTTGAGTATTGTCGAAAAAGTAAGTTGATTAGCATTTTAGTATTAAATGTCCGAACTTGTTGAGCATGTTGTGGACGATTTGGAACGAACGTCCTGCTTTTTTATGATAGCCTTGAAAACGTATCACCTGTGTAAACAAGAAAATATGATCGGCTGATCAGTTAAATCATGTGTTGAATAATTGAAAGCCGCTATTTACCGTACACAGTCCATCCCCTTGTCTATGATAAATATTACGGAAAAAGGGTGTCTAGTCTCGTTCTGTTATGTTAAATTGATCAAAATGTAATTTGATAACTTGACAACCCCTATTTCTTCAACCCCTTGTGTTAAGAACAATTCGATAACGATATCCGCCTATGTGATAAGATTTCCCAAAGTGAGAGAATGTCGAAATAACAAGACTAGTTTAAACCACAAAAAAAGAAAATAATACACTTTTACCTATTAAACTATTCGATTGACATCTAAAATTTCCAGTTTATTTTATTTTTATGCTGGACGACGTGAATTGTCCATTTTGGAGCTGTTACTCCAGTAGTGTTTATCCCTTGTTTAAACATTTTATGAAGTTTCAATTGGTAATCTATAAAGCATTGAAGTTATTTATCATTTGTTAAAAAAGAACCTAGTTATGTCTTACTTCTTGAGTATAATGGCTGTTAATTCAATGCTTGGTTCTAAAACAATATTTGTGCCAGATTTTCAGTCTTCTTTTTATTAGAGAGAAACTCCATTTGCATAGTGAGTTAAAAGAACATAATTACAAATAGGCTAATCTAAGCTTTATACTATTAATACCGTAAACATGGTAATTTTTTGTTGTTATATCCCTCCTAGTTGATCGAATTATCAAACTCATAAATTTACCCTTTTTGCAAACCCAATTTTATTCGTTTGTGTAGTCTAGTTCGAATCGAAAGATTTCGTGTTACTGTTGGATTAGCGTTATTGTTACATTGCACACCCCCTAACAAAACATTCAAAACACTGTTAACTATCACTCTTTGTTGCCAGTAAAATGTGTAGAAACTGAGTAAACTTTCTTGAATGATGTAATCACAATGGATGTAAACAATACTGACGATTGACGTTTGGTGAAACATTTCGGTTTCTTTAAAAACGAGCACAAATTAATAAAATACACAACATGTTAACTTTTAGAAACAATTTTGTTACAGTGTAAGTAGTAAATGTTTTTTTATACACTTACATTTAAAAAAAAGTATTTTGCCTCTCATACACTCGCTCACTCACTATTTTCTTCTTCCATATACTTGTCTTGTACCCCCTCCGTTAATTGTTCAGTTCAAAAGATTACATTTAGTTTCTTTGAGAAATATCATACATAAATAAATTACACAATAAATTCAAAACAATTTAATTTATAAAAACAATTTTGTTAGTTATAATGAGTTGACACTGGTTGTAAACGATAGTTCTACCCACAAACTGACTAATGAACTAATGAGTAGATGTAAAGTTTTTTTATACATAAACATAAAAAAAAGACAACTTGTCTCTCGTTCACTCATTCACTCACTATTTTCATCCTCATTATTCTTGATTTGTGTCTCCTCTTATTTATTTAATACAAATTATTACATTTAGTCTCTATGAATTACAAAACAATTTAACTTTTAAAAACAGTTTGTCACAGTTATAATGTGTATACACTGGTTCTAACGATAGGTGTACTCATGAACTGATGAATGAACTAATGAGTTTTTTGTACAATTACATTTTAAAAAAATGTATTTTGCCTGTCATACACTCGTTCATTCACCATTTTCTTCTTCACTATACTTAGCTTGTATCTCTCTGTAATTTATTCAATTCAAATTATTACATTTACATTCTTTAAGAAATGTCGTACATAAATAAATTACACAGTAAATTCAAAACCTTTTAACTTATAAAAATAGTTTTGTTAGTTATAATGAGTTGACACTGGTTGTAAACGATGAGTATACTTACGAACTGATGAAAGAAATGAGTAGAAGTAAAGGTTTTTTTGTACAATTACATTTTCAAAACAAAAACAAAAAGTAACTTTTGTCCTTTGTTCACTCAGTCACTCTTTTTTTCCTCACTAGATTTGTCTTGTGTTTCCGTTATTTATTCAATTCAAATTATTTATTACATTTAGTCTCTTGAAGGCATATCACATATAAATAAATTACACATTGAATACAAAACAATTTAACATTTAAAAAATAGGTTTATTACACTTATAAACAGGAGAAGTAAAGTTTTTTTTTGTTTTTTTTTGCAATTCCATTTTCAAAAATGTTTAAAATATTTATTCCTCTTGTTTGGTTCATGCTTACCTTCTTCCTCATCCCACACTTATCTCATTTGTTCATTATTGACTTCATTTTAATGTGTTCATTTTAAATTTAAATACATCTTTCCATCTAATATTGAAATTTAAAATACATTACAAATATTATGGAAAAGTGTTAAAATTGTAAGAACTGATGAGGGGTGGGAATCTGTGATGACAGAGCTTTTATTAATAATTTCAAGACAATTCAAATTCTTGAGATAGGTCTAATCTAAAAATAGACCCGTACTCTTGTTGCCAAAAATAAAATAACAATCATTTTCAAAAATTAACTTTTACAAATATGATTATGGGCTTCAACTAAGCTAAATTTTAAGTGTCTATGTTACCATTGATATCTACATTAATTCTATGTCCACTATTTTTTGTCATAAAAATTCAAGCAGTGCTGTAATGTATAGTTTATATTTTATCATAATATGGATAAAAACTTTTTTTTATTTTGGTAATACAATTTTTTAATTTTTTATTTTAAATTTTGCTAATTAAAACTATTTTCCTTTAATTAAATTAAAATCAAATGTAGAAATCTGTTGTAAGGTCAAATATAAATATTTGAAAAGTTCTATATTATTCAGATCTGTTTCTTTTTCAAATAAATTAATATATAAATGTTTTAAGTTATATGCTTTTATGGTAAAATTATATAATAATTATTTAAAACANTTTTAAAGGATAACTAGTTTCTATATCATCCCAAAATACTGAAGATATACTTTGGAAACAATTCAGATAACTTAAGGAGCATTTCTTAATAAATGGAAATGATTGTTTCTTGAAACTGGTTATTTTGTGTAATTATTGATTTTATTTGTTGTATCTGAAATATACGGAAATAGTTTTATGGATAGGGATAAAAGGTGGCCTCAAAACCTCTTGCACCTTGACCTTAAAAAAATCTTTTATGCTTCAAAAAATCAGTTCATGCTGATTCCTGGGCCTCGAATCCTAGGTCAGATAACACGCCCAGTTGATCTTAAATCCGTGATAGAGGGTAATGTTCCTGGATTTGCGTCCTTTGTTACCTTTTACCAATTTCTTCTTTGGTATCTGAATCTTCCAAGCTCGAAGCATATCTATGCCTCAAGTGGTTTTATTAACCGGGATGTTCCTTGAGCCATAATGGGGCTTCTTTCATTAATATTGTTGCGACTGTCTTTCCCCTCGACTGTTTTGCAAACTTTTGGAGTCTGTCTTTCCTAATCCTGGTCACTCAGTCCCTCTCATAATGGACTTGACCAAAATTATGGAACTCCTTCGTCCATTTGGTATTAATCTGGAAAATTTCTCTAAGCATGTGGACTGCGAGAAATTTTGTATTTATTCTTTTCGATCCCACTTCTGTAGGGACATCGTTAAGGAAGTCAGGATGTAAACAAATAAATCTTGTATAATTTTTATATAGCAGATTAACTACTTATTAATTACTTAGATTAAACAGAATGTCACTCTCTTCAAGCTTACTGCTGCCCGTCTGCTTTGTTTACTTCAAGCTCTTCGAACTCTGGTGGGTGGCACCTTCCCCAGATCCTTGCTTGTACTCTTGAGTCGGATTACATAACAAAATTGTGCTGTTTGACTTAAAAGATTCAAAATGATAAAAGGAAAAAACCTGTACCATGGGAGAGTCATTCTAATAGCTGTTTAAAAGTAATTAATTTTTTACATAAGAATGAATTAAAACAAAATATCAAAAACTCTTTAGTTTAGTAAAAGTAACAAAGCGTTGCATTTACCCAACAGAACGTTGTGAATTTGTGTAAAATGTCTTTCTTGTATCAGTAGTTGAAGTCATGAATGACAGGAAGGGAGTAATATTTAAATTTTTTATTACCATATTACTGTATAACAAGAACAACAAAAACAAAACATTTAAATTCAATCCTTTTTAGTTTGGACATCAACTGATTTCTTTCATTTAACTGTTCAACATTTTTTGTTTTGTCACCTGCAGGAATGTCTTAATTTTGGAACTGCCGTGTCACAATATTCCTTCTTTACTCTTAAATATATTATTTATATTTTGTGTTAATCATTGTTTAATTCATTAATGTTTTTATGATTGGCACTATTCAGTGATTATTTTATTCAACAGGAATATGGACAACACTCAATTTTTAGTGCAATGGGATGAACATCCATCGCATCTAGCAACGAGATTAGGTTACCTTCTAGAACACCAATCCTTGGTTGATGTAACATTAATGTGTAATACTCACACGTTGAAAGTTCACAGGGCAGTACTTGCAGCATGTAGTCCATATTTTGAGGTGGTTGATTATTTTATAAACATATTTGTTATATATTTTTTCCATGATTTATATAAATATACTTACATTTTTTTAGCGTCAACTAGGCAATCATCCTCTTATTGTGCTAAAAGATATGAAATTTTCTGTGCTAAAATCTTTAGTGGAGTTCATGTACTGTGGTGAAACTAGTGTATCAGAGGAAAATTTATCACCACTGCTTGAAGCTGCCAAATTTTTTGAGGTATTCCTTTTGCCGTTTGTTTTAATTTTTGATTTATCTTAATTTTATATATTGTTTTATTATAAAATAAGACTCTTGTTCGAGTCATCCAATGGGTAGTTATGTTAAGCCCTCCTATATGACAGGGACTAACTTTACTTGTTGCTTTATTGTAAAATAAATAAGTTAAACATTTTGTATATCATTTGTAAAGCTTGTAATCATTAATACTACTTTTGGCCACTTTACTGATTATTGAAGTTACAATTTGAATATTACTGATTATTTTAGGTTGTGCCTTGCCACTATCATTTGTATCTTACACAGTATTGTCTATCAATATTAGATTAAATTATTCAGTATATATATATCTAAAGGCTTAACATGTGTGAAAATGGTTAAAATAAGCGATATTAATATGTGACGAAATTTAATTGTAGAAAAAGAATTGAAATGGTATTACAGTATATACAAAAAGTCACTTATGATCTTCTGTAGGAAAGTACTATAACTACACTACGTCACAAAAATTGTCTTAAAAAATTGAGGGCGAGGGATAAATATGTTTAAGAATTATTTTTTATTCAAAAATTAAGAATATATTTAAAATTAAAAATGTTTACAATTTACCAATTAGCAATTTGAGTTCAAGATCATTTTGCCTCTAAAAAGACAATTAATATTTAATAGTTACCTGTCATTCTGGTCTGCCTATCCTCGATGAACTTAATTGGTTCAAATAATAGGTTTACCATCCTGCAGACCATAGGGGGAAATCCCACAAAATAATTAATAGTTGCTATAATTTGTCAGAACTCTCGTTTCTCTCGGAAATGTTTTCATTTGAATTTTGTAAATTAAATATTAATCAAGTGGATAAGTGAATTAAATATTAATCCAGTATGGCCTAGCGCTCACTGGGAATTTTCAGTTATGCAATTCTTTGGTTGCAGTTACCTATTCACCAAACTATTCAGTTGCAAAGTGGTGTGATCACAAGGGGTTTTATTTGTTTTCAACTATTTGCAAGATGGTTTAAACGAGTTAGGTGCATTTTGTGCTCTAAATTTCAGGAGAAAGAAGAAAAAAAGTTAGTAAATAGAAAAACATTTTTGTCAGGATAAATACCATTTTACAGAATAAAATTTGAAGGTTGAAAATAAATTTTTTAAATTTCTTTCAACCAAATTGTTGCACAACTAAAAAAAATTTTTTGTTTCTTTGGGGAAGATTAGTAAGTATAAAAAAAGAAAGAAATGTACAGTAGACTCTCGTTATCAACTGGGGGATACGTACTAAGCATCACTGCGGATAATAGGAAACACCTTGAATTTCAGGCTTTGAATTATTTTCTTTCATCTACATACCAATCAGATACTTTCTGTATTGTGTGCGCTTATCGTCACTTTTTCTGCTATGAACTGCTTTTGCACTATGAACTTATTGTACGCATATTTCAACTTTTTTTTTTTCCAAAAAGAATTCAATTACGCCCAGTTATTTTTCTGTGATCCACCACGTTCCCACTTTCCTCATACTCTCTTCTAGAATTGAGCCAGTGGGGCAACCATGGATTATTGAAGGTGCGGATAACAAGTCTACTGTATTTATAATTAGAAGAGAGAAAAAAAAAGAAGGGTTACAGATACAAATAAACTTATTTATTATTTAAATTATATGGATTTTTACATGTAGCTGTTGTTATTAATGTTCAAAGTTATACCTTAATAAAAAAAAATTTCATTTGTGTTCCATAATTTGCTAACAAAACACATTTATATGTTTTAGGTAAAGGGTTTGTCCTCAATGACCAAGGAGACAGTTTGTGCTCCCTCGACTTCCCATTCGAAAACATTTAATGGAACTGCAATGGCTACTACTTGTAAGCTCTTTTGATTCTGATATTCCAATTTAATTATTTATCCGTATTTTAATGTTTGTTTTAGCAAGCTATGGACGAGGGGGTGGTAGGGGTAGGGGTAGGGGTAGGGGCAGGCCCCCGTTAAATACCTCTACAAAGGTAGGAAGTCCAACGGAATCGGCTCAAATACTTCTTTCCTTGTCTGGCACCCAGAGTCCTATATTCAGTTCTACTAAAAGCATAAAGTTGGACCCGACTGCGCAAAATTCAACCGATAAGTTATCCTCTAAATTAACATTTGAACCTAGAAGAAGAGGAAGGAAGCGGGGAGCTTTGAACACTGCTTTTAGAGATCGATTATTAAGAGAAGCAGATACACAGCTGGCTATAGAAAATTTGAAGAGAGATCTTTCGGATGAAAATGATATGAATTCCCCGTTACTTAGTTCTCTCCTGAATAAACAAGAAAGTAAGACTGACACCAAGTACCTGAAAGACATGGGATTATCATCTAATGTCCCAATAGTGGTGGATAACGGTCAAGGTAAACTTCTAACATTGACTGAAGATGTTTTAAAAAGTGTAATGGAAGGCGATAATAATATACAACTTCATCTTCCTTCAGATTCAAAATTGAAAAAACCTCCTCCTCGTCCTTTTATAGTTAAAGAAATGCAGGCAACCAGATCGGATGAAGAGGTCGAAATAAAACGAGAGCAGGAAGGAGCCTTCGATGAAGAAATGCTACAGTCTCTAAAAAACGGTGCTGTTAGTGAAGCGGAAAATGAACCAGAAGCTGTCGTGTTATTCGAAGTTACTGATAATAAGAAAGTGGAAAAATACGTTTTATCAGCAAAGGAAGTTAGTTTACTTAAAGCTTTAAATGAACAGTTAACAAAACAGAAGAAGGAATTAGCCGATATTACAAACAACAGTTTATCGACCGTGGACATTACCGGGTCCAATACTAAAGTAGCGGAGTTGAAATTAAAAATAGGAAAAACTAAATCTATTCTTTCTCAAGTTGTAGGATATGCAAAAGAAAAACTCAAGAATATTTTTCCAGATCAAAACAACAAGAAATCGCAAATGGTTCAACTTGAGTTTATCGACGGCAATGGCGAAAAAATTGAAGGTTATCAAGTAACCGGAACTTTAGTCGACAAAAAAGAAAATAAGGATGAATTTCTCGGCTTATTTGATATGGTTTGTGATGGAAACAACGACAGCCCTCTTCTCAGCGGCGATGCAGATTCAGCCGATAAAGGAAAATTAACACAACCAAACACTTTTCAATTAGAAGACAATTCTGAAGCTATTTCTTATGAAATTGAAGCCATGATGAATGACTCTTCAAATAATATAGTTATAGAAGATAAAAACCCAGATTTTAAATATATAATAGACAATGATGGTAATATAATGAATCAAGAGGACAACTATGTAGTGTATGAAAGTGAAAATGTTATATACGATGGTAGTCAAGGGGTTTTACCGGATATTACCGAGTCGGCGGGTCCAGGAGACTATGTCGTTAGTGACTCTCAAGTTATTCATGAAGACGGCACGGAATATATCGTTTATGACGATAAAGAAGAACTCGAAATAAAAGGCATGGGCGACAGTGCTTACATTGTGTACGAAAACGACAAAGACGCGGATAGTTTTGTGATTTATCCTTCGTCGACGGACATGAGTAAAGAGAGAGAAAGTGAATGTGAGGACGTGACTCTTGAAGGTAAAGGTAGAGACGACATCGCAGAAGGTAGCATCTGTGACGTCGAAAGTGGTAGAAGTGGGACTGAAAGTAGAGGTAGTGGTGCTATAGACGAAGAAGAATGTAAAGAATTGCATTCCCCTTCTTTGTCGTCGTTAATCAAATCAAACAGTAAGGAAGAGGAAAGTGAAAGTGGGGACGTGCCTATGGCAGTTGGACTTGTACCTCTAAAAGAGGCATTGGAAAAATTTCAGACTATTAATGAACATCAACCAAGAAAAACTAGGTTAAATTCTATATGTACAGAAGAAAATGGAAGTAAAAGAAAGATGTCAGTTTCATCAGATACGTCTGATAGATCAGAGAAGAGAATGCGCTTAGACCCTACATTAATTGAAGGAATAAATGAGGGGAGTCTCTAGTCCCAACTTATATATTTTATTGATCTCATTTAATTTCCCCCTTCCTTTAACTCTTCATGTTGCTTCTTAGTTACCTTGTATGATTGTTTTTTCTTTTTTTCCGTTTTCTTTTTCTAATTATTATCACTTTTTTTGAAGCAAGTGTGTACTGGAGTGTAAGAAAATGATTGAGTGAATACAGATGCATGTAGGTGGACGCATTTAAATGTGACTAGACCAAGTTACTTGGTAATATTTTATACAAGAAATTAAAACATGTAAATATCTATTTACATATTAATAAATATAGTCTTCTTGTGTAATATACCCTACATAAATATCTGTACGTGAATAAAGGGCGTTTCTGATTTTATAGGTTTATATTATTGCTAATTGTTCTTGTAAATATTGTTTATTAAATGCTAAATAAAATAATACATTTTTAAATTTTGTTTTAGCTTAATGACTGCAGAAGATTTAACATTGTTTTTTAATTTTATCACACCAAAAAATTTATGGACACCAAATTTGTACATATGTTTTACACTGAAAGTTTATTCAGTTTCACAATCCATCTATTGATAAAGTTAGATCCACCTATATATAATCATAACATTCTAAATGTAAATATTGTAAAAAGAAATTAATTGGAAATAATAAATATTGTCATCAGATTCTAATTCTGGCTTATTTTGCTGCTATACAAATATAGTGGATAACCATCAAACCTCCAAGTCAAGGTTTTTATTTATTATGTAGTATATTCGATTTAAAATACGACAAATACTTGAAGGATGATGGTTTGTGTTCATGTGTTGTTTGTGTACATCACATTAATTGTGAATAAATTGTATTTTCTTAATAAAAAGTCATATTTTTAAGTCGTAATGATAAATCACAGTGATGTGAGTACCCATGCATATATAATTTTATTTTGACTACTAACGAAACATGCATTGAAGGATAGAAATAGTTAAGGCGGAGTAAAATAATTCCTATCATACAGGAGGGCTTAATATCCACCTACCACAGGGGGGTTCGCGGACGAGGGGGTCAAACTACTTACTTCTTTCTTACTATTCTAAATTAAAAAGACATGGGCCACGCTGGGATTCGAACCCAAGATTAACAATCTGGCAAATAAGTCGTCGGCCTTAACCTCTCGGCCACTTAGCTCCCTATATTTTATTTAAAAATTTGTTAAATTTAATTTACTTGGGCCTCATAAAGTGCACCAATGTTATTTATTTCCATTGATATGATTTTCATAACTTTTAACTCTATAAAATTAGTCTAAACGATTTGTTACCTTAGTGCGTATGTAAATTTTTGATGTAACATAAAAATTAAAAACAAATTAAATTCACTAGTTTCGTGGTCCGCTTGACCAATTAATATGTTACAATTAATTAAGGTTTTCAGTTGAGATAAAAAAGTCAATGGCACGAGCAGGATTCGAACCCACGATCTTCGGCTTGATACACCGCTGCTCTACCACTTGAGCTATCGTGACCTCCATTCACTCGGACACCAACTTCCCATCTCAACCACACCTTTTTGAATTTTCCCTCCTTTTTGCCATTTTTCAAATGTGTTGTAATCAGATTGGATTCTCAGTGAGAAATTAAATGGCCACGGAGAGCTTTAGTGAAGGTATACTTCATTTTAAACTTATTAAATTCACTAGTTTCATGGTCCGCTTGAACAATTATTACTTTACAATTAATTAAGGTTTTTAGTTGAGATAAAAAAAGGCAATGTCACGAGCGGGATTCGAACCCACGATCTTCGGCTTGATACGCTGCTGCTCTACCACTTGAGCTATCGTGACCTCGATCCATTCGGACACCAACTTCCCATCTCAACCACATCTTTTGGAATTTTCCCTCCTTTGTGCCATTTTTCAAATGTGTAATCGGATTGGATTCTCGGCGACAAATGAAACGGCCACGGAGAGCTTTAGTGAAGGTATACTTCATTTTAAACTTATTAAATTCACTAGTTTCGTGGTCCGCTTGACCAATTATCTTATTAATTAAGGTTTTCAGTTAAGATAAAAACAAAAATAGCCGAAGATTGTGGGTTCGAATCCCGCTCGTGACACTTTTTCATTTCAACCAAAACATATAAAAAGATTAACTAATTGAAAGAAATAATTTCGTCAATAGACCGCTAAATATAATGGATTTAATAAAAATTAAAGGCAAAATAATAAATGCGCAATTTTTCTCTTTGTTGCTACTAGTTGGCAGTAAACTTTTATTGCAGAGAATTTGTTAATTTACACGATACAATTGAGATTGTAATATTGATGCCATTGAGATTCAATATTTTACCAAAATATAGTCTTGTATAGTGCTTTTTTTCCCCGGCTGGCTAACTACTAGGGTCATTGCTGGCACCTCACATATGTAAGCTTCTCAGATTTTTTTAAATTTTGTTTCCTATCGACCAAACTGAGGAGTGTTAAAAATACTTCAATATTTACAGACTCACCCACAATACCCACTCACGCTAAGAAAATAATTACCTAATCTACAGTTGGCAGGGCTCAGAGTACCGATGCACGACAGGTCCTTAGTTTCGTCCATTTACACAAAACATTCACGCTAATAAATACATTCATATTGGAGAGGTTACAGCAGTTATTATTATTACTACAACCTTGCTAGTGCCGACCTGTCCTTCACATCACACAACAAATATATAATTACCTAAACTAATTTGGCCAACCTGTGAGCTATCGATATTCAGTCACAGACACACCCAGGCATACCTCATCACTCACGCTAATCACACTGAAAAATGGAGATATACCACTTGTGGTTGGTTATTATAGGATTGTTAAACTGGCAAAATTGCAAAATGTAATTTTTCACATTCTTTACTTTTACATGGCGCCGGTGATATCTTCAAAAGCATTTTTGAGATTTTAAGCTTTGCACCTAACCCTCATTACTAGAAATTACTAGAAAAGTGAGTTGCAAGTTTCCCATATTATTGTAAACTGACACTCTTGAAACTGATTTAAATTGTCAAGAACTGAAGAAGCGTCAGCTATGAATCATGTAAAACTTTTGAATAATTCTTTATTTGTTAAAATGAAATGATAGCTCTATTCACAAAATGATTTTATGCAGTTGTATTGAAGGATTTTATTGCAATGGATTCCTCTGTGTAATTTGATTGGCATTTCTGGCAAACAATAGCCGGTATTCCTGTACGTGTAATATGTATTCTCTAACATTACATATTATTATCCAAATTATATTATTATTGTGCGCACACTTAGCCTAATTGTACATTGGGTAAAAGGAATAAATTTCTAACAATTTAAAAAAAATAACACTTTAATGTCCATTTATTTACACATTCAAAATAAGAATTATCACAGACCATTTTTTTTTTCATATAGGCAATTAAAATAAGCTAATTAGAAATTGGTTTTATTTACAACAAATATTTAACAAGTAAAATCATTTTCAAATGTACAATAAAAATTACAATGATAATTCAATTAGAAGTTGTGACAGAGGAACAAATTGTTATAATACAAATCTATAAAATTACCTTAATCATTGACTACTTGAAAGTTGTAATTAAAAAAAAAGTAACGAATCAATCAGAAATGTAGAAATTACTTAAGGGAGAAAATAAATATAAAACAATAAAAAAAAACTTAGATTTTCCAGCAATAAATTTCTTTATCGTTTACACTTTTTTTCTGGCAAATGACTTACATCTGTCTAAATATTTTTTTTTACATTGCATTTTTACACTTGAATAAAAATTTTAAAAAATATTTTACTTATATTTTTACACATTTTTCTTCAAAAGTACTCAAGAAACAATTTGATTATTTAAGAACCTAGCTACAATGTAAAGCATTTTAAGGAATTACACTTTTACTTACGAAAATTGTTCAAGATTATAGTATCACTTTATCAAACACGCCTCTTATAAAATAACTATCATACAATATATTTTAAAATTACACTTCATTTAAAAATATAAGAAATAATTTAAAAAAACAGCACAGCGTATCAATGAATGTGAACGTAAGTAATTTATTGTTCGTTAAAGATTCCTATGTACATGGATACATTCCTTTCCTATTTAATGGTACAAAACTACAATAGGGAAAAATAAAAGAGGTTGTAACAGATGAAATCACTCATTTATCTGAAAAAATTAACCATATTTTATGCAATTAAAGTACAAAAAGATTTACAAGTGATTGTACAAATCACAAGTTTTTCTAACAGCAATAATTCTTCATTAATTCAATTTAAGTTCGTTTTAGACCGAAATATTTATTTACACAATACTTTAATATTTAAGGAATTTTATGCGACAAAATAGTACTTATACATTGCTGTAAATGTACAATAAATAAAACAACCCTGGGCCAAAGCATATACCAAATATGCTTAGAAAGAAAAAATATTGAATGTTGGATCGATAGAACAAGGACAGAACAAATAAGGAATTAGCGAGTATGGAATTTTCCATTTTTCAATGGCCAAGGACTACCATAAAATCCAACGGCACCATATATAAAATAAGATTTTTTGCCAAATATATCTCTTCAGTTTTTTCCAGATTACTTCCATACTTTTCTCTTAATAAGCTGAGAAGGCAAATTTTCACATATTTTTTTAATGCCTATTTTCTTGTTATTAATTAGATAAACTAATTTAAGTGAAAGAAGTGAAACTCACTAACAAATTATTGCATATAAATTAAGCTGATATCTTTCCAACCAGAGGTTGGTTTCAATTTTCAAGGTAATTGAACCTAACAAACATTTTAAAATAAAATTATACTTAATTTACCATTTTTAAACTTATACGTAAAAAAAAATAAAACAACAATAAAAATACAGTACATTCTATATTAAATGTAGTACAAGTTTTTACTAAAATAATAATAGTTGATATGTAAAGTTTGAAACTCAACAGTTCTCACCGAAAATAAGAAGATCGACTGAAGAAATTGAATAGTTTATTTTTTTAAAATAGTTTGTTATACATAAAAGGCATTTAAAAATTGATATGAAGCCATGATGCCACAGTTTTATAGCCATTCACTCCTTTTTGTTCAGTATCTGTTATGATTTGGGGAATTGTTAACTTTTTTAATAAACACGGTACGTTAAACTTAGGCCCGTATGTCAAGGTTTCTTTCACACACATTGGTATATTACTTTTATTTATGACTAGGTTATCATTTTTTATTTTTCCTCATGACTAGATGTTTGTTGACTAGATATTTGTTATTTTTGGTGAAGCCATTCAAACTTTTGTTGGAGTTTTTTTTATGTTTATTTAAAAAAAAATTCTCAATTTTTTTTTGGTGAACATATTTTAGAATTTTGCCAAAAAATAAAGGAAAATTATAAAGTATAGTAAGAAGTAAATTAGTAAACAAAATCGCAAATTTCACGAATATAAAAACCAAGTATAAAACTACTCCTTTAATTATTATTATTTTTTAATTTTATGAACACTATTTTGCAAACTGGGCAACCACAGTTCCTATCAATTTATTGGTATTATTAAAATTAAGTGTAAAATTGAGTAATACTATGTATATATCACATCCCTCTATCCCTCCACTTTCATTTTCTAGTGTGTATTTGTTATGTACAAAAAAATTTAATGTGTATCTCTCTCTCTCTCTCTCTCCCTCCCTCTTACAATAAAGGGTTGCGCTTTGGAGGACAGTTTTTAATTATAAATATTTGGGCAGATTCTTAACCGATTATGCATTTGCAAAAGCTAATCTTAAAAAGCGGAATCTAAAGGTACTGCATTATCCCGCGTAAATCGATTATTATTTGGAAATCATGAGATACGGTCTGGTTGATGTAGGCTGCAGGAAAACATTTTCTTTATCGTGCCAACGTTTAGATCTTAACTGAGATCATCTTCAGGGCCTGGGATTTACAAACATTGTTTACATTTACCATACACATGCAGGATGTGAAAAAAAGTGAATTTATACAATTCAAAAAAATATTTTTTATATTCAGTCAAAGTATTTCTACTCACACAAACTGTTTGTTTTCCGCGTAATTGTGCCATTCTTGCGTGTCAGAGTGCGTGTGGTGAGAGTGCCAGTGAGATATTGCTGGGATGTTATATGAATTGGGATGTTTATATACGTTGGATTTTGAAGGGCGGGGAAGGAAGTCGGTATAGAAAAGACATTTTTGTATAAGGAGTCGGCTTCTTTGAGGAGAAAAAAACATTGGTAATGGTTCGGCCAGATTATCCTTTCAGGATTATATAGATGGGGATAAATAGGAAAAGGAAATTGTTGAAAAATTAGACTATGCAAAAATGTTTGATGTGTGGAATGTGATGAATGTTTTATATGTTTTGTGTGATGTGATGATGATATATGTATGTTATTAATATTGAATTTGATTAATGATATTGGCGTAGCTGTGACTGAGTTTATATGTGTCTGTTCTGTAACTGATGCTGTGTCTGTTCTGTAACTGATGCTGTGTCTGTTCTGTAACTGATGCTGTGTTTATCTCTGTTGATGTAAACCATTTCTAATAAATTACGTTTATGTTTGTTTTGTTCTGTGTGTAATACTTTTGGATTTTTGAAGTTGAAATTGTGATGGTGTTCAAGATGGTGGGTAGCGAGTGCTGTAAGATTTTGCTTAGGTTTTTTGCAATCAGATATGTTGCTTTACTCTCTTGTCCTGATATTGGGATGTAAGACTGATGTAAGTTGCCGGACAGTTTAAACAGTTGATCTTGTAAATTGCGTCAGATTTATTTGTTGTTGGTGTGAGATCTTTAATTTTGGAAAAAAGTGTTTGAATTGTTTTATAATTTTTGAAAGCTATTTTGAAGTTATCGGACAAGAGAAATGTGTTTAATTTATGTGATAGGCCTTGGATAAATGGCTTGGAAATGTATGCTGGTTTGTTTGCATTCGATAGACTTAATGTAGTATTATTAGTAATAGTGGATGGTGTTAGTGTTGAGTTGTAGTTGTTGATTATTCGGTTAATTATGTGTTTAGGGTAGAGATTGTTATGGATGATCTGTTTGTATATCTTTATGTTTTTGTGGTGGAAGGATTCATGGCTTAAGGTAATCATTCTATGAAGTAACCCTTTGGCCGTGTTTATTATTGTATGAAGATGGAAGGATGGTGAGATGTAAAGTTGAGGTAGCGATCTGTCTTTCTTGGTTTTTGATACCAATCTGTGATTAATGTGCCATCTGGTTGTTTTATTACGAGTGTATCTAAAAATGGTATTGTTTTGTTGTTTTTGATTTCATGTGTAAATTGTAGGTGTGAGTGAAAGCTATTACATGTATCTAATGTAGTTTGAATTTGATCTGTGGGAACTGCTGTCAATATATCATCTGCGTATTTAGTGAGGAAGGATAATATTAAAGGAAGTTATGGTACAACTGTGTTTAATAGATGTGACATAATTATGTCTGCAAGTATCGAGCCTAGGTTGCTACCCATGGCTATGCCAAATAGTTGTTTGTAAAATAGATTGTTGTATGTAAAATATCCATTAATACAGCAGTGTCGATCCATTGTTATGAACATGTTCTTTGATAGAGTTGTGTGATTTATCTTTAATAATGTTCAGTGTTGTGTCTATTGGAATATTGGTGAACAATGATGAAACATCTAGGGATATGAGAGAGTAGTGTGAGGGGATGTGAATATTATTAATTTTGTTAATGAAATGAAATGAATCTTTTACGGTATATGTGTTATCTGATGTTTTGAGTATGTTGGTTAGGTATTTTGTCGTATTATATGCAGGGAATTTACAAATGAAATTATGGGTCTTAGAGGGTGTTCAGGTTTGTGTTTTTACAGATCCGTATAGTTTCGGGGGCGTTGGTGGGTTGTTTTGAAGTGATTTGTAGGTGTACATGTCAATTTCTTTTTGTTTAAGTGTTTCTTGGAGAATTTTGTTAGTCTGTTTGATTAGAGAAGGGGTGGGGTCTGATTTGTTTGTGTCGTTGATAATTTTGTTAATTTTTTCCTTGTACTCTTTTTTTCTTACAGCTACTGTTTGTTTTGTTTTATCAGCAGAAAGAAAGGTTTTTCTGAAACCTACATCACACCAGACCGCATCTCATGATTTCCGAATAATAATCGACTAACGGTCACTAATCATCACACACGTAAATCAGATTGTTTTTGGTCTACCACATGAAGCTCAAGATGAGCTTGATAGAGAATGAATAACTACGCTAGATAAACACACTGAAGAACTTGGAAAATTGAAAGACCCTTTACTAGGAAGAAGAAAGAAATGCATCTAACCAAAGGTTAAATAAGAATCCATTTATGTTTAACTGTCTAATTGACCATTTTAATTATCTCAATTAATTATTCTTCTTATGTAGAAAGTCACGATAGCTCAAGTGGTTAGAGCAGCGGCGTATTGAGCCGAAGGTTATGGGTTCAAATCCCACTCGTGACACTAACTTTTTCATCTCTATTACATAAAAATAATAATTAATTGAAATAGTTAAATAAGAAGTTGGTTCCAAAATTTAGATAGCAAAAAATTAATTTAAAAAAAGAAACTGTCTAATTTGTAGTGTTGTGATTCAAAAATTGCTACAATCCAGTAACTGAATGTTGTTGCAAAAATTAAGTCACAGAAAAGTCAATCTATGAATGAACACTCGATAAATTTAAATGATTTGGATTTTGAAAATCAATTTTGATTTAACCAAATTTATGCTAATCAGCCAGGGGCAAAATTACAACTGTTGATAAAATTAAACATAGTAATATTATTGTCTTGATGCATATGTTAAATTACTGTGTTTATTAGACAGAATAAAATCACATTAAATGATCTTATGATGGATATGTGGATGGATGGATAGATAGATAGATAGATAGATAGATAGATAGATAGATAGATAGATAGATAGATAGATAGAGAGAGAGAGAGAAAAAGTAAAATATTTTCCTATTGTTCTCTGCAGATTTATTTTATTAATCAGGTTTCCCTATACTCAACGCAGGTTCATACAGATATTCATGCACAATGAGCCTTTCATTTTAATATTTTTAATAATTTAAAAAGAACCATATAATAAGTACAGGGTTTATTAAAGAGCGAAAAATTCAATCCGTATGCAAGAAAAACAAAAGACTATTTATAAAATTATTTACTAGGGGAAAAATATATAAGAAAAAAAAAAGAAAAAAAAGAAAGAGCATCTTTCATGCTATGGTTTAATATTTTTATTACCTTCTTTTGTCTAATAAGTGCTCTTGTATTTAAAGTTGTTAACTTCTTTGATGTTTGTTCGTATAATTTTTCATCTCCTACGTCTGAAATTGAAAATTAGAGATACAACGATAGTACTATTTACATTCAAATATGAATGCCATTGGGTTCTTTAGTTTTCTTTTGAATAAACCATACTGTCAGTAATGATTTTCACGTTGTCACGGGGTTTATTTAAAATGATAAATTATTTATAAATACAACTTAAGGTGTAATTAACATAAGGGTTATGTTATTCCAATAAGAACCGTAGTGTGTATAAAATATGACAATTACAAAATAAAATCGACAAATCCATACCATCACTTGCATCCCTGCTTTTATCAACAACATGAACTCTTCTCCCTTTAAGTGAACTGATTTCTGAAATTAAAGAACATTATGTTAAAGAACATTGTAACTACTGCTGTAAGAGGTGGGGGCAAGAAAATTATATTTTAAATGTGAAAGTTCCTCTTGAGGTATATGAGGTAATTAACCTCTAGCTTGGTCATTTCTGATTATTTTGGTCTGCCTATCCTCGCTGTTTTGGTTTGTCAAAAGTGTTTCAGATCTTTTTCATCATCAGTGACGAGTTAATGTGGTTTTCTGTTCCCAAAAGATCCCTTTTGTATCTTGTCGTGTGAAATGTAAAAAGAGTTGTATAATAATCAGTGATGTCTTTGTTTATGGAATATTTCTTGTCTTAAATCAATTAATTTATTTATTATTAGTTTATTGGAACAAGAAAAATCCCAATTTATTTGTCAAACACTGCCAAAGATAATACTGACTCCCATACATATAGCCCAACCCTGAATATGGAGAACCGAAAACAAGGTCCCAGAGGTTTTTTTTTATGGCTGGCCTGACTACATTAATTTAATCTATCGATCAGGCACCTTTTTTTCTCTTTTCTTTTTGATAAATGAATTTCCAATATTCAATACAAAACCAGAATAGATACAAGACCAAAATATTAGGAAAATTTAAAATCTTTTATTACAATTTATTTCAAAATAAAATTTCAATTTCTTTTTTTACTTTTAATTTAAAGAATCTTTTTATTTTATAATAAAACCTATTTTAAAATCTATAGAACATCAATTTTAAAATCGAATTTAATTCTAGTTTTATAAACAAAAGTAAAAGTAAAAGGAAATTATTATTGTTATTTTTTTTAACCACCAATCTGAAAATACAATTAAAATGTTAACACAACTTTTAAAATCAAATATTTTTTCTTTTACTTTTCTTTATAAAACGAGAATTAAATTTGATTTTAAAATGTTTTGTAGATTTTAAAATAGGTTTTATTATAAAATAAAAAGATTCTTTAAATTAAAAATAATAATTAATAAAAAGAAATTGTAATTTTATTTTGAAATAAACTGTAATAAAAGATTTTAAATTTTCCTAATATTTAGTCTTGTATCTATTTTGGTTTTGTATTGAACACTGGAAATTCATTTATTAAAAAAAATAAAAAATATACAAAAAAATCTATATACATTTTTTTTTTATTAAACAATACATTATATTTACTACGTAATTACAAATTTGAGTGACAGTGGCAGGGCCGCTTTAACTACAACCAGAAAGTCTTTACATTTTTTAAGTTGTGGTAAATAATTACAAGGAGGTTTTTAAGAAGTGGGAAAAAGTTTAAAAAAGCCACTCATTTAGCTAGGAGAATTCGCAAAATAGATTTTGAGGGTGCAAATAAGCTAATAAATAAATAAATTTAAAAAACACATTCCTTATCTGACAGGCCTTAAGGAGAAATCCGATGTAAGCTGGACCCCATCTTAGTATAAGTTAAAATTAATTTTTAATATATATATATCTTAAAAGAGTGTAAATCTGACGGGTTGCACAACCAGCAGTGAGCAAATAAACGTTTCGCAAAAATCTGGAAAGCATAGAAACACGACAACCAAATTGCACATAAATTTGGGTTCTCGTCAGCCGGGGGTGGGCTTTGTACCTGAGGTCCATCGACAAGAGGGGGCTGTGCAATGGAAACTTCTGAGACGAGTTGTTGCACGGCTAACCAGGTCTTGACCACAGACCAACCCTTCCAAAAGAAGTTGACCCCTCTTGTTGGGAAACTGATATAAAAAGGGACCATTTGAACATCAAAGCCAGTTAATAGAAGGACACGGTCAGCCAATTGAAGCGTGAGTGAAAAGACCTGGTCGAGGATGTTGGCTATCTGGGACCAAGATGGGTGAAATACGGTCAACTGTTGAAGAGTGGCCTGATGCAGGAGTCAACTAGCAAGTTTCTTTGAAGCAACAGATACGGGGATGGACTTGGCCAGCCGGGGACTCTGTGAGAGTACTCCGTCAATCCAGGGGCTCACACAACCAGTAGAGAACTCAGTCAAACAGCCATACTCAGTTGTAGACTTTGCAGCCAAAGCCAGCAAGGAATAGCCATTGTGACAAGTTGAACAGAGTTGACTGATAAGGAACTAAAAAGCTGCAGAAAGAAAACTCCGGAAGACTTAGAAGGATGTGGAGCTAGTGTTGGTGTGCATTGTTTGGTGTAAGTCCTGTTGGTAAATAAGCTAATCCCCAGAGTTAGAATTGTTTTTTTTTTTTTTTTTGTTATTCCTACATTAAGACGGTCCAGTGAAAAAAATAAATGTTTATGAATACTATCTCTCTAGTGTGTTGGTTTTTTGAACTTTACCTTCCATCCATACAAAAAGTAATTAAGCATATATGCTAAATGTTCTTATATTGCTTAGCGATATGTACATAAAGTCAGCGCTTATTAAACCCACAAGAAAAAAAAAAAATTAAATTCATTACATGTATACTTTTTAAATACTGGGAATAGTTCTTTCTTCTTATTATTATTATTAAACATTTTAGAATTATAATGATTTAAGCTACTCACTTTTGGATGAATTCTGCTCTGCAAACATTTGTTTTCGAATTTTTTCCTTGCTGTAAAATTATACAATAATTAAACTACATTTATTTACACATAAAAAAAAATCCAAACAAAATAAAATTCGATATAAAGCATTTTGACAAATGGTGAAAACTATACTCTTTGGAAAAGTGCCATAAATTTACCTATTTACAACACCTTCAAAAGCAGACTTAATTATTCTAGCTGCAGGCTGGAAACTCTAGAATTAAATAAATTTCAAATAGAGGTTGATAAATTCAGAAAATAAAGGTAGTATATCTTACAGATTCTCTCAATCTTTCTGCCCTTCTGCGGCTGAGTTCATCACGTAGATCGCTTTCGTTGTCATTATCCGGTTGATTAGTGGATAATTTTGTAACTGATTTTTTTTCACTGTTCGAGGGAACATTCAAAACTAATGAGTCTTTTGAATCAGAATGAAAATTGTTTCCTTGTTTTCTATGTTTATCAAGTTCCATTTTTTGAAGGGCCAATTGCTTCCCTTTTGTCTTAACTTTGTCCATGTTCTTGTTTTTGGAAAAAATTAATTCTAAAATACATTGATAATTACTTCACATGTTGTACAATTATTTTTTAACAATTGTAATAAAGAATAAAATGCAAAATTCACACCTTTCATACTCTCCTTTGATGAATTTTTCTCAAAACATTCATCTTTTATCACTATTTCTTTCATCATGGTAATAGGTTGAAGATCTGTTCTTTTTAAATCCACCTGAAATGAAATGTATTGAAATATGCTATATTAATTGTCAACAGTCTTAACTTTTAATTTATCTTCAAGCATAGGTGGACATATATTTCTTATTTATCCTTCTTCTTTTAATTCTTATTTAACTTTTACTTCACTAATCATACTTATTGTTGATACAACAATTACGGAAAACCAATATTTTTATATTATATTGAAACTTAACCTATTTCTTATTTTATACTATTATGGTATATATTTTGAGTAAATGAGTTAGTCAATTCAGAAGGTATAACTTGTGCAATGTTTGTGTCATATGAATGAATTTTTTATTTGTGTAATTACCTATCGCATTTATAATTTTAATCAATTTAATTTAATTTTAATCAATGTGTCAATTTAAAAATCTAATGATTATTGGGAGATTGTGAGGTGCGGTCTGGTGTGACGTAGGTTTTAGAAAAACATTTTCTTTATCGTGCCAACGTTTCAAAAGATCGACAAGTTGGCACGATAAAGAAAATGTTTTTCAGAAATCTACGTCACACCAGACCGCATCTCACAATCTCCCAATAATCATTAAATAACTGTTACTAAATAATTAGTAAAAATCTAATATTAAAAAATACAAGAATTAGGCACAAATGTCAAAATGTTGAGGGAATCTTATACCTACACTTACACAATAATAATATGCGGTGTAAAGTTAAAAGGTTTTTACTTTTATGCGGCCTATTGTATTGTATAAAACTAAGTATGTTTCCAAAGGTATTTATTACATAGAATATGCTGATGCTATTATTATTTTAATAAGTAATTTGTTAAGCCGACCTGGTAAACAATTTATTTTTCAAATGTAATGCCCATTTTGTCATACATTTTTAAAACGTTTTCCTTAAAAAAAAAAAAAAAAAAAAAGAAGATGCCAGAAACTCAAAAATTCATTTATTTTTCATGGAGATATTGAAATTTTTCTTTAGAACTCAATAATTTTGATTTATCATGTAAGTGGTTAACAAAAAATGTGCTGATTTTTTAAAACTTAACCGTAATTATTGGGTTGTCCGGAAAATAATGCAGGATTTTAAGTTTTCATTAAAAAAAATCTATATAAAATATTCTGTTTACGTTTACAGGATTACTCATTTGTANAATTATTTTGATTAAAGAACATTGCTTTAAAGTAACTAGTTTCTTTTTTTTTGTTTAATACCAAAATCCTGCATTATTTTCCGGACAACCCAATAACAAAAATCAGTTACACGATACTTGAAAATTATCGAGTTCTAAAGGAAAACTTCAATTTCCCCAGTATGAAGGGGAAGAATTTTTTCACACATTATGTTTTCCATTATAAAAACAATTGTACCAGAAACTCAACTGGTAGAAATACATGTTTAAAAGGGAATGGGGCAGCTTCGAGCCAGAGAAGCTTTTAGGTATCAAGATCGATAGGTGGCCCTTGGAGGACCAACCAAGAAAAGGCCATACTAGGTAGGTTGACACACTTTTGGGCCAAATTTATTGCTTAAGCTATATAAGTTTACCATTCAACCAGAGTGAACTTTTATCAATTATATTGATTTTGTTTCAAATTATTCTAAGAAACTCTGATTTTGCATGTCTCATGTTTAAATTCCGATAGATGCTTAAACAATAAAATAAATGGTTCTTATATAATTTATGGAAATGAATGATATAATATAAAATACATACTTTTGATGACAGATTTTTATTTGTCGGTTCATCTTCATCAATGATTCTAGCTTCTGAAAGAACTCTGCTTTTAGTCAGGTTCTTAATTGTAGCAACTGGTTGTTCATCCACAAAGTTTTTCTGTGATTTATTATTTTCATTTTTGTCTCCGCTTGAGAAATTTAGACGGATTTTTTTATTAACGGGCGCCACTACCGTATTGGATTCAAATTTTTTCCTGCGGGCCTCCAATTTGGAATCAGAAATTATATTCTGATCACATCCATTTTCTTCCTTTTCGATGTCCTGCACTGCAGATGAATGTGTCGACTTCCCTTTTTTGGAATATTCTAGGCTATAAACAAAGACATTTTTTTAACTAAGCTATATTACATATTAATGGTATAACTTACGTTGATGAATCTTGAATGATTGTTTTAGTTCTTTTAATCGCAGGTGATTCTGACCTTTTCCTGTAAGCATGGCTTCTAGTTTTAATAAGTCTTCGTTTTGGGGATGTCGATCTTCTCGCCTTGTGGTGCTCATTCATGACAGGAGATCGAGAACATGATCTGTAATTCGGAGATCTGGCCTTTTTTCGACAGGGTGATAACGGTGGTGATGTATGAGAATCAAGAGATTTTAAAGTTGATCGCAAATATACAATGGAAGATTTCGATTTTCCAGTTAGTGGATAATTGTTTTTTGCAGTATCGTTCAATGTTCTATGGGGACTTTCAGACTTTCTTCTTTTGGGAGTTAAAGATCGCTTTCTCTTTTCGATTTCAGAAGGCATCCTTGATTTGGTATTTGGTGATAATTTTCGCACCTTTGGGCTGTACGATCTTCTAGGTCTTGAGTTAGTAGATCTCCCAGATCTTAAGCTAGATCTCAAGTTTGGAGTTGGTGACCTACTTCGAGAAGTAGATCTTAGTTCACGTGACCTGAACGGTACTGTAGATTTTCTTTTTGAACCCGCCAGTCTTTTTACAACAGGACTCACCGATTTCCTATGTCTATCTTGAGGAGTTATAGATCTTCTTGTTAATTTTTGTAACTTCGAGGATGGACATGTTTTACTCGAGACATTCCTTGATTTGACAGTTAGTGGGTGTTTCTTGTCTACTGGTGATCCGGATTTACTCAACTGTTTTTTAACTTTACTATCCATTCCTCTTATTATATTTTTGTCTTTTAATGTTGAAACGATTGAAGGTTTTTCGTTAAATTCTTGTTCCATTTCATCCATCAGCTTTTCTAAACTGTCATCATCATATATTTGAAAGTCGCTTTCGTATTCAAAATCTAATTGGTCTTCATCCAATTTAAGGTTTTTTTCATCCGCATTTTCATCCTCGGTCCTAAATTTTGACCTTACTGAAAGAAATTAAAAGATTAATTTTACATTCAGGAAATCTTTAAAATGTATGTTATTGAACAAAAATAGTTACAACATAATGATGATGATGTTTTATTTGTTTTTACGTAGTAGAATAGTAGTATGTTTTAGTTATGGGAAAGTTGTCTAATTTGTCATCATAAGCCTTCTTTCCATAAAACAAAACTATCTCTTTTATTTATTTATTATTTTTTTAACACATCTCTCTAATATATTTTGCATACTACTATATTTTATCTTTTTTTTTAAATTTGCTAACCCCTTGTTGTTACTTTAGGTTGTCCAATCACTAACAAAAACAATAAAAACATGTACAAACAATCACATAACTCTCTGCTTCCCACTGAAATGCTGCTGATGATGGGAGCCCTGGCCCCTGACTGAAAACCAAGAGGAAGACGGTAAAAACTACGCCAATATCCATTCAACACCCAGATTATTACTGTAGAAATCTACTCAAGCCAACTTCAATAAGGATCTCTTCCCCTGGCCCAGAAACAACAGCTCTCGTGAACAAGGTGTGATTTTTCACCAGAACAACAAAGGAGGTGATAATGAAGCTCATTCTCCGTACTCTATAGACTTTACCCCATCAGACTTTCACCTTTTCTTAGCGAAGAACAACCATAAGCATAATTGGTAGTTCGATAATTGCCAATGCTGGAAAATGAACTGAATTTATTTTTCAAATCCCAAGATCCAAACTTTGGCACACTGAGCTAATAGCACATTGGGAGAAGATAGATGCCAGTGGAGACTATTTCTCTCAATAAAATCTTTCTAAATTATTAAATTTCTTTTAATACTCAGTCCCAACATTGCCAAGGTCTGTAACATTATCTTAAACACACAATCAACACTATCAAAGAAATTTGATACCACTTATTTCAAACTTAATTATGTCAGTTTGAAGACATATTTAAGATTGTTTTGTCCTGATATGATGTTAAAAGCCTGGTAAATAAACGAATATTTTTTTCTTTCACCCAAGCCAATACTGATATCCAGATTACTCCTGACAATTATTAAACCAGCACAACCTTTTCTGGTTGCCTGATACATTGTACCTAATATTTTTCAGGGGTGTTTTTCTTACCTAATCACAGCCATAGTACGGTTTTTAGCACAGGAACGACTTGAATAAGATCAAACCATGCTTCTCTATTTACTTTTAAGAACATTTTTCTTACAGTGAAGGGTTGATCGCTCAATAATTACAAAATGTACAGATTGTATAATATTAACAAAACTGAAAATGATATTTGAAAAATGTTTGTAAACTAAAATATTTACACACATACTGTTTGTACTGTTAGTTTAACTGGCATAATTTAATAATAACTAAGAAATAAAACCCAACAAGAATTTAACAAGCATTCATTACCTAAATGTTTGAAATCAGGATATTGACACTGTATTATTTTTTAGTATACAATGTATATGTTGGATAAACAACAAAGTCTTTATAATGCACAAAGTAAAACTATTTTTTTTTTTGCAGGACATAATTAAATAACTTACTCTTTTTTTCTTCTTGGTTCTGACATTTGTCAGTGTTATTTCCGACAACACCCTTTTCAATTGTTTTATCATTTGATAATTCAGTTGATTTAATATCACTTTCAATGGCTGGTGTTTCAAACAATTCATCTTTTGTAACAATTTCTATTAGGTTCGGGTTTGCTTTCTGGCGGTAATAGTGGTACTAAAAAAAAGACAATAATTAGGTTATATAAGTTAGATTTAAAATATTACTAAGGTAAAACGATTTTTATAAAATGTAATCATTCTATAAATAAATACTGGGTTGTCCGGAAATGTTTGACTAAATTTGCGGATGTACTGTATGTCTTCAATTTGGGAATTTCATAGGTTTAGTATTATGTCATATACCACCTGAGTCGTATAATGCCAGTAATATAATAAACACAAAATAAATAAAGTTAATTTTTTTTTAATTGTTCAAGTTATTTCTCTACTCAAGTATTAATAGTTCGCAAAAAATTTATACGACTTCATATTCTGCCATAATAAAATCAAGAATGACAGAAACAACTAAAAGGTACTTGACACGTGTGAACTAGAGATGGTCGTGGATCCTTGCGGCCAAACAAATCATAGCACAAATGTAAAACAAGTAGTGCTTTTCTTGAGCCTTGTGAACCTGGCTTAATTGCATAAATTTTATAGTCATAAAGTTTTTTTAACAGTAACTATAACATTATTGATTCCCCCGGACACAGGCAATCGAAAGAGTTCGTTAAGGCAATCAAACCAGCAGAATCGAAATGGCTATTCTCTATCTCAAGAAAGGGAATTAGGAAGCTGATAGGTGATTGCCCACTGAGAAGACACCTCTTCGTAATGGGTATCCTACCAGATCCCTTTTGCCATTTTTGCGAAATACAAGAAGAAACGGCAAGGCTCTACCTCGCAGAGTGTGATAAGTATGCTAGGTCTAGATTTGAAATCTTTGAAGGAGAGGACATCACCAAATCACTCCCTGAGATAAAATGGACCAAATTTTTGGGGTTTGTGAACAGGTCCAAGAGGTTTATGCAGAACACGTGAGCCGACCAAGCCCCGGACCTTTTAGGGATGGGGTACGAGTCTACCCAGGCATTTAACCCCTCGGGACTTGGTCACCCACCCTGCATAATATATATATAATATTAATGATTATTTGGAGATCGTGAGATGCAGTCTGGTGGGACGTAGGTTTAGAAAAACATTTTCTTTATCGTGCAACGTTTCAATCTTTATTGAGGCCATCTTCAGAGTTCAAAGCGTTTGTTTTCTGTGTATATGTATCATTATTGTGTGTCTTGTTGAGAATGCCCAACATTCATTCACTTACAGAGGCACTCTCAACACGACACACAATAATGACACATCTATACAGAAAACAAATGCTTTCAGCCCTGAAGGTGATCTCAATAAAGATCAAAACTTTTGCATAATAAAGAAAATGTTTATCTAAATCTACCTTGCATCAGGCCGCATCTCACCATCTCCAAATAATCATTAATTAATGGTCACTAAACACCACACAAATAATATTAATCCATTTATGTTTAGTGGTCTAAGTGATCAAATTATTTATTTCAATTAATTATTCTTTTTATGTAAAGTTGAGATGAAAAAGCTAGTGTGACACCAACTCCCCATCCCAACCCACGACCTTTCAAATTTTCCCTCTTTTTGCCATTTTTCAAATGTCGTGTAATCAGGATTCGATTCTCAGCGACTTATGAAGTGGCCATGGGGAGCTGTTAGTGAAATGGATACTTCTTTTACTTATTAAATACAAATCCCTTTATGTTTAGTGGTCTAATTGACCAAATTACTTATTTCAATTAATTATTCTTTTTGTGTAAGGTCTTCAAAGTCACGATAGCTCGAGTTGTCAGAGCAGCGGCGTATTAAGCCGAAGGCCGTGGGTTTTTCATCTCAACCAAGACCTTACATAAATTAATTGAAATAAGTAACTGTAATCGTGACGTATATTATATAATATTGAGACGATACCTGCAAATTAGTGTTTCTTCTATCAGCTTTTCTCGGCTTGATGGTTTGTAAAGCCGCTAATCGTAAAGCTTCCAAATCGTCGTCGTCCTCCATGTCTCGGGGGGTAGATTAGAAGGATCGTGTCATCTGTACGATATCCACCTCCGCTGCACAGATGGCCAGCAATACCGACACCGCAGACGAGCCTCTTTTTTTTTTGCACTTTTTTACTTTCCTAAACAAAACAAAAAAACCATTCGTAGTATGCAGATGTTACGAACGGGCCTGTTTATGTGTGTGGACATTGAAGAATTGTAACATCATTTACCCATGAATGTTAACTATTCCTGTTGTAAGTGGAGCTTGTAAACTGCAGGCTTCTGCTGCCGCTGGACGTTACTGCTCAGCAATTCAGCAGTAACCAATCAGTGTTGTCAAACAGCAAGCAAATACTGCCACAAATGATAACCTTCAAGATGTTATAAACCTACTTATATATATAAATATACATTATATTAACATAAGCATGTCATATAGATACAATCACAATCAATGCATTTGGATTAAATAATTTTATTACAAAATTAAATTACAAAGAAATATTGAAAACGAAAATATTTAAAATTGATATATTTTAAAGAACAAACACGACTAATGTGATATTTTCAAAACCAAACAATTAAGAAAATTTTCATCTTTGGCAATTTTTTTCATTTTACATACATTTAAACTTATGCAAAATATTTCTTAAATTGAGATTTTTTTTTATGCAGGAAAGAATTGGACATTGAAAAACCTGCAAAGTATTACCTTCCATGCTTGGAGGGCAATGAATTGATATGTAAAAGTTGAACTGATCAATTTGTGAACATGTAGGAAAGTTTTACTTAAAAAACAGAATATTATTGGAAAATTCAATTGTTCTGTGCATTCTAATTTATTTGTTTAAATAATTATCGAATTCCAAAATTATATTGATTATTCCTTGAATTCTATCCATTTGCAACTTTTGTCAAATCCCAAATGGATATTTTAGAGTTCAAGGATGTAAAACCCGTGCCAGATCAGTTCCATCCGTACACTGAAAGTTTGAAAAACGACAAAGTCCCTATTATTATAGACAATGGTTATTAAATGAAAAATCGTTTTTGTATGTACACATTTCTTATTGATTTTTTCTCCCTTAGGTTCGTATAATTGTAGAGTTGGATGGGCTACTATGGAGAAGCCTTTATTGGTTTTCAAGAACGTTCTAGCAAAATCGAGTAAATCCAGACGTGAAAAATCGAAAAAGGTATTTTGTATTTTCACCCATATTACATACATTCATGGTTTTTAATACAAAGCAACTTACAAATTCCCTATTTACTTGTACGCATAGTCGCGTCCTGAGAAAACTTTTGAACAACGCTTATTACAATTGTCAGTTGTTGATTGAGATGGTTTAAATTTCATCTGATTCTATGTATATGATGATTGTTAACTCCAGACCACTGCATTTTTGCCCCTTGATGCTTAAAATGCAATAAAAAACGTGATTAGATGAAACAGGCAGCATCTGTGGGCTGTATCGTTGTTGAAGGTTTTGCATACCAAGAGCAATGTCAATAAGTGGCCCTCATTTGACTTGTCGAAGGATCAAGTTCATACGATTAAGTTCATACCATGCTAGATTGACAATCAGACATTTTTGGGCCAAAGCCCACGTATGCGTTCAGCGAGTAGAGAAAATTTACTCAATGTGTCCCACCTAATTGAAGAATAAATTCCTTGACTCCATAGGAGCATGTGGGAATGCCATCCAATATGAGAGGAGTTCTAGACCAAGGCAGCAAGAATTTGGTTTTTTTAGATTTAACAGTTTTACTGTACATAATACTTTATAGATATCTGATCTTGTCCTTAAGTATGTTGAGACTGAATGTATTTATTGGCGTGTAGCATGAGGTCCAATGGTGAAATTTTGAGCACCCCATAGACCCTCAATTAAGTTATATAATGGGTAAAGGATGAGAGAGGAATACAAAGTACTCCACCATCCTACATGAATTGAAGTTTGCCAGAGTATTCAATTGTGATGAAACCATTTGGTCTAGCTTACATTGATTTAGGAAAACGTGGAAGCCAAAAAATTGAGTATCTTAATAAATTGAATGTCAGCAACAAGCTTCAGCATCTAAATTTTTGCCTTTCATTGTAACAACCATCCCAAACGAGTGTAAATTTTACGAGCTTCCTCAGCTGCCCTAGTACCAAGATTAAAGTCATACATTAAGCACACATGAATGATTTTGAAGCCCTGAGAAAGAAAATAATTTATAATTTACAATGACTGTTCAAATCTCTTTTTCTTTATAAACTGGAAATCTGATATTCCATGTTGTAAGTAGTTAATCCTATGAAAATAGAACATTAATTATCGGGATGAAAAACCACACAAACTTTTTTTTATTACCTGGTATAAAACAATATTTTAAAGAAAAAAGTAATTAAACAATCACCCAAAAAAATGAACATTACTTTAAATTTATTTAATGTTTGATAACATTTGTACATATTAAAATTGAGTAACAATTGAATAGAAGTATGGTATGCATTGTTTTTATAAGGGAAAGTAGAATAATTTTCTTAATATTTGTTATAAACCTTTTAATTAGTTTTATCAGCTTATTCTTAATTATATAATTACTCATTTAATTATACACAATTTTTTTTTTTCAAAATGAAAAATTCGTGTCATAGGCGGGATTCAAACCCACAGCTCCTCGGCCCAATACACTGCTGCTCTACCACTTGAGCTACTGTGACTTCGATCGCAATTACAGTTATAACAAAATGGGGATCGAAATGGGAAGTTTGTGGCATGGGCGATCGAAGTCACAATAGCTCAAGTGGTAGAGCAGCGGTGTATTTAACCAAAAGTTGTGGAATCCATCCCGCCTGTGACACGAATTTTTCATTTTGAAAAAATTGTGTTTGATTAATTGAGTTATTAGGTGCTATGATAGGCCAAATAGTTAGGGAGTGTTTAACTTTATAGAGCAGACCTGTAACACATTGTTGAATTAAAATGCCTATATAAACCTTTGAGCTTAACAAGTTCGCTGCATTGACTTAAGTCATTTGCCTTTTTCTATGCTGATAATTTTTTTTATTATTTTTTTTTATTATATTTCTTTTTAACTTCTTTATACATATTGTGACTATGACCTCTGGTCTTTTATCAATTTATATCAAAACAGTAACGTGCAACACGTTATCGACTGCCGCCTGACCAAAGACATTCTTTATGCGATGCTTATGTCAACACATAGTCGACAATAACTTTTTTAATCATCAGACACGATTACATTGCTAAAATACATTTTATAATTTGTTACTTTATTTATGTTTTATTTTATTTTTACCGGGACAAAAATGTGCCAGAAATTTGGGTCATACACTTCTATTTGGAAAAAAATTATTTTAATTAAATTTTTTTCCTTTTTAAAATAATTATTGTGAATATTTATATGCTTATGATTAGTAATGAAATCTACATTAAACAAAGAAAAGTGATTTATTGATTAATTGGAACGAATTTTGGCCAAAAAAATTAATTAAAAATTGTCAAAAACGACAGCGGAAAAACACAACTTGAACGTTTCCTCAAGGCTGTGGTAAATAGCTGCAGAGACTCGAGTAGGCTAGAATGGTGTGGTGCTATTTGAAATAAAAGAAACAAAGTCTACTACCTGTCAACTACTACCAGGGGGGTGCTTTTGTCGACACGTGTTCGACAGTCGCAGTGAAAGTGTTAACATGTAAAGCACAACCAATCCTGGAACAAAGCCTTAAATAAGTTAGACAATGAGATTTATTTATTTTAAAGCTAATTGAGACTAATTAGTTCATTAATTGTGTAATTCAGTGTAAAGACGATTTAATTAGTCCAGATTCATATTAGTAATTTGCATATAACCACTATTTACATTTTCTGTAAGATTTCTAGATCCTATTCTTATGTCATGTGATCACAGTCCCTACAACCGTTTTGCTGGGACCACTGAGATGGTCTGTCGACATCAGGGGAAGGATCATTTAAAAAAAACAAGCCCCTCACACCATAGCAGTCTCACCACTTACGCTTTTTGATTAATTAGTACTTTTGTAATTAATGAAACAAGAAAAGATACATGCTTTTGTTCATTTATACGCTAAAAATACTTTTAAAAAACTATTAATCTCATTTTGGCCTGAGGATGAGGTATGTAGGAGATTCCACTTTAGGTGTTCTACCCTGTGAATAACCCATTTAATTTTGAGTAAAAAATGCTTCTGATTTGGTTAAACACCTGTATCCACTTCACTGAAAAAATTTTTAAATTTATTTTAGGATAATGAAATACAAATTGGAAATGATATAAGCAATATAGAGGCCATTAGATTTCAACTTAAAACCCAATTTGACAGAAATGTTGTAACACATATGGAAGTCCAAGAGCATATTTTGAATTATGCTTTCTCCCATTTAAGCATTGATACGGACAATTGTGTGAATCATCCGATAGTTATGACTGAAGCTCTTCTCAATCCTAATTATTCTCGAATGTGTAAGAACTTTATACTTATACTTGCTTTCAAGCGATAATAATAAAAAAGTATGTTTCAGTGATGTCAGAATTGCTTTTTGAATGCTATACTGTACCAAGTGTATGTTACTGTGTAGACAGTCTTGCAAGTTATTGGAGAAAGCCTTCTGAAAATAGCACTTCACTTTTAGTTGATTTAGGTTATTCTACATGTCATGTTATTCCTATTATAAATGGAAACTTCGATGCAAATCAGTTACGAAGACTTGATCTTGGCGGTCAGCACATTACATCCTACCTACATAGGCTTCTTCAGCTTAAATATCCAGCACATTTCACTTCCATTAATCTTTCGAGGGCTGAGGTTTGTGTTATTTGTTATGTTAAAAGTAAAAATGTTTAAATTTAAATAAAACTTTCATTTATTGTAATAAAAGGAGTTGCTTCATAACCATTGTCATGTTGCTACAAATTATATGGAAGAATTGTCAAACTGGTCTGATCCTGAATATTATGATGCAAACGTTCGCTGTATACAATTACCTTTCAATTATTCCACCTCAACATTAACTCCTGAACAACAGAAAGAAAGAAGGAAAGAACTTGCCAGACGTTTGATTGAAATTAATGCCAGGAAAAGAGAAGAGAAGGTTTAGTTTCTAAATACAATATTCACGAATGAATTACATAATAAAACTTGTACGTTTTATGTTTAGCTTGCTGAAGATGAAGAACAATTAAATCAACTTTTAGCAATTCAGGATTTGAAGGATGAAGGTGAAATGGCAGAATTCCAAGTAAGTATTGATTTATATGTTCAAACAAAAACGTTAACTTTTTGTAATTTTTCTATTAGTAGAAAAACATCGTAAGTGCCTTAATATATTATGCATTATGTATTCTCGTATTGCTCATGCAAGGCCCAGGGTACACGCCCTCCATGGGATCCAGCCCGTGGCGTCGCCATCTGAGTTCGTTAATACAATCTTGTCAGCAAGGACCAGGGGTTCAAGCCATCATCCTTGCCATCTCAGCAAGAATGAGCCCATATCCTCTTAGAGGGAGATTTCCCAGGGTACAGAGGAAAGCAAGAGATTTGGGCCTCAGTATTGTTACATTAATTTATTCTTCAATGAGTATTTTCTACCTCAAAATCGTTAGTTTGGCCATTAAAGCCAGAAGAAATTGTTAAAAATTAGATAGCCATAAATGTATTAATTCCAATATATTGGTTGAAATACATTTGTTCACAAAATAATTGTTTAGATGTTTCTGAAAGTTTATTAACCAATATTTAACTGGCTTAATTTTACAATATATTAAATTAATTCAAAATATTTTTGTTTAGAACGCTATAGCTGAAATTGGTTTAAACTCAACGGATGAATTGACAAAATTAATCAATCAAGTACAATTACGTATCGAGAGGACACGGCAAAAAATAGCTAATACGATGGCAAATAATATGGAAGACCCAATTGCAGAGGTTTGCCATTTATAAAATCGCCGTCTTTCAAAATGAAAATAATTTTTAATTTTTTACAGGATACAAGGCAGAAAATTCCTAAACAGTTTCAAACACCTAAATGTGAAGAGGATTTTAAAACATGGGTTGAAAGCGTTCGTAAAAAAAGGTGACATATTTAATTTTTATTTTTGAATCCGAATTTATTGAGTTCATTATAAAGGGAAGAGTTACTTGAAAAACGAGCAGTCAGAAGGCAAAGAAGGCAAGACATGGCAAAACGGAGAACATTAGCGTCTGTCGAAAGAATGAGACTTATATCTCAGTTAGCAGCAAATAATGAAAAACGTGATGATGATTTTGGAAGTCGGGATGAAGATTGGGATGTTTATAAGGCTATCAATAAGGTCAGATGTTTTTATACGGTCAAATATTTTCTATGTTATAACTTATCTTTTATAAACTCTTCAGGAGGGAGATAGCGATAGTGAAGGTGAATCAGAAAAGCTTCTAGAACTGGAAGAAGTTCTTCGAGCTCATGACCCTACATTTTTAACCTATTGTCCTAACAATGCCACCCAAGGAGGCGAAGCTCCAGCAGAGTCTTACAGACTACATGTTGGCATTGAAACAATTAGGGCACCAGAAGCTCTATTCTCTCCCTACTTGATTGGAAGTATGCAAGCAGGCATAAGTGATGTCATAGCTTGGGTAATAAAGCAATATCCAAACGATATTGCAGAAATGTTATCTAAAGATGTTTGCCTGACAGGCGGACTTGCTAGAATCCCTGGGATAAAAGATAGAATCCTTTCGGATTTAATCGAAGTAATTGTTTATAAATGTGTTGTAATGTAAACAAAATTTCATAATTATTATTATTGTTTCAGGTTCGACCATTTAAATCTGAAATCAATGTGAGGATATTACCGACACCTTCTTTTGGAGCTTGGAAAGGTTGTAAAATGTTGGCAGGATCTGCTGATTTTACGAATAATTTTATAACTCGTGAAGAATATTATGAAAAAGGTGGAGATTATTTAAGGGAACATTGTGCTTCAAATGTTTTTACACCTTCTCCACTTTCATTGGCCCATATTGAGGCACATGCAGCAAAACCAGATTATGTTGATTTGGATCAACATTAAATCCTCGAAAACTAATTTAAGCTGCAATTATTATTTTTATTTATTATAAAAACATCATTTGTTTTCCAAATGTAATGACTAAATTGAATAATTTTAATTTATAAAAGTAATAAAATTATGTCAATTCAAGCGTTCGTAAATTTGGTGTTTTTGACTATTTTGATCTCTCAGTTGTCACTGTTATTATCCATCAGATATTTTTTCAGATTTTCCCACAGATCTCAAAAATAAATGTCACAAGTTTGTAAATTGATGTCATTAGGTCATTGTTCAAATCAAATCCTTGTAACTTAACATAACTCAATCAGAAATGTTTCTTATCCACCCAAGGTTAATGAAATTGAGAAACATTTATTATTAACAATTTAAAATATTATGACATAGATTACTGCATGGAATTATAAGACTCGGTTATAATATTTAAATTTCTTATCACTGTACTGAATTGTGTTTCTTAGTGACATGTTGTTTCATAATTTATTGAAGTTGTGAGGAGTGGTCAAGAATCTTCATGAAGAAGACCTGAATAAAGGTCGAAACTTCGACAAAAAAATGAAAAAGGTGTTTTTCCGAACTACCTCATTCTTGACCGCTCTTCAGGACTTCAATAAATTATAATTAATTGGTTCATTTTAACACTTTCATTGCTGCTGTTGAACAAGTTGACAAAAGCACCTCTTACAATCGGTGTTAGTCAACTTCATTTTATTTCTTTTCAAATGACCCCACAGCATTCTGGCCTACCCGAGTCCCTTCATTTATTTGCCCCTGTCGTGGGGAAATGTTCAAGTTAATTGTTTCTGCCTATGCCATCATTTTCAACAATTTCTACAGATTTCTCAGCCAAATTTCACTTCAACTGATCAATAAATCCTTTTTTTTAATGTAGATATAATAATCATAAGCATATAAATATTTGTAATAATTATTTTAAACAGTAGAAAAAATAAAGTTTAACTAAAGTATTTTTTTTTTCCGGATTTTGAAGATTTTTTTAAGCTTGAATTGGTTTTAAACCACCACTTATTGTTTTTTAACATATAAAATATTTTTTAAACATTAAAATAAAGCATTTATATTCTATTTTTGCTTAGTTTTACAGGATATTTTTGGGTTTAATATTCACCCAAACATAATGTACTCGCTAATGTCTTTGGCCAGGTGGATGTCGACAGTGTTGTATGCTTTTTTTTAAAATATAAATCGATAAAAGATCAGGGGGGAAGTCATGATATGTATAAAAAGTTAAAGAAATGTTAAAACAAAAAAAAAATTATCAGTACAGAAAAAGACGACAATCTACATGGTGAATGTATTAATTAAAACTTTTGCATAGTAATTATTTTTACCATCATTGTCATGTATGCAACTACAGTGCTTTCTCTGAACTTGCAGCATCTGAACTTCGGATGAAGATACCGCACTGGAAAAAAATTCAAGAAGTGAGGATTTTAAAGGAATCAAATGAAACATTATTTGGGGGGAGGAGAGATAGTGAATGAGGTCAAATGAGTGAATGGTTAGTGAGAGAAATAGAATGAATGAGTAGTTTTATTTAATTTTTTTGTAAATTTAGGTCATGAACAACCTAAGAGAATGGGAGTAAGAGTGAGGGGTCCAAAGAACAAGACTAGCTTAGACTGTACAAAATTCCAACCATTTCTTTTATTCAGTCCCTCATCTCACTTAGCAACTAAAATATTAAATGTTAAATCAGTCTACTTTTCTCGGTTATTCAACACTAGCTTCATAGTTGGTGCTACAGATTTCATCATTAAACAGCCTAAGCAGGACGATGATTCCATTCTCCAAGGAAGAATCTAGGGCTCACACAAGACCAGTGCCTCACTTGGAATCTAATTAAAACTGAAGAACCAAAATTGCCAGGGGGATGTGAGGCTCTGTCCCAAAATGACCCTATGGTTCTGTCATATGGTTGACATCCAGTGAACAATGCAAGCTAAGGCGATCGGGCTATTAAGTAGCACTCGAAGGTAAGCTTCAATAGAGCCATCCTAATCCAAGAAGCTAGTGCAGAGGCTCACAAGCTCATAAATGGATGACTATCTGCAAGGATAGGCCATGTCAACTATAATGTAAACTGAGGAAAGATAGACAGATGTCATACTAAGCATGCCAATTGATGCCACTACTCCAAATAAAACTATACCAAAAAGTACAAGGTAGTGATACAAGAACTGGAAAAATAGGTCAATTCTTATTGGTATACAGGCAGCTCAAAAACATATAAAGGCACAGGAACTGTAGTCCTCGGGATGAATCCTAAGACTGAGCTGTCTTTAAACTTAAGGTCATAGCAATGGAACACTGTGCCTTTGAAAGCAGGCTTAAAAGAGTATGAACACATTCCAGGACAATAGACATTTTCTCTGAGATGGCACATAAGGCTTAGTCTCATGCAAGGTAAAGGAAAAAAGGGTATGGAATTGTATAGAAGCCCTGGCAGAAGTCAATGACCTAACTGGTATAGGCCCCTGGGAAGAGACGATATCTCTCTTTATCCCACATTTTTTTGGTGTTGTTGAAATTTTTTTGTGCATTTGTAATATTTTTTAATATCCTATGTAATCTTATGTTTTTTCAGTATCAGAATACTCTCCTGCAGCAATTATTCTGATTATTGAGGGAACACTGTTTTGTTACAACTTAAATAAAAAATGGCACTAAATTAATGTTCAATCAGAATATTTAGTCTTATAAGAAGTCATGTTTTATTGTACTGTATACTGTCCTTTTTCTATATTTTATTTTTCTTCATTATTTCTGTATTCTCTTCTTAGGTTCATCACTAAATTTTCAAATTCAGGAGAAATTACAAATTCTAGATAGGGTTGATGATGAGTGTTAGTCTGTGTGTCAGCGAACTCATGCTTAACTGGCATAGGGTCTTATAGTCTAGGCTTCACTTATTGGGTCTGTCGAATTACTCCAACACTGAGCCTCACTGAAGATGGCGCAATGACAAAACACATTTGGATAATTCAACAAACCCAGAAGTGAAGATATCCCGGAGTATAAATTCTAGATTACACATTATTTTGTGTATGAAAACTACCATTGACTTTTATCAGGCTAAAACTATGTCAGTTTAGACTGATACCAATTTTGAACAATTTTCTGATGCCTAATTTTTAAAAAATTGTTTCCATACGGGGGAAACAATAAGAAATGTCTATTTGACAATAAATATTTTTTTTTAAAATCAGAAATATTAATAAGATGCATATTGTTTCACTTGATTAAATCACCCAATAATTTTAAAATTATATATAAATCAATATCATGTAATTTACTACTCAAGGCACTATTCATCCTTCGTAAGTCAAATAATAATATGATTATCGTTGTCATTTTATGCTTGGATGAAAAAAAAATCATGTTAATGTACGTTTGACAATGTTTAGACATCAGACATTAAAATTTTTTAAAGTGTGTATCAATCTTGAAGAGTGACAGTGGTCTTTTTTTTAACCATGTATAAGAATAATAAAACATTTATTTTTCACTAATTTGTTCTACAAATTAAAAATTATGTAAATTATGTGTATAAATATATTTTTCAGCTAGACGCTTTCATTTCACCTTTAATCGGTCTTATATAATGAATTTTGAAATTGTAATGTTTTGGGAGGAGAGCACTCAACACGATGTGGGTTATAAGAGCCGTAATCCCCCATATTCTATATTCCGTATTAACATAAGCGGGTAGAATGTAACCGCTTTTCTTGAATCGAAATTGAGTGAACTTTCTATTGTCCGGATAACAAAAATGTTTCAACGCCACTGCAAATGCCAACTCCACTTCGCCCGGATTGACCTTGAGAGCTGAAGGATGGACATCCCCCAAGAAACCGACGACGGGCAAGACAGAAAACTCTTTTCCGACGTATATGTTACCAGCGCCCCAAAGACTTATATTCTTCCTGTCGATTCCGATCTCCTCTTCCGTCTCCCTGAGGGCGGTCTCTTCGAGGCATTTGTCCTCCGAGTCCTCCATACCTCCTGGAAAGGAAACCTGGCCTCGGTGCCGTTTCAAATCAGACGTCCTGAGGGTGTACAGCAGTGACATTTCATTATCTACAAGGCAAAGGGGAATCAGCACAGCAGCTTTCTTCTTGTTATCATCCGTCAATTCTCTCTGCCTGACTTTCACCTCCTTCAAGTTCTTTATACAGTTGTGTATACTGTCAGAACTCAATAACTGTTCTGCACTAGGAAAACCGTTATACAAATGCGAACATTTCCTAACGCTGGAAAACCCCACGAGGTAAGCCCTCAACGTACTGCAAACGAAAAACATTTTTTTCTCTATGCTAAATTCCGCCCGATATTTGCATGTTTAAAATATAACAACGATTATTTAAAATAAAGATAATTTTGAATGACACCGCACATCGAAAAGAACGGTCGGCATTTTTCAGTTCTTCTGCTCGTTCAATCCAAAGTCAAATTTTAACTACTTTAATAATACATATAAAATACAATCGAATCACTTATTAATTCAAACTGCATATTGTACGACTATTAACTAAATATTTTCACATGACACTTCAGTACATGTTGCAAAAATATGCCACGGCGTTCTAAATCATCACTCTTACATAAAAGACCACCGATGGTTAAAGGATTTCAACTGATTACGATTAGAAAAAAAACACTTGAAGTCTTAGTTATGAAAATTAACAATAAACGATTTGTAATAAGTTGAGTTCACTTAATAAAAGAAGATTAACTCTTTTTCTAAACAGGACGTGGACGGTATATACTACAAATTTGTCAATAAGAAAGTAGACCCTGTGTTTAGTTGGCGACTGGCGTAGGGAAATACAGATTGTATAGTTCGAATGAATGCAGTTATCGCGTTGTTCATTTTCTGACAAGTTTCCGTCTCGGTCCCTCTCGCAAGTTTCGTCCGGTCTAGACGATCTGTTAAAATAAAAGACCTACTCGAAAGCCGTCGATCTAGTTTATTCGAGCACTTGACAGTTCTCTTCGAAGTTCCATTAAGTTGACCGATTTATCTTCATATCTTTGCCAATCCGAAGAAACGTAAAATGTTCCTGTTCGGATCTTTGCCGGGGGAAGTTGAAGAAGACCCTTTCGTCGGGTGAGTAACGATTTTTTTTTTCATATTTCCCTTTTTTTTATTTACGTTTTAATTCGAGGTTGGAATAATTTTACAACCCGTGATTTTGTTCCGACCCAATTTAATGCTACACTAGTTCCTAATCATTTCATACATAATGTCGACTCTTCAGATAAATGACAATTTTCTTCCTTGACAAATCTTAAACTGTATTTTCTATTGATTGAATTTGGGTTAATAAATCTTTTTTCAACTTTTCTTTTCGTATTTCCCATTAAAATACTTAACTGTTAATGTTGTTGCAACATGAAACATTAAATACATTGTATTTTTTCCATGTTTTGTTCTAAATGTAAGTGTTTCAATCAGAATATTGGGTGCTCAAAGAGTGTGTTATAAAACAAGGTAAACGAAAAACGTAAAAGAAAATCCTAAAGAAAAATTAAACTATATTTATTTATTTTTAGCCAGGTATTCATAAAAATTCGTGTGATTTTTTATTCGTTATACTACGGCGGACAAGGCAGCGTATAAAATTTACAGAGTTCGGCGATGAAACAATAAGTGAGCACATTGCCCAAATCGGTTCAAAAAATTTGCTTCTAGGAATGATGGTCTTGTAGACCTGTCTTGAATGACAACGAATTGAATCAAAAATGACAGGAGCTTGCGAGAATGTTTGACATAAGCGATGTAAGCTGAAAAAATTGCTCATAAATTGACTGACGATAACAAGCTTCTAAACATTTGCTTTTCGTTGCTTTCACGCCACTAAGAAGAAACCTTTTTTTGACTGGAGTGTCACATGCGATGAAAAATGGATCCTGTACAGTAACACCAGGAGTTCATACCCTTGGTCGTCTTCAAATGACCCTGATCCTTTGGTGTGAAAACCAAGTATTCACCAACAAAAAGTGAGTCCACTCCCCAAAATTGGTTCAAAAAGTTTGCTTCTGAGAATGATAAACCATGGTCTGGCAGTGGCAATATCGTAATCAGTGAAGTTCTACTGAGATGCGATGGTCTGGTAGACCTTTCTGTCATGAATGATGACGAATTGAAAAAAAAAAGCATGTTAGGAGCTTGCTAGAAAGTTCAGCGTAATCAAGGAAACCATTTGCTCTAGCTTACAACTTGGAAAGACATGGAAGCTGTGCAATCCCTCATAAATCGACCAACGGTAACAAGCTTCTAAACATTTGCTTTTCATTGCTTCCATGCCACAATGTAGAGACCTTTTGTTGACTGTAGTCACATGTGATGAACAATGAAACCTGTATAGTAACAGCAGGAGTTCATACCCTTGGTCGACATCAAACAACTCTGATCCGTTGGTGTGAGAACCAAGTATTCACCAACAAAAAGTGAGCCCACTCCCCAAAATTGGTTCAAAAAGTTTGCTTCTGGGAATGATAAACCATGGTCGGGTAGACCTTTCTGTCATGAATGATGACGAATTGAAAAAAAACATGTTAGGAGCTTGCTATAAAGTTCAGTGTAAGCAATGAAACAATTTGCTCTAGCTTACAACTTGGGAAGACATGGAAGCTGTGTAATCCCTCATAAATCGACCGACAGTACAAGCTTCTAAACATTTGCTTTTCATTGCTTCTACAGTGTAGAGACCTTTTTTGACTGTAGGGTAATATGTGATGAACAATGAAACCTGTATAGTAACAGCAGGAGTTCATACCATTGGTCGTCATCAAATGACCCTGTTCCATTGGTGTGAAACCCAGTATTAACCAACAAAAGGTGTACCCACTGCCCAAAATTGGTTTAAAAAGTTTGCTTCTAGGAATGAGGGGATTGGAAGCGAATGACGACAAATTGAGTCAAACATGACAGGAGCTTGCCAGAATGTTCGATGTAAGCGATATAAACTATATACAAATTGCTCATAAATGGACCGGCGATAACAAGCGTCTAAAAATTTGCTTTTCATTGCTTTCACGCCATAAAGTAGAGACCTTTTGCCTGGAGTTTCACATGTGATGAAAACTGGATACTGTACAGTAACGCCAGGAGTTCGTACCGTTGGTCGTCATCAAATGACCATTCCAACTGAACAATTAACGGTTAAAACAGTTGGAACTAAAAGCTTTATGATATTCAACTTTTTATAATGGAGTTCCACCTCAAAAGCACAACATACCTTGAATAAAACGTTAATTCGCTTTATCTTACATCAACTTGGGAAGACGGAAGCTGTGCATATTTCTCATAAACTGATCGACTGTCATAAACTCCTTAACATTTGTTTTTCGTTGCTTTCACAACACCAAGTAGATTTTTTTTGACTGGAGTGTCACATGTGACAAAAAATGGATCCTGTACAGCAACACCATGAGTTTATACCATTGGTCATCAAATGACCCTGTTCCATTGGTGCGAAAACCAAGTATTAGCCAACAAAAGGTGAACCCACTGCCCAAAATTAGTTCAAAAAGTTTACTCCTGGGAATGATGAACCATGGTCTGGAGACCATCAGTCTTGAATGAAGGCAACTCTAGAAGCTGAACTTGATTCGAGTCAAACTTGTCAGGAGGATGCAAAGCTCTATCAAAGGTTGAATCAATAAAGCCTTGGATATGGACTTCCACAATAAAATTGAACTGATATGGTTACCTGGTGATTTTTGTTCTAAAAGTCTCTATTGATGTACATATAGCTATTGATTAAGGTAAAATTACTTAATTTTTAAATTATTTTTGTTCCCTTGGATTTCTCTAAAACCTTTGATACAGTAGATCTTTGCCTTCTCCATGCTAAACTCAAAATTTATCCTTCTTACACAGTGTCCTCCATTGATTCAATCTTTATTTCAGATTGTTCCCAAGTTGTATCCATCCCATAAGCCCCATCATGGCCCATATGGCCCTAGCCCATTACTTCTGGGAGTCCCTCAAAGATTGGGTATCTCTGCTTCCATTTTTTATTGCTAAATTAACAACTATTGGCATAAAATTTTGCTCCCTTCATCTTTATGCCGACAATGCCCAAATTTATCTTTCCTTTCCACTTGCCGATTTACAAGCTGCATTTGTAAGAATTCAGGAGGACAAATTCAATTAGATCCTGTCCCACTGAGAATGGGGCTTGACTTTAATGAGGAAAAGTCGCAGGCTGTTGTGTATGGATTCAATTCCCTCATCCAATCCTTACTTTTTATTAGTCCGTTTCCATTAACAATCACTGTTTCATTCACTCATATTTTTATGAACTATGTTATTATCCTTGGTCAGACCTTATCTAGGCAACCTCATATTTCTCACATCTACCACCGCTGGTTTTCCACCCTCCAACAGTTCTGTTGTGCCAGCCACCTTCTCCCAATTAGTAACCATCAACTCCTAGTCTCCCATCTTATTCTTATGATATGTTGTGTACAAGGGATTCACTGGAAAGCAGGATGGTAGGATAATGATTTTTTGTTTTTTAATTTTTATGTGGCGCAGAGCGCAAATTTATATTTCTGTTATTTAAAATTTCTTTATGTCGTTGGTTAACCACAGTCATTAGCTTTATTTTATGATTTAGGTTTAAAAAAATATATATTTTTTTAAATATACAATAAAAGTGGGAATCCTTTTTGTCATGATTGGAAAATATTTTGTTTTATTATATTTTTTATATTTTGTTTATGTGGTCTCATGGAGGGGGGCGTCAGGGTAAGTTGAGATCATTAAGTTTTGGTTTTCCTCTCTTCTCCTGTGTTGGGAATTTTTTGAAAATTTATTTTCATGTCCTTTCTATTTATTTTTGTCATTCTGTTCGTTAAAAGCGGAACGACTGGTGTCCACCTTCATTTATTTACCAGGTATTTATTTTTTACCCACTCTTGTCTCTAATGAGTGATAGGCACAATTTTGTCAAATAATTTTGGGCTGAAACAATAGTATACATAAATCCAAAATTTGTAGACTACTACATTTCCCTAATTTAAAAGTTAAAATGAAAACATCTGATGAGATTTTTTACTCCTTTTTGCTTTTACACATGGATTTTTAAAATTGCTTTGTTAAATATTTGATTAACAATGTAGTGCTTATTTCGTGCTGTCTTTTGTCTTAAGAAGTACAGTGAGTCGTCACAAGGCTAAAAAACAGGTCAGTGTTATTATTTTGGTCTTTTCTGTTTAATGCTTCGGTTGTTACACTCTCTTAAAAAAAGAATTTCAAAAGATTTTATGATTAAACATTTAAGAAAAAGTACAACTAGATTTTCGTTGGTAGATTTCTTCTTGAGATGTGCAAGAAGATGGGCATGTTAGGTCATTTCGGGTCATTCTGTGACAGATTCACACAGAGAGGATAGGCAGGCCAGAATGATCGTAAAAGACCAAATATAAATATCCATCGATGTACATAATCAGAAAGATGCCGACCTCAAGCCTTTCTGCTGAATTTGGTACAATATTAAATAATTAGTTTTTTGTAGATAGGTTTTTTACAATGTTTAGGAAAATGTGTGATGTTACATGATCTTTTTAGTCGGAAAAAATACTTTGTTATAATAAATTTAATTCAATTGAAATGCTTTGTACAGCTATAATGTTTTTTTAGGGGACATATGTGGCACATGAACCAAATGATGAACGGCTTCTTCAGAGACCCATTTCAAGATATGATGGGGATGATTGGCAATGACGCAGCTTATCGAGGTGGTCATCCCCATAGAAGTTCAACAAACAGCATAATGGGCGACTTGGCAACGGGTGGTGGGATTGGTGAGCTCATGCCATTTGGATTTCCCAACTTAGGACGAGTTTTCCAAGATATGAACAATGCAAGTGGACACATGACAAGTATGAGCACTGTTATGACAATGACGCAAGGCCCAGATGGACGTCCACAGGTTCTTATTTCTTTTATATCCTTTAAATTAATACCGTTACATATTGTAATTATGCATAAAATTGAAATTAGACTTGAAATAGTGTTAAAAATTATAGATATACTAAGAATAATTCAGTATGGGTTGTTTTTCGTGAACTAAACACTTTCTTTTGTTTTTAAATTATTTGTATTTTATTCACAATACATTTCAGGTCCCTGGTCCATTTTCAAAGCTAGCATATTTTTTAGATTTCCCTATGAGATAGAAATAGTTGCATTTGTGGTAATATTTATGAAAGAACAAAAATGGAACAATCCTTCCTCCTTATCTAAAACTGTGCATTAAAAATTATTAAAAAATACTTTATTTTAAATATTTGCCTTTCTTTTGGCTTAGGTTTATCAAGCTTCAACATCAACAAGGCAGGGGCCAGGAGGGGTAAGAGAGACTAAAAAAACTGTGGCCGATTCAAGAACAGGTGTTAAGAAGATGTCTATTGGCCATCATATTTATGATAGGTAATTATTGTATTATCTATAATTAAAACAAAGATAGTACCTATACAGAAGGTGTGAACTTCTCACTCATTGGCTCTTTACTATGTTTATAAGAATTCCCTCTGATGGTCATTTGACCATGGGAGCATTGTTTTCCATTTTGCATTATATAATACTTTCAATATGTTAGCAGACAAACAAAGACTTATTATTATTACACGGAAATCGTGAGACGCGGTCTCGTGTGATGTAGGTTTCAGAAAAACATTTCCTTTATCGTGCCAACGTTTCGATCTTTATTGAGATCATCTTCAGGGCTCAATAAAGATCGAAACGTTGGCACGATAAAGAAAATATTTTTCTGAAACCTACATCACACCAGACCGCATCTCACGATTTCTGAATAATTATTTATTAACGGTCACTAATCACCACACATTATTATTACAAGGAAACCTCTATATATTGGACCCCTGTGGAGAAAGTTTTGCTCCATTATAGAGGGTGTCTGTCTGTTCAGAAAGGGTCATTAATTTAAAAAAAAAAATTACAAAAACAATTTACATTGACAACTGACAAAAACAGAATTTTAACAGGGAAAGCGCTCTGGGTCATTATAACATCTTTCAGTAGGGTAAATGATATACAGTGCGGTCTCGGTAATTCAAATTTGTATTAATTTAAATTGAGGTTTAATACTATGTTTAGGAAGTTGATGGTATAAGTCCAACCTCCTAAACAGAGAATTAAAGCTGAGGCCCACAACATCCCACTACTATATCGGATTAAATTCAGGTTAATCTGAACCATTTTTTAGTGAATTTTTTTAAGTTGTATATAATTTTTCAAAAACAATACTTGCAATGCATAAATAATTTTCAGAAACCTAATTAGTTTCACATTTTTACAACTAAAAACAATTACAAAGAAAAAGACAATTTTCTACTTTTCTTCCAATCCATATTTTTAGATATTTTTTTAATGAATGTATAATTTGCAGTTCATTATTTTTATTCATTATCCAAATGTATGTTTTCCTCATTATTTTCAATTGTTGGATATTGTACATAAATATTTTACATATATTTACCCTAATCAGAACCGGCTTTTGCAATCACTAGTTTGGTGAGACACCAGTTTCTTGTGGTCAAAAAAAAACAAAAAAAACGAGAATGTGAGAGCCACCACATTGTAACATTTTTTATATATTTTAACTGTGGTGGATACCAGGAACTGGAGTTCCCCCGAGCACTGCAGCTCTATACAGCTTATGCTACTCCTTTCTGGCACCATCCCCAAACACATGTGTGAATTGAGCCCCGGAAATACTGGTATTCTTCCGCCGAAGGAAATCATTTTCACTCATCCGATCCCGCCTCACACCTTCCATTGATGAGTGCCGTGTCAATTTTCATTGTGGCCACCGGTCCACTTAGGCATCCAAAAAATGCCCAGATGCAATGGTGGGAATCACACTGAACTATGGGATAGTAACTGCTCAGTTACTGTGGTCCCTTTAAGTCATATTTAAATGATATTTTGTTATCGTCAATCATTTGAAGTCCACACCACTAAGTTATTATCTTCATTTACATCTTAATCTTTTAATACCTTATTTCTCAAAAGGGTGATTTTTGCTTTTAGTTTGCTTCCCTCAAGCCATCCAACTTTTTCATTCATTTATCAACATTTTTATTTTGTTAATTTTTGTTCTAAATTTATTTAGGCATTTAAAGATTGTCCAGACAATAAGCAAGCTTGTAAAAAATTTTTTGTTAATTTATTTTTTGTCATTAAAAATACTGCACAGAATATTGGATTTATTTAGTTTTATATTTTTTTTATTTAAATGTGTAATTTTCTTTTTTTTAACATTTTATTGGAAACCCAAAATTGAGGCGCAATATCTTTTAAAATTTCATGCTACAATAAATAACCTAACTATGAATTTTATTGGGGATATGGACAGTGGCAGTGCATTTCCTGAGTGGTCTGTTAACATGGGCGACTTTTTTCTTTGCATGATCTGATCCCGCCTGAGTAAGTGGTGTTAACCAAAAATGAATTCTAACCAAGTTATTTGTTCATAGGGCACATGTAATAGAACGGGAACAAAACGTATATTCAGGAGACCAGGAGGAGCGCCAGGAATTCATAAATTTAGACGAAGGTAAAATAATTATTAATATTCATAATCAAATCCAAACAAATTAATAATTTTGGATGACTGGCATCTAGACACATTGGGTGTTTTAAAAAAAAAAATTTTAATCTAATATTGCCTGCAATAAGGTTTGACATGAATACTATGTGCCTGGTCATTATAGATAGACAATATATCGTCAGAGCTTGAGTAGTATTTTAATTAAACACTAATTCAGATTTCAGTTATTGGGTTGTCCGGAAAATAATGCAGGATTTTAAGTTTTCATTAAAAAAAATCTATATAAAATATTCTGTTTACGTTTACAGGATTACTCATTTGTATGAATGTCAACACTTATTAATCCTCTTCCAAATGATATTGTTTGTTTACCTCTGTAGCATTCCGCTACTTGGAAATAATTCAGTCATCCTTATAATGTCAAAGCGAGAATTTCGTACGATTTTCTTTTACGAGTTTAAACTCGGCCGAAGCGGAGCCCAAACGGCTAGAAACATTAACCAAGTCTGGGGCGAGGGTTGTGTTAATGAGTGCACTGTGCAAAGGTGGTTTAAAAAATTTCGGGAGGGAGATTTCAGCCTTGAAGATGAAGAAGGTCGTGGAAGGCCTTCCTCTCTTAATGATGATGTTCTGCGATCAGTGGTGGGTGCAGAGCAACTCAAAGTCAGTAAAACGACCGTCGCTGACCACCTCAAGGCGATTGGAAAAGTGAAAAAACTCGAAAATTGGGTTCCACACTCATTAAACGATCGCCAAAAAAATCAGCGCTTTGATGTTTGTGCATCACTTCTTTGTCGAAACAAAAATGACCCATTTCTGGCCAGAATTGTTACATGTGACGAAAAGTGGATTCTCTACGATAACACTAGACGTTCTGGACAGTGGCTCGACAAAGGAGAAGCTCCAATACATTTTCCAAAGCCCCCAACTCATCAAAAAAAGGTAATGGTTACGGTATGGTGGGCTTCATTTGGTTTAATACACTACAGCTTCTTAAATCCTGGCGAAACCATCAATGCTGAATCATACTGTAACCAAATTAATACCATGCATCAGAAATTGGCAGTAATGAAGCCCTCTTTGGTCAATCGGAAAGGGCCCATTTTGTTGCATGACAATGCTCGACCACATGTGTCACGTGTAACGTCACAAAAATTATTGGAGCTTGGCTATGAAACTTTGCCTCACCCACCCTACTCTCCGGACCTCTCGCCTACTGACTACCATTTTTTTAGACACCTGGACCACTACTTACAACACATAATATTCAAAAATCAAACGGAACTGGAAAATGCATTTATTGACTTTATCAATTCTAAAAATTCTGAATTCTACTCAGACGGAATTAATAAGTTACCAACACGTTGGGAGAAATGTATTGAGAGTATGGGAAATTATTTTGATTAAAGAACATTGCTTTAAAGTAACTAGTTTCTTTTTTTTTGTTTAATACCAAAATCCTGCATTATTTTCCGGACAACCCAATAGTTCTAACCATTATTACCAGTCTCTAGGTTCTGTTTGATAATGTAATAAGAACTTTGTTTGTTAATCCTAAGTCCATAATAAGTCTCTTTTGTGTAAAAACTAACTGACATTAGGTATCTAAGTAGTTCCTACAGCCAGGTTTACAAATAAAGATGCATTTATTGAGGTATTTATTTAGATGATGCAGAAGAATTTCAACAAGAGTGGGAAGCCAAGACGAGGAGCACTAGAACTGCAATTGGATATGGTGGAGCCCAGCCACATGGTTCAAGACGTTACAAACGGGATAGGGCGCAACCACAGCTTGCACTGACTTCAGGCACTTCACAGGAAGAACCCCAGCAGCCAAGGTAAATAATATATTTTAAAGTTTTTTGTCCTGTTTATTTTTTATTTTTAACAAATGAAAATTGTGAACAATAGATTAGTTTGTAAAGAGTGCATGTTAATTGCAGAAAGTATTTTGAATTGCATTTTTCTCTAGGTTCCCTTTTTTTTAGTTTAATTGCATAATTACATGCTATCTTCTTTATATGCATTTTTTTAATATAAAAAACTATATTATCAAAACTTGATATTATTCTTATTACAATTAATTAAGGTTTTTAGTTGAGATGAAAAAAACATATTTTTAATAACAACATATTTTATAAAAACAATTTTTCATCTCAACTAAAAACCTTAATTAATTGTAATGTATTAATTGCTCAAGCGGACCACGAAATTAGTGAAGTTATTCTTATTTTTCTTCAATAGGCTGTTATTAAAAATTCATTATTTATTTTATTAGCCACTCTATTCCACAGACGGAAACAACCTAAAAAACATAAAAAGTATTTTTTTATTTATTTACATGAATAGATTTTGGGGTGTTGCCTGCTCGCCCTCTTCAGCTGAATTGACTTAAAATTGCCCACTTTCATGAAACACTAAAGGGCAGCACACCAAAATCGATTCATATAAATATGTAAAAATACTTTTTAAGTTTTTAGTTGGTGTGGACTAGAGTAGGGTAATTAAATAAAAAATAAAAAAGTTAAAATTGTTATTTAATATTAATATCATAATAGGAAGAAAATAATATTTCGCTTTGAATAATAAAATTCCTTTTGAAATTGTTTTTAACTATTTCAATCACTTGTATAAACCAAGTCCAGCTTACCCATCATTATTGACAATATATATATTGACAATTAAAATAAATTCATAAATGCATAACCACCCACATATTTTACAGGAGAACATAATAATTCTCTAAAATAAAAGTATTTTAAGGTGCACTACATAATTAATTTCACAAAATAATCATAGATATTTATTAACTTTCATCGTACAATGTAAACAATCATTTACTATTTTACAGATACTGTGATGTTGCTAATAAATTGAAATCCAAGAAAAGGTACTCGAAAAAACACCGACATCATGAAAAATAAAAAATAAAAATTTACAAAAATATGTCTGAAACAGTTGTTTAAGATAGATCAATTATTAAGAAAATAAACTGAAATAATTTTGTGAATTTTGGTTCGTACTTAGTATTCTATTTCTCAACATGTTAACAAGATTTTATGGTTTAATTTAAATATATATAACGCTCATAGCTAATTATCTCAGGCAATGATTGCTTTTGATGGTTATGCATCTTGACAGAACATACACAAATGGTATTCATTTACAATTATGTATAGAGTTTAACACGTATTTTACAATAAGACTTATGATTACAAATTTAACATTGTAAATAGCAGATAAAGTTGTAAATATTAATAGGTAAACCAAATTTCTAAATTGATGCAGATTTGTGAATTAAGTAAGTTATTTCCTCGCTATGAATTTTGCAGTTTATTTTCATCGATGGCAAAAAATGAAGTATATTCTCAAATTTGGCATGTAAAAGTGCTTACAGCTGTGTAAAAAAAATTCTTAAGGGAAAATATTAGAAACCATCAGTTGTCAAAATTCACATTCACTTTACCCCGGTAAGTTGGACAATGTATATTCTTTATATGGGAATTTACAAACATCTTACCATCGCTTTTAATTATATTGTTTGGTTTGATTTCATTAATATCGTAAATGCCACTTATTGTTGAGTAAAAAAATTCTTTGATAACAGAGTATTACAATAGAATCTATGGACCTTCTCTAACATTACTTAATGTTTTCTTCCTTGTCGGATGCGTCTAAATTACTATCTGCTTTTTTTTTTCCATAAAATAAATGTCACAATGTCAAAATTTATTTATTCTATTGTTTGGCGTTTAATCGTAATTATATTCTTATTCAACTTGTATTTGTTATTTTTAAGCTTTTCAATGACAAAATGCGTTCTAATATTATGATGGTGGAATAAATGGTTAATTTACTATATTTATAGATTGTAAGTGATATTACTTCACCCTTGTAAGTATGAAGGGCATATAAGTATTCTGAACTGATTAGAGTTTTGTGTATTGGTAATTTTATATTTGATAGGTGATTTTTGTTCTTGCATTAAATTGTTAGTATTGACATGCTATTCAATGAATTTAATCAATTAGTAGTTTTTATGTTATTTTCTATTGTTTTTGGCATCATTTTGTTTCTGTTTGACTTTTACATGTAATATATCTCTTGAATGAATTGAACCTTTTCATCCTTTCTCTGTTGCTTTGATTCGTTCATTTAAAGTTTTAAGTTTTTACTTGTGAATAACTTTGTCATTAACCTAGGCTCTTTCAATATATATATTACAAATGTAATTTGTTATTGAGATTTCCAATTAATATTTCTAGAAGTGTCAATGTATAAAACAATAAACTGAGTTATAAAGAAGAATGCATAAATAATTTAATTAATATTTCAAAGGGTCTTATACTTTTTTAAATATTCATATTTGTTGAACGCAAAGTAAAAATATTTGCTTGCACTGTTTGAATGAATGTTGAGAGCTAATAAAATTATTTTGTGAATTATGAGTTCCTACATAAAAGAATTGTTCATTTCTAATCCGCTCTCTAAGAATTTGTTGTGGAATTTGAAAGAAATTAATAAATTTGTTTTAAATCGTCATTCTTTAATTACAAAAATGGACCCATTTATCTCATGAATTATTTACTTTTGGAAATCTTGAAGGAAAAAAGATTTAAAGAACACTATAAGCATTAGTCAGTTATTAAATCATTCCCAGGCCTATCCTTAGATGATTGAATATAAATTATTTATTTAGATTTTTTTTAAATAGGTATTGCTGAAAAGTGACTTCTTAAAATATTTCTATATTTATTTTGATATTTTTAAGATTTTGCTTAAACTTAATTCCTTTTGTTAGCTTACCAGTTTTAAAAGTTTCAGTATATCTGTAGCAGAAATTCATTACATTTTCTGCCAGGAAATTTTCAATTTATTCAATCTTTGGGAGACGCTAGGTCTTTAAAAGTTCTTAGAAATCATTCTGAAGATGTGTAATTGTTATTTATTATTCTATATTTCTTTTTTTATTATATTTTTAAGTTCTTCAAGACACTCTGTAAGAAATGCACTTAAAGCTCAGACTACCTCTGCACTCCCTCAGACTACATCCATTGCTGCTAAGATTGCTCATAGGTAAGTAACAGGATTAAATTAGTCATATTGATAAGATTGTATGGATGATTATTCATAAAGAACACCATTATTTGATTTTACATGATTCACTTTGTCTTGGAATAAATAGAAACAGTCAACTGAAAAGATTATCGTTTTTGGTGTAAGGTGTATTTCCAAGAAATGTTTCAAATAGTCAAATCAAGTCATACTTGACCAGTTCTTTCAGTTTCATTGTTTGTCTTGAGTATGAAAAGGGTATAAAACTTGATATTTCCCTAGCCACCAGTACACAGTCTACCCCTTTTCCCCTTTCAAGAAGAACGGAAGAATTGATAAGTCCATAATTCATTCTCGTTGCGTAAACTTTGTTGTTTAATAATCAGTCGATAAGGATGGGTGTTGGACCCGTATCATAAACATCAGGTTTGTCTGATAATCGGAAAATAGCTGCTTACACTGGAGAAGTAATGATGCCATGTCTTCTCTGTGTGAACATCCCAAATGACTTAAGGATCTGGTGCATTAAGTTTTGAAAGATTTCTGCCATTAATCAAAATAGCAATGTGATCTTGAAACATTGTCGCATTCCTAACAACGTTTTCACCCCTAACAGTATTACATTTTCATTTGGACAAATTTTCACTTTGTTCTGTAAATATTTAAATTCAAGTGCTCCCTTCCTAAACCGAACTGTAAAAAAATTCAAAGAGTCAGAATTTTAAAGGAACCAAATGGATATTTTTTTGGGAGAAAGGGAGAGAGATAGTGAATGAGGGAGTGTGTGAGAGAAAAGAGAAGAGAGTAGTAATACAAAAGACCAAGGCTAGCTTAGATTATACAAAGTTTCAAAAACGTATTTTTTCAGCTTAAAAATGAGTGAAAAAGAGGAAGTAGCAATGAAGAAAATGTTAAATAAAATGAAAAGATTTTTTTTAAAAGAAAAATTGACAGTATACAGGGTGTCCCAGTTCCTTCTGACGAAACTCAGGGAATCGATTCTACTCTTCGTTTGGAGCAAAAAATGCTCAGAAGAAAATTATCGGAAAGTTCTCTATTTTGCAGATATTCGTAAATTTAGGTTTTTCAACTTTTCACTACCTTGCCACATAAAAACGCTTACAACTTCCAAAATGTTGAGACTACAACAAATCCAATTACACCATTTGAAAGAAAGCTAACTTCTATTTGCAATAATCTGAATGACAAAATGTTAGTCAATATCAGTTGGAACATGTCAAAATTACAAAATTTAAGATTTTTGTCATGATTTTACATTCTACTGAGGTTACAAAAAAATACCTACAACTTGTCAAATTTCACAAAAACTTCATCTAATATGCTTTTCGTTGATATATCCAGGTTTTTTTACGTTCTAGTAGAGTTGAAAAATCAATGTAAAGCATATTAGATGAAGAAGTTTTTGTGAAATTTGACGTTGTAGGTATTTTTTTGTAACCTCAGTAGAACGTGAAATTATGACCAAAATTTTAAATTTTGTAATTTTGACATGTTGAAAAAACCTAAATTGACGAATATCTTCAAAATAGAGAACTTTCCGAAAATTTTCTCCTGAGCATTTTTTGCTCCAAACGAAGAGTAGAATCGATTCCCTGAGTTTCATCAGAAGGAACTGGGACACCCTGTATATGTATTCCAATAGGTTTAATGTTTTGTGAATGTAATAATAATAGTATTGTATTTAAATTATCCCTCTGAAATTTGAAAACTCCCCTGCAAGCAATTAGTTCAGATTAGTGAGAGATCACTACTCTCAGTACCCTAAATTGGTCATTTTCACTTTTTCATATTTCTTTATCATATTTATAAGACATAATTGTTTTGATTTTTGTCCTCCAAGAGTATTAATTATGCAATTCAAATAGGCTATGTAATGTAAGCCATGTGAGGCTCCGAAAACCAGTTTCTTTCGAAGAATTTTGCTCTTGCAATTGGATAATTGAGCATTCATTTTCTGAGCCTAACATGATAAATCAGTCTGTAATGAAATAGGCCAAAATTTCTTTAGACCATTTAGCTAGTTTTTCAAATTGTGAACTGTATAAGAAATATCTCACCAATAAATTTTAGCCTAAAACTTAGCTTTTGCCGTTAGCGTTTTATATAGCATATATTTTTATATTTCATATATATTTTATAGTAGCGTTTTTATACAGTAGACTAATTAGTTGTATTATTTTAAGGCAAGTTTCTTCCATAGCACTGAATGAGAGACTAATTCAAAACCCTTTTGTAAATCCAGACATCTCTTTTTTGCTTAAATATATTGAATTGCCAGGTTATTTAATATAAATAAATTGTCCAAATTAGCTCTTCCCAATTTGGAATCTATTCTGTTATTATACTGATAGACAAATAAACAAATCTGCCAGAAAACGTTAAAAAGAGAAGAGCTATTCCACAGTAATTGTTTGGATTCCCTTTGTAAGAATTAACAAACCACACTAATAGCCAAGGGGGTCAAAAGCTAAAGGTTATTTTATTTTGATTAGATTCAATATAATTTAATTATAATATAACTTCCAACTAAGACAAAAATATATATTTGATCATTGGTAAATTTTCTCTTAAGATCTGCGGGGTGATGAACTTATAATCTGATCCTTAACGATTATCTCGATCTACCTGTCCTTGCTGGATTGGTCTGCCAGATGCGTTTTGGCATTTTTCCATCTTCCGTATCTTAACGAAATGCCGAAACATCTGACAGACCGACCCAGCGAAGGTAGGCAGACCAAGATGATCTTCAGGACTTCAGTACATTGAGATTTGCAATCTGGTTTCAGGTACGGACGGAAATACTGATGAGCCTTATAAAATGTAAGTATGTAAGGCTTAGTATATATCTATTACTGCTTGATGATCTAATAATTATTTAAATCATAGTCACAAAAATCATATTTACTTTTTGAAAGTTTTGAGTAGTACGTATGCTTGTATAATATATTAAATATTGATTTCATATTCCCTCTAGTCTTATGAAAGAGTTATGTTAAAATGTTTTGGTTTGATGTGCCTTTAGAGCATGAATAAGTTTACATAGCGATAAATTTATAATACTAGGTTGTCACAAAAGTCCTTGTGCATGAGAGTGTATAGTTGTTTTCTAAGTCCAGTACATTAGGCAAAACGAACTTATGAGAGTGTAATTAAATCCTTGGTTTAATATTTATTTTTATTTGATTTTGTCAAAAAATAGGTCATCAGGGTATTTTATCTATCACATAATGCATGGCTAGTGATTTTCTCCTAATTTATTTGATCTTGAAGCCGTTTTTTTAAAAGTCATGCAGCTTCTAGAAAAGTCAGCCTGCAGTCTGAATTTATATGTGGGCAATCCTCTTCTAGCAACGAATCTATAAAATGAACTAAAACCAAACTAAAAAAAATGCTCGCGTCAGTGATTAGAGCATGCAGTTGACAGCTTTGATTGCCCTGACTTTGACACTAGAGAATTTTGATGGATGATTGTTTAATTTAATCAAGAAAGTCACTTCACGAGAGAGAAATTACAATTTTGAGTGAAATGTTGGGGCTTATCAAGTACTGAGGAGGCCAAAATGCCTTGAAATGCATAAATAAAAAGTAGTTAAGGCGTCAGACTCTTGGCTAGTAAATCCCGCGGTCATAGGTTCAATTCCCACCATCACCTCTGGACTTTTTTCTAACACTTAAAGGAACCGGTGGCCGCAATTGAAAGAAATTGACACGGCACACATCAATGGAAGTTCTGGGACAGGATCAGATCTCAGCGACCCTGAATTTGGTCCTAATCTCATTCAAAAACTGAATTTCTTCAATGGAAGAACACCGGGGCCCCCAAAAAAATGGACCCAGGAATAAAATACAATAAGCTGTAGTATATAGCTGCAGTGCTCAGGGGAACTCCTCCAGTTCCTGGTATCCATTAAAAAAATAAAATGTATATTCAAAAACTGTGTAAAAGCTTAGTAGAAAAACCTTGATTTAAGCAAACATTGTTCAAAAAATAATAAAGTACCATCTAGCAGGATAATTTTTAATTAAAACATTGAGGCTCTTACTATTTTGACATGTTTTTGAATTTGGCTTTTGGGCATTTTTGATTATTTTTGTTGCTAAACTAGTGTTGTTTTTATAGTGGATACTAGTTAACACATGGTTGATTGGCCAATACAGATAATTTTTTTTCCTTTGTTATTACCAATGTGTGGTGTTTAGTGACTGTTAGTTAATGATTATTCAAAGATCATGAGATGCGGTCTGGTGTGACGTAGGTTTTAGAAAAATATTTTAGATGATCTCAATAAAAATCAAAAGGCACGATAAAGAAAATGTTTTTCTAAAACCTACGTCACACCAGAACACATCTCACGATCTCCAAATAATAGTCCTTACTCATTATAACTCATACTGATAGTTACAATAGTTTTTTTTTCTTAATTTACATGTAGTATTAGAATAATTAAATATTATTTCTTGTACCATGGTATTTGTAGAATTGATTTGCAATTACATAAATAATTGATACGTAGCCATTTGTTTTAGCTTTCAATGGTATTTGTATTTTTTGTGTTATATTTATTGTCTTAAATTCTCAATTAGTTTCATTATTTTTAGAATTTTCAATTTTGCCTTTATTTAAATAGTATTTTGATTGCTACATTTTCGATGATTGCTTACAGTTAAACATGGCAGAGTTAATTTTTACATTTATTCATGTTATCTTTATCAATTTCATTGTTAACAGGTCAATAACTGGATTTTTTTTTTGTTGATTCACAGGTTTATCTCTTTGGAAATATAGCTTTTTAATGATAGATTAAGGAAATTTGTAATCTAATCATCATGGACAATTTGAAATAATCACGGATTCTTGATTTGTAGTGCACATTTTATTTTATAAATTATAATAAACTGGCACCTTTTTCTCTGTATGTATACCACATACACCATATTTAAATAATGGTTATTATCGTTGCGTATCAAAAATAAAAAATAAAAAAAGAAGAACGTGCTGTTTTGTTTTTATTACTGTGACCTTTTTTAACAACTCAAGAACCAGCTATGATGGTTTAACGTTAAGTGTGTGTTTGCAGATGTTGATATCAAAATGTAAAATTGTTCTAGTACATCTGCTACAAATGTAAACAGCTTTACAAATTTAGTTGAACTGTAAGTTTTAAATTGAATCTTTGTGCTCCTACAATTTCAAGTGAAATAATTCGCTTTGAGGTGATGAACTGTACGATTAATCTGTTAGATATGAAAAAAGCAAACGATTTGTAAATAACATGTTAAAAAAAGCTAGAAAAGATAATCTTGATTGTTACTACACAAAAATTTTAAGAGGAAATAAGAGATAGATTGATTAGTCTATTATAATTACTAAATAAATTAAGCCAAAGAAGCTAATGAGAATATGCCAAAGTTGATATGTTAAATATTATAATCATAAAGGATTGTTTGAAGTATGGAAATTGCAGAATAAAGAGAAACTATTAAAAAAACTGAAAACATAACATAAAATAACTTGTTAATTGCTATCTTATATTTACTTTCAACCCAATTTTTTTTCTTAATACATTATAGTTTCAACAAATTAAAAAGGAAAATTTTCTCTTATTTTACACTTTCTTTTAAATTTGTAACTATTAACTAGAAAAAAAGTAATTTTTTTTTGTCAAGGTCAAGAAAATATCTATTACAATAATAATTAACAAATACATGTGTTATACCGTGCTCAGTTTTGAAAAATATAGATTGATGTAATTGTGTGCTATACTGATTTATTTGAAGAAATATGAATAACATGTAATAATAGTAATATAACTTAATGTTTTTCTTTATATTATTGTCATCGTATTTGTGAGTAAAAGATCGCATATAAATAATTTTTATTTTATATAAAATTCCTTAAAAGTAAAAAGATTCCTTAATCCACAACCTTATAGCATAAAATGGCCGTTAAAATAAACACTTCCAGTTAAATGGGAATTGTTAGTTTTGAATAACTAGCTAACAGTTAGTGACCATTTGGTTTTAAAAGACAAGTTTAGTTTAAATGATTAGACTCTTTAGTCTAATCATTAAAAAAAAATCCCATGGATTTAATTTCCTTAGGCTTTATTGTTATTCCGCCTTTATAGCAAAATATTAAAAATGCTTATATTAATTTTTTTAATAAATTCTTATTGGAATCTTATGACAGAATAAATGTCTAAAGGTCACCGCATGACTGTTAGCTTACTGTTTAGTCTGGTAGGGCTGCAAGTGAACACACTAGGCAAACTGAACTATTTTGTTGGTCGTGCAGAGCGATTTTCTTGGCAGGTCAAAGCTGTTGCCGTATAGGTATTCACAAGCAGTGTATAAAGTAAAGTGATTTCTTTCCAATTTGGGTTCCCAGTCTTGGAGGGTAACAAACATGCGAATGCTGGGACGCTCCACCCCCCAGACCGGACCATCGCGATGACACAATCTAAACATAATAAAAGAAATAAGGCAGTGGCATTAGGCAGGGTCTTCCAAGACGCTCTTGCAAGTCAAGAGCATAACCGGTAGTTGGCCCTCAGAGAACCTGATCTGGAGGCAAGCAATCGTCCTCACCCAATTGAAGATTGGCCATATATCCTGAATATCCAATACTCCATCGACTAATCATAATGAGTGCAATGGATAAATGTATTTATTTGTGTGAGTGATCTTTCCAATTTAAGTAGAAAGTATTAGGCTAGATTTTAGATTGCAAGCATTTAGGGCAGAAATGACCTAGCTGTCGATAGCCTGCTAATCATACATCGTAAAGTAACTAAATGACGCAAGGTTTGAATACTGGCAGTAAAGGGGAAATTTAAATAATAGCCGATTGAGAGAAGTTGATGACTCAGGGATCAAGGTCACAATAGCTCAAATGGTTAGAGCACCAGCGTATTTAGCCGAAGGTCATGGGTTCGAGTACCATTTTTGACACCAATTTTTCTTCTCAACTGTCTGTGCACAAAACTTGTAAATAATTTATTAATAAAATAATAAACAAATCACTAATTAAATAAAGTAATTCCAGTTGTAAAGCTCAAGTGGTTAGAGTACTGGCGTATTTAGCCAAAGGTCATGGGTTCAAACTTTGACTCCCATTTGTAACACCAATTTTTCTTCTCAACTGTCTTTGCATAAAAATTGTAAATAATTTATTAATAAAATAATAAACAAATCACTAATTGAATAAAGTAATTCCTGTTATACAGATGGGCTTAACGTTATTTAAAAATGCATAGGTGGGCCAGGATTAGAACCCAGGACTGCTAGCATGATGATAAAAGTTGGACATTTTAATCACTCAGCTGACATGCAGTCCCCAATCCCAGAAAATATAAAAGAAGGGAATTGTACTTTGTAAAAGTAGGATTCTTTTATAATAGAAGCTATTTGTCACAAATTCCATTGGTTCAAACAGTTGAAAGTTATAACTAACACCCTTTTAGAGGGCTCATATTTGTCTCGTAATCCTAGGTAATGTAATACAGATGCAGGATCTGGCATTCAACAACATATTTTAAAAGAGGGTCAAAATTTATTGTAAGCAAAGCAAGATTTATAAACAAAGTTTTAAAAAATTTTAAATCCTTTTTATTTTTTGTAAGTATTTTTATATATTTTGTATGTATTTTTTTTTTAAATCTATTCAACAGAAATCCTCCAAAAATTACCCAACTCTCGATTATAATTTAAATATTGAGATTCAAAAAATTCAGTGTCAGATGACACGCTATTTTCTAAATTTTGAATGATAAAAAATTCTAAATTAGCCCGAACTTGTTAACGTTGTTGAAAATGATGAAAACATGTTGAAAAAATAAGGAAATAAAACTTTAGAACAGTCAATTAATTTTTAATTATCTTTATTGTTGGCATTTTTATTTTTTATAATTGCTTAAAAAAAAAGCATCCATATGAAAATAACCATGAACCATTAATTTTCAACTTGTAAAAAGTATTAAATGTATGCAAAGTAATACTTATAAAAGTAGTAAAATAATATTTATTATTAAACATACACATAACAGTTTAAATAATGTTGATTTTAATTAATTGAATTAACTCTCCAGTTGCCATTGAAAAATCATTCTCCAATAATGTTAATCGATTTGTTGATTTCCAGTACTTGTGTTATAAATTGTCTGTCACTGAGGATACACGAAATTCTTAGCAATATTTCCAAAAGGCTGTTACTTTTAGTCAGACCCAACTGTCGTCCACAATCTTCTATCATTTCACATTCGTTATCTCTCAAGTCCTGAAAACGAATCATAATATTAAAATTGGCTTTTTATATTCTTTAAATAAGAACAATTACGTTATTATATATGTGTTCGAATCTTAATTTTCTTCTTTGTTTAGTTCCTCTCTTGTCTGTATAGATAAGAGTAGCAGTACATCCGTTTAGCACTTCATTATTACTTACAGTACTTGTTAAGTTTGCTACAGGAAAATGGACTCCTGCTAAAATTTCTCCTTTTGTACTTCTTGCCAACCACGATCTAAAAATGAAATTCAAAACAATGGCAAATGAGAATTAATCAATCTAACTCACTTTATCTCTCTTTCACTCTTTCTCACTCACTCACTCTCTCTCCTGATAAAGTAGTCACTTTTTTTTCCTAATAAATATACATATTGTATGTATACATCACTTGTCAGATACAATCAAGTTACAAAAATTACATGATCCAGATATTTTACATGCAAAAATTATTAACTTTAAACATGTACCTGTAATCATAAACAAGATTTCGTTTTTCAGTTATAGTCACAGGCGATAGAAATGGAGCTCCAACATAAATTAAACTGCTTGTCAAATTAATTTTTTCTCCTCTAGTCTCCTTCACCTCCCAAATTACATAGTCAGGTTTAGACTTATTAGCAAATGTGTAACAATATTCTCTTTTTACAAATTTTTCGTCAGTTTGTGTAAACCATCCTAAAACATAAATAAAATAATGAAATTTATATAAATACATATAATAAAGTTAATCTAATCTCTCAATTTCTTTTTAATAAAAGATATCTATATAATGGGGGAAAAAAATTAAGGTACTTTTAAGTTACTTTTTTTTATGTTGAGAAAACTTGTATTACATTTTTTAATTTATTACCTGTGTGAGGATATTTACAGTCATTCATGACAGTAACAGCTCGTGCGACATGATATCCAGGATCTAATAACAAAACTCCTTTTCTGTAAGTTTTGCCAATCGTAATGCCAACGGCTACCAAAACATGTTCTTTCTCTGTATCTTCAACTTCTTCTGGTGGTCTTCTTATGTAGTTACATAAGTCGTCCACAGATTCTTCGCAAGAAACAAGACGCACACCTCTTCTCAGATGTGGAAATTTTTGTTTTAGACATGTTAACAATTCCAGACCAAGCCCAACACAAGTCTGTTCAGAAGAACACAATGCCGGGATAAAGGAATTGAAGAATGTTTTAAGGTTTGTGAATGTGCTCCTTTTAAATTCATCATAAAATCTGAAAATCGCTTAATTAGCCGTATAAAATTTAATATGAATGCAGGTTGACTACCTTATAAAATTTCCAATTGAGTTATAAGTCTGATCCGCAAGAAGATGTTGCACTACAAGCTCAACACCTGTGGCAAGAGTCTCGTAGTCCTCCAGAGAGGCAAATGGGATATTTGGGCATGGTCTGCCCCATAAAACACCATCTAAGAACCTTCCATGTCTCCCATTGCCTCTTTCATCGAAACCATCGACTGGCACGAGTCAACTTGGCCATTCAGAGCCCCAAAGGCAAGGCTCCTGCCACACATTTCTCTCCTCATCCCCGCTTTCAACAGGGATGCCTCCACAAACAATCGAATTTGATTTTTTCTGCTCTGAAAATAAAATAAAAAAAACATTTAAATAATTTTTTAAATAAGTTATGTTTTATAATGAATTTAATCTTTTTATTATCTACAAAGGGCCATCGCACACAACAGATTAAATTATTGGGTGACAGTTTAGTCAGATTGGGTTTTGTCTGCTCACAAATTTTTTTTTTTTTTTTTGGGTTGGTGATGTGCAGACTGTTCATTATACTTAGCCAATTGCTTACAGGGTTGCAGGTCAAAGATGTCACACAGCTTTTGATCAGAGGTGGCACAAAATGTTACACAGAAGCTGCGTTCGTCATTGTTCCACCTCGTAAATTAAAGACTGTTAACTACTCAGTAATTAATGACATTTTTAATCAACCAAATACTGCAAATTATTTCAAAATTTGAACTGCTCCTCACTACAGCAGTCCGGCTATATAAAGGGTTCCCTCTGTAAATAAAAGGGTAATGTTAGGCAAAATGTGGTTGTGGGTGCCCAAAGGTTACCGTTACCTGCTACCTACGTTGTCGCGCAGCACGGTATAATTAGTTCAAATGGGGTCATTAAAGCTATTATAAACATTGTTGACCTTTGTGCCAAGAGGTTGTATAGCATTGCCAGGTAATCTGGGGCAATACAAGAAGCAGGAAACGGAAGTACAAAAATATAAGATACTAGAATTTTTTAGATAGATAATATTTTATTTGCCAAATGTGTAATATAAAATTCACAAACCAACTGATTTCAAATCAATTAGTAACAATTATTTTATTACATTTTACTAAATTAAATTATAATTTAAAATTTTACTAAATCTAACTAGATTCTCACAAATCTCATTACAGAAAATAACAAGCTAATTTCATGTCAATCACCAAGTAGTCGATAAGTGTGCACAATAGTACACCATTTTAAAATAGCAATCTGCTAATAAATGAGTGAATTGAAGGGGAAAGGGCAACCTGACTGGTTAGATAGGCAGAAATTGGCCTAAAATCGCTCGAGTGTGCACACTCAGTCTTCATGCTGAATGAGTAAAGAATTAAACTGTCGCCTGATCAAACATCTATACTGTGTGGTGGCTCTAAATGCACTTTGATTTCTATCTTAACAGATTTTTTATCTACTCCTTTAAAATGATACAATTGTTAGTTTTCTTTCTTTTAAAACTGAGTCAATACATCAAATTCATCATTGAATCAAGCATAAATAGACTTTGATTTCTGTTTAAAGTTTATCAAATCCTTGTAAATGATACAATTGTTACAGTTTTATTTCTTTTCAATTGATTATTATCGCTTCATTTGTCTTTATTATACTCTCCATAAAATAATTTGTGATTTCCTTTTTCCTTGTGGATTTCCAAATTGGACAATTTTTATTGTAAGCATACGTACAACAATTGTACAATATATGTATAGAAAATATTTATATAAATTTTTAGCTTGTTTACAAGGTACATGGGGTAAAATGTATAAGTGCTCTTTATATAATCCGAACTTCGGTACTTTGAACATTGAAGTAATTCAAACTGGGGGAAAATTCAAGAAGTAATATTTTTAATGGAAACAAAGGAACGTTATTTGGGTGAAAGGGGACAGAGAAAAAAGAAGAGAGAATGAGCGAATGAAAGATAGATAAAGTGAATGAATGAAAGAGTGTGAGTGATTGGTAATGAGAGAGAGAGATATTGGTAGTGAATGAGAATGAGAGAGAGATTGGTAGTGAATGAGAATGAGAGAGAGATTGGTAGTGAATGAGAGAAAGCTTGAGTGAGTGAATGAAAGATAATGAATAACAAGTAGTGAATGAGGGAGTGTGTGAGAAAAAGAAAATATAGGGAGGGAGGGAGGGAGGAAGAGAGTGAGTGAGTGAGTGAGTGAGAGAGAGAGAGAGAGAGAGGGGGGGGGGGAGCGTGTGAGTGAGAGAATGTGAGAGAGTGAGTGATTGGTACTGAATGAGAGTGAGGTTAGTGAATGAGGGAGAGTGTGTCAGAAAAAAAGAGAGAATGAGTGAGTGAATGAAAGAGAGAGAGAGTAAGAGCTCATGAGGGAGTGTGTGAGAATAAAAGAAAATATAGTGAGAGGTAATGAATGAGGGAGTGTGTGAGAAAAAGAAAAGATAGTGAGAGTGAGAGAGAGAGGTAGTGAATGAGGGAGTGTGAGAGAAAAAGAAGAGAGAATGAGTGAGGAAAGATAGATAGAGACTTAATGAGAAAGTGAGTGAAAGAAACTTAATGAGTAAGTGATTGAAAGAAAAAAAGAAAGAGAAAGAATGAGTGAGAGGTAGTGAATGAGTGTGAGAGAAAAAGAAGAGAGAATGAGTGAGTGAGTGAAATTTAGATAGAGGGTGAATGAGGGAGTGTGTAAGAGAATATCTAAGTGAGTGAGTGGGAGTGACAATGAATGATTGAATGAATATTGTTTGCGTATGAGTCATACAAAAGACATGACTATACGAATTTTCGGGAATTTATTTTGTTCAATGAATAACTCACCTCCCTTTCACTACTAAAAATGAATTGTCAGAGCAATTTCATTAGACATTTTTCTTATGTTAGTATAATATACCTACTGCTTAAAAAAGAGAAAAGTGGTGGCAGCAATGAAGAAAGAAAATTTAAAAATCTCATTTTACAAAGAAAAATTGACTGTATATATTTATTCTAATAGGTTTTGTGAATGGAAGAATAAGTGTTGCATCGAAGGAAAAAATTGACACTTGCTTTTTCATCTTAGATTAAAAGTGTATAAGAGATTATATATTAAAAGTATAATTAAATAAATTAATAATTAATTTGTCAGTAATCTGAAGAGCCTCGCAACAATTAGTCCGGATTTCTAAGAGTGCAGTACTACGTTCATACGGCACGAGAGTGATGAGACCTTCAAAACAGGCCAGAATATATTATTTAATAAAATAATTTCATCTTGATTTTAATAAAGGAGTGAATAACGTAACAGTTGTTGTGCAATAGTCCATAGATAAGAGTTAATTATCGTGTTGATGTTTTCTAAAGTGAAGACTCTTTGTTTAGCTCAAGTGTCACAAATTAAAAGATTATCATAATTAGAAGTGGAAACACATTGTCAAAAACATCTTTATTTCGACCTTGACGTAAAGATAAATAACGTAAACCCGTTTGTAATAAAATTGAGAAAATATGGAAATAGGTCAGACAAGAAGAAAGGTGGTATGACAGATGAGTGGAGAAATTTGAACTTAGAAAGTTTCCATTGCTTAGGAAACACGCTGTCGCTCGATTCCATATTGCGCAAGTAGACATTGAAAAGCCACATTCCAACAATAAATAGTAGATTTAATTAAACCGAAAACGTTTCTATTTAGCTCGTAAATTGTAAGAAAATATACAGAAATAATAAGGAAATTTATTATTTGAACAATAAAATACAAATAAAATAGGTAATTAACTTGACCTTACCCATAAACCAGCAGCACTCGAGATGAAAATATCCTCCCCCTCCGTTGTTGTCTTTTCGCTAATAAATGAACAAAGAACCCGTCCGCTGAACTTTTATAGCCAGCTTATTTTGACGTTATCACTACAAAGGGAAAGGTGGCCCCTCTCGCGTAGCTGCTGCACCCCACCATCGTCCCCCCTACGATTTACACAAGGAAAATAGAAATAATGCGAAGGTGAAAGCTGAACATGTTTCTACGTTATGTCCATTTCCATGACGCAATGCATGATTCACGCACACGCCAGCGCCCTTTCACACACGCACGCATATGAATAAACATAAAATAAAATAAAATAAAATAAGCCAACCGCACAAGGACGCTTTATCACGGGAACGGGACGACGAAGCAGCGTTCTGCGCTGAATCCACGTCCCAGGATGCTTTTCGACTTGGCACTTGGGCGCTTCAAAATTCAAATTTCTAATTTTTTTCATTTTTGATTCAACGAAATTTCAAAATCAGTTTTTGTTCACATTTTATAAATTGAAACTTAAATCTGCACATGCGTGTACATACCGCGTGAATATAAACTGCGCAATAGGGATATTTGTAATTTATTCTTATTCTATTAATTTTAATTAAATCAACCGATTATATTCTTGTTAGTTGGATAAAACAAAATAGAAAATACAAACCAAAAACAAACAAATGTCAATCCTCATTTGTAATAACGGATTTACTTAAGAATAGTAAACACAGATTACTCATTTTGTAAACAAACACCTTTTCTCGTCTTTTTTCCATTTTAATCCTTTTCTTATTCTTCTCTTTAACAAGGCAAATAAATAGACATAACTTGAACCAGAAGTTAGCAATGCTATTGTGAGAATGAATCATCAAGGTCACCAGAAAGTGGATATCGCAGAGGAAGTTGGCGTTTCTCAAAGTGTGTCCTCCTGGATTTTAGCCTGATTCTGAGAGACTGGAAGTGCCAATAGGAAGCCTGGTAGTTTATCTCAGAGCATTACAACGCTAAGGGAGGACAGAAATATTGTCATTATTTCTTTTCTGCTTTTGAACCCTTTCCAAGGTGCCTGCCAGATCCTAAATGAAGTACAAGATGTTTTGGCAAGGCCTTCATCAACACACACGATTTGTTTAAAGGAAATTGGCCTTACATCTAATGCCTCTTTGAGACAATCAAACAACTCAGGAGTAGTGCATTGAGCGCCTAGAAGAGAACACCAATTGGAATGCTATGTTTACTGATGAGTAGTGTTTCTGACTGTACAGTGATAGCAGGTATTGAAGAGTCTACCTAGAACAGGAAATGCATACATGCCCCAGTTCATTTTCCATTCAGTTTGGAGGAGGCGGTGTAATGGTCTGGGCCGGGATTTACACTGGAGGTTGAACTGGACTCCATATTGTAGAAGGCGAATGCACTGCAGTCCATTATGTCCAAAAAATTATCGAGTAATCCCTCAAACCACGGCTCTCATTGACAGGGATTTTCGATTTCTGGATGACAATGCCAGACCTAGTGGCAGAGTTGCCAGTTCAGCCGTGTAGGAGGCTTTACTGTAGGCGGTACT